TGGGAGAGGGAAAGGAAAGTATGTGCCTGTGGCAACCATACGATGTATGTGGCGCGAAGCTTTGATTGTCAGGGTAATGGCAAGGAGCAAGTCCGCGAGTACATATCCTGAAGGGACTGCGAAGCGGATACTGTCCCCTTCAATCAGGATAGCATCGTCAGGTTTACCTCCATAACTAACTCTGCACCTATGCAAACGCCCAAGCTCCTCCCATATACCTTCCTCTATCTCTTTCCATCGATGCGGCTTTGCAGGCATCGGAACCCAGAACACCAATGAATTGAAGCAGCACTCGGCGTTCCCGGGACTGACGGTCGCCTCCAGGTAGTTGATCCGCATGATAGGCTGCTGCCCTGGTAAATTCCACCGGATCTGCAGTGCCTTGACCATTCCCCGGAAGCTCAAGCTCAGGGCGCGCGAGCCACTGGACACTTTTGCAGGTCGTAACTTAGGTATTACGTTCCGCAATACTTGAAGTGCAAGGAAGGAGGCAGTGACATGGCCCAAGTCAAAGGAAACCCGGACTTCATCGACGGTTGCAGATATGACGTGCGTACTGCACTGCAAAATCCCCGAGCTTTGTAACCTGGTCCCTCGGGAAGTGACGTCGACCTCCGTTCTGCGTAAGAACACGAACTGTTTTCCCGAGAATGCAGGATCGTCTTTCTCGAAGATATACGGGTCGTCCATAGAATATGTGTCAGCAGCAGCTGAACGCAGAGACGTGTTCCACAAAACCAATTTCCCATAAGCAGCACTTTCAGTGGATGCCGCGGAAGCCCTTGTAGAAACCAATGCTTCTGCGAGGTAGTCTGCAGGAAGATATAACTTATGTCTGTTCTGCGCACGTGCCCTCGCATGCTCTACAGACTGAACTTGCTCTGGATGCATGGAACAATACCGCGTTGCTATGCCTGTGCTAAACGCAACACCACATGTGACATCGCTTTCGGCGTTGGGATTAATATCTTGACCTGTGACGAAAAGGACTAGCCGAGCGACAGATAGAGACACGGCGCAACCCAGAGGTAGTATGAGAGGTTTATCAGAGGGCGAGGGCGTGCTCTCCTTCACCAGAAGTAAGGGGATGACGGTAATTAAAGCAGCCACAGACTGCGGGTGCCACAATTCCAATATGATCCCTTCTGTGTAGCAGTGTAGGTCGAGGAAAATAGACTTGGTGCGCAGCAAATTGAATGCGGTTCGTCCATCATCAATGAATTCCCCTACAGCAGTTAATCTTCCCTTGGCTTCAATTGCTTCGAGGGAGAGCAGGCTGTCAAACACTTCCGAGTTCGGATTATGTGTGGAGAACCGTCTTGACGCTCTCCGCGAAAAAGAAGTTGTGTTCAAGTTCAAGAAGACGGGTTCCATATGAAAGTCCCACTGCAGTATCATGTGCAGCCCAGTCTGATCAGAGAACGTATGATCAGAATTGCATGTGATAGACGGCTTCGTGCGGAACGTCGACGTGCAATGGGCATGAAGACCTTTGGACTCCAAGACTAAAGAAAATGGCGTCTGAGAGCCCATTGCATCCACACACATTAGACGTGCAGAAAGGCGGCCGACTTCAATGTTGGCGATAATTCGAGGGATAGGTGATAAAGTCTCAGAGAGTGCGGGGGACGCACGGGGAGGTGATGATATTGATTGGCTGCTTAATAATTGATGTACCACATCCAAGCGGTCCGTAACAGCAAATTCAGCGAGTGTGAGATCCATCATCAACAAAGGCCGATTTGGATCACCCGGTGAAATCTGTTGCAAAGACGAAGGCCATTCCGATGCCGTGAAGGACGCATCTAAGGTACCGACAAGAAGCACCTGGAGGTTACTAGTGAAGACATTGCTGAGCCTACTGAGAGCACTTTCCCGGATTTTGAGCCGCAAAACGTAAACGGAAGAAGTGGGCGAATGGTGAGATCCGAGCCAAGCGCGATGCGAAGAGTTGTGATCAAGGTCGCTTGGACCGCAAACGCAAGATACATCCTGCACAGAAGCCCTGTAAACATCTCCTTTGAATGCTTTGGTGATGTTGATTGAACATATGTCCACTTGAATCTTGGATAACAAGGACAATGACTATGTTGCATAGTGGAACGATGAACCTTTATCTCTCGTCAAGATTTATATCCGCTCACCATGTGAGACTTTCTCTTGCGAGGTCGAGCGGGCGGCGATGAAAAGTGGGGACGATTAAAGGACTCGAGTGAGGCGTTAAAATATTGAACATCGAAGCAGCCAGATGACACGCACTGCAGAACTACTTTCACTCGAAAGCGTAGGACTTTGAAGCGAAACTGGCGATGTCAGCAAGGGTGAGGCAGGAGATTGTGCGTTCTTTGCTTTCAGGCTGTCGATTATCGCAAGGATGGATTGCCAACGGTCGATGGAGACATGGACATTCGGAACGCGCAAAGCAACCTCGACACTCCCCACTTCTATCTTCCCGTCTCTTGGACTGAATCGAGCAGCTCCACAGAGAGTTAGTTTCTCAGACAGATTTATAATCGGTTCGCCGCCCAGATGACCTGAAAATGAGATCATTAATATCATTCATTGATTCCAACCATGAACACTCACTATGTATAGGGGTGTCACCAATAACCTTATTGACCATCAAATCGAACGTCAAAGAAGCCTTTGTTTGGCCCAGTGTGCTATCCCAAGCCCGTCTCCACGTACGCTTGAAACCCATCGCAAGCCGAGACTTCCATGCTCCCATAGCCAATGCTGCAGCAGACGGTCTGTGGTCCCCTTCACCGTTGATTTGGTCGGAATGGGGAACTGGGACTTGAAGATAGCTGAAAGTAAGATGTGCATCTAAGTCTGCTCCTTCAATGACGAGTTGGGCATCTGGGATAGCTGTATGCGCGATGACAGCCGATTCAAGTTCCAGACGAAGGGCTTGAGTTAGAGTAGGGATGCGGTGAATCACCCGATTCAAAATAGACGTGACAGAAATGCGGATGATAGGGCGGATGATCGGGTCGAATACCCAATATACGGTTGACATGATGGACCATAAATGCAGAGCCAGTGGGGAAGGCGACAAGTCCACGAGAGTGAGTCTGCGCCTATGCTTAGTCCGAGCGGGCTGCTCGCGTGATAGCTGCTCGATCTCAATTCTGAGACCCTGAATCTTAAGTAGTATTCCTCTGGGCTTGCCCTCCCCAGACGAACGGTAGGAATAGCCAATGCGTTCGACGTGCCACGTACGATTTCCCCGACGGAAGTATAGACCGCGAATCGAGCGAAGACTAATGCTCCGTACACGTAGATGATTGGAAAAACGCATGACGACGTAAGGAGCGATATACGCTCTCGCAACAAACAGGAACACGACCACAGCAGCGAGGGAAGACACAAGCGTGAACCATGCCCACAAGCTAGTTGGGCCAAACTCATAAAACCAAAACCCGAGACAAATCATCCCAAAGAGAGCACTAAGGCGATGCTGCAGAACTGTTCGAATCATCGACACGCTGTGTGGGTAGGGAGCTTGTGTTAGAGCAGGGAGAGCCAGGAGGGGCGGCCAGGAATGAAAGGTTGGAAGGAATGTAGGAAAGGAGAGGAAGAGTCAAACGATTATGTACTAGCAGAGCAATAGCAAAACGTTGTCAGCGCGTAAACCTCGAGTTGATGATGTAGTGCTGGTCGTCCAGCTGCAGATGGGCTTTTACCGACTCGTAACGCGTAATTGCTCAAGCGTGGCAATGAAATGGCGCACAGCCACAATTATTGTCACTCAGCAATTCATGCAAACTGAGAGCGCTGATAGTACAGATTCATGAAGGCCTACTTGCATAAAGAAAGCAATGAAAAGAGTAATGGAAATATTGCAGTATGGCATATCATATATCTGATGTCGTCAACCCACCCAGCTCCATGATCCTAGCGTCCTCTACGATTAGAACACCATCTGATGAGGGAACTGACCCTTCGACAGGCCGAAGGTAGCCTTAAGATATTTTGCAAGGTTCTCCTGCTTCTGCACGGCAGCAATAATAGCCTTGTCGACCTCCTTCTGGTCGGCAGACTTGGCTTCTGGAAAGGCCTCCTTTGCCTTCGGCTTGCCCTCCTCGAAGAACTCAGCCTCTGCAGAGCTTGACTTGGTTGCGGGCTTTGCAAAGTAAGCATCGTTGATCTTGGCATCGACCTGATACATGGTACTAAGGTTGGCAATGATTCAGATTTGCTCTGACACCATCCACGTACCTTAAATTCAGCAAGATCAACCTTGGTGGATGTGGCAATAACATATGCTTGGTTCACCCGTCTGAGGGGAACGCCGTTGATCTTGTAAGGTCCAGTCACCAACAACAACCCGCTATCAAGCTGCTTCAAGAAAACCACCCTCTTCCCCCTAAAACGACCAGCGAGTAAGATTAAGACGGTACCAGGGACGATTGTGGGGCGAAGTTTGGCAGGCTTTGGCGACTTTCGGCTCTTCTTTGGTTGACGCACATCTTCTGCAGGGTAGAACCGGGGTGCTTTGGAAGTGGGTACGAGACGCGTGCCGCTGTTTTTGTCGCCACCCACTGTCACTTCCTTGAAGGCGGGAGTTTCTGCGGGTGCGGGCTTGTCGGATTTTTTGAGACCCTTGTAAAGACCACGGCGCGAAGCAGCTTGTGAGCGCGAGAAGCGCCCAACGCCGGGTGCGAGTTGTCTGCTGCGGGCCATCTAGAACGATTTAAGTCAGTTACTGCCGAAGGGTTATCCACAAGGCAGGTTAGCCATCCAACTCTGATCTCCACCAAAATCGACGATCAATGGGATAGATATGTCCCAAGACCTTCCACCATCCACCCTGAGGTCAGAAAATGCAAAGATTTGTGCTCACAGTGTCAGTCTTGAGGATACTATCTGTTGAGGCGTCCGTCTATCAATATTACGAGTACAGAGACGAGTGGTATCGGAGTTCACAGCGTGAGAGTGAAATTCTAAATTCGTGACAGTGCTAGACCCATACTAAGCATGCCCTTTCTTGCTATCGATTCATACCATAATCTTCATCTTTATACCCTCACTGACGATGTCTCCGGATATACCTGTAGAAGGTCGGTTTTCTTTCCGCATTGCATCGCGCACTCTGACTTGTGTCAAAGATCCTAGATCAATCGTTTGGTTTGACATTGACAATACACTATATTCTGCCAGCACAAAGATTTCCCAAGCCATGGGTCAGCGTATCCATGGTTCGTCAGTTTTTGGACTCCCTCAAATACTCTGAATGATCAATATGGAAAGAGCAGCATACTTCGTCACTCTTGGGCTCGATGATGAGAAAGCCTCCGAGTTGCATTACACATACTACACTCAGTACGGACTTGCACTTCGCGGTCTAACACGTCATCATGATATAGGTAGGACCTACGCTGCGAGCACCTACTGCTGAATAGACATACGGCTCCAGATCCCATGGATTTTGATCGGAAATGTGATGGAACACTCCCTCTCGATGATCTCATCAAACCAGACCCGAGACTACGAAAGCTCTTTCAAGATTTGGACAGAACGAAGGTTCGAGTATGGGCTTTGACGAATGCATACAAGAACGTAAGCGCCGATTCGCGTACTCGTGAAGTCATAACGCAGAATAACCCTTCAGCACGCACAACGAGTGCTCAAGATATTAGACCTAGAAGACCAGATCGAGGGCCTCGTTTACTGTGATTATGAGAAAATCGGCTTTACTTGCAAACCGGAACCAGATTATTATCACAATGTCAGTTCTTCATACTTGTTTAGTCATGGATGTTGACTCTGTCTTATACAGGCCATGAAACAAGCGAATGTTTCAGACCCATCTAAATGTTACTTCATCGATGATAGCCGGCTTAATGTCACAAGCGCTAAAGAACTTGGCTGGGGCCATTGTGTACATTTTTACGAGGTCGGTTTGGAAATTATGGATGGCGGAAAGATGAAGAAACTCGCTCAAGATACAAATCCTAATGACCCCGAGGGCATCACACAGATCAGTGATTTAGAAGAACTAAGAACTCTCTGGCCCGAGATCTTTGTATAACAAACATCTACACGAAACAATGTAAAATTATTGCAGCACATTTTCGTAGATCGCTAAGGGTTCGTTTGGATCATCAAGGACATCTCCAGCCTGTGGGTCGCAAACACCTCGGTGTCGAGCAGCGTCTGTATCTCTGACATCAATGCGACGTGATTCACTGGCTGTAGCACGAGCTTCACGCTTCAAGGCTGCATCACCTTCTTGATAGAGGCATCAAAAGGGTCATATAGACATGATTAGGACTATTAGTTCTGGGACGCTTCAAAATATTCCTCCGCTTGCAGCAGTCTCTGGTGACAATCTCGAAGGTTCCAGGACCCGAATCGATGAGGTTGATACTAGTTTGCTTGGCTGAAAGATATTCGCAACGCGGATAAAATGATGGACACGGAGTTAGCCTCGGACCAGGCTGGGATGCGGACGGGAGATAAGTTTTGAAAGGGAGTTTGCGGAGCTGCAGCATGTTGACGATGGATTAGTAGTACCTGCAGCAGCAGTGGTGAGATCATGGTCGCGGACTATCATTACCTTGCGGAGCAAGGTCTATCACGATGGAGCGTGATATGTAATGGCAAGCGAGACCAAACAAATACGTCATTTTTCCATGTTATTCTTGAACCGCCAACAACATTACATGGAACCAGCAGAAATACATTGAAAGCGACACTCTCCTCAAATATAAGTACCGGAAGTGTTTTATTTCACCTTTGGGTACAGCCTCGGCATCCGGGTCACTGTACAATCCCGCGGGTGACTCGTACCATCTGAGGACCCGCCCATGCTAGCATCCTAGCCTCTCTTTATCATTCAGTGGCTATGTATGTACCTTTTAGACCGTACCTGAACTTCGAGACGGTCCCGAGCGGAAGATCAGCTGATCATAGGTTTCTTATCTTGGCTACACGAGTTTTGGGACAGTGATATACAGCAAACATACGTGGAATAGGCAAAAATGCGCAAGGCATCTTCATGAATCACGCTCAGGTACCGCACATCGTTGAAAGGCTTCGAGTCAAGACGGTAGGGAAGAAGATAGTTACAAGCTGGTACTAGGCCTCTTAGATCTTTTGTTTTGTTTCCGCAGTTCGCTCTCACGATGTTTGTTATTCTAGTCTCGTTCGAGCGCAAGGCTGGTCACCGAGTGACCGCCCTGCTACCCTCTTCTCAACACCATGGCTAAACTGCTGAGTGTAGCATTAGGCTTATTGAGCCAGCCATTCACCCATCTTTCCCAGCTATCGCTCTTAGCTGATTCTGCCTGGGTAAACAATGGCCAGGTTATCACCTCAGAGCTCTCCAACTCTATCCAAGAGATCCTCGATATTTGGAACATCACTGGACTATCTGTCGCAGTTGTTCCGAGGTACGGTGAACCGGAATTTCGTTCATGGGGAAACATGACAGAAGACGTGCGAACTGCTCAAGTTTCTTCTTACATGAACACTGAAGCTGCAATTTCCAGACATTATTCCACATGGCATCTGTGTCCAAGGCTTTCTGTGTGAGCGCTCTTGGAATTTTGATGGACGACTATGAACATGGAAGAAACGTTACGCCGCTTCCTCCCGCTCTGTCGGAATTTAATTGGCATACCTTGGTAAAAGACATCCTTCCGGGAGAATGGCAATTGATGGATGCCTGGGCATCAGAGAAAGCAAATATGAAGGACATCCTCTCTCATGTGTCTGGCCTTGCTGGGTAAGCTTGACTCAAATTCTTCAACGCTCCACCACAAGATTTTATTGAGCCTGAGCTAGCCATGACTACTCGTATGGACCACACGATAGCCCGAAAGATGATGTCTTGCGGATGCGCCATCTAAGGCCAGCTTTTGAACTTCGGGAACAGTGGTCGTACAACAACAAGGTAACGCAGTTTCAGCAAAAGCGCTAAATGCATCTTCTTAATCTACGAATAGATGTTCACGACGGCCGCACATATCATTGAAACTTACTCCGCACAAACATACACATCTTTTGTAGAGGATCGAATCTTCACGCCACTAGGAATGACCTCTTCTACCTTTTCACCCGCAAAGGCTGGGAAGACTGGCAGATTCACCCAAGGATGGACTAACAGTGGCAGACTCATACCTCAGTGTTTCACAGAAGAGATCGTGACTCTGATGGCCGGTGCAGGCGGCGTGATTTCGAGTGCCGTAGATATGGTAGGTGTTTTTTTCCTTCGTTCTATTTACCAACTGAAGACATTTGTTACCATCCAGTCGAAATGGGTTGCATTGTGGCTTAACAAGGGCGTGCACAACAATGTCACAGTCATACCGCTGTCTGTGTATGGAAACGCATCGCAGTCGTATTCCATAATCATCGGCGCCTCAGCTGATCCCGAGTTCTCGATTCAGGGGTATGGGATGGGTTGGGGTAGAAACTCGTACCTAGGCCACGATGTAACCAATTTTTCATCTGTTATTGTGCATGATGACTGATGCCGGAGTATCAGATCGTACACCACACAGGGGGGCTTCCAGGATTCTCTACACGGGCCTCATTCCTTCCAAATGACGATATTGGGGTCGTCGTTTTTGCCAACGGCGGCGATCAAGCAACACCTGTGATGAATATCTCCAACCGTATAATCGATGTGGCTCTGAATCTGCGGTCAAAACCATCACCACCGATGTTCATTATTTTCATTGCCAAATCCCTTCCCTTTGCTCACTGATCACCGTTTCAGTAAACCCGACACGTCGGAAAAAAAAACCAATCACACCTCCAAACGAAAACGTCGTTGATTTGGAACTTGCACTTGAAGAGTTCACAGGTACATACACCAACGCTGGATACGGCGCCATCACTTTTTGCGGTCCTTCTGGCAGTTCCTCGTATTGTCAGGATGTGATCTCCGACTTCGCTGCGGTGGATGCAGGAAAGTCGGGTGCTCCCCAGCCAGTTCAGCTGTTCGCAGCATGGCCTCGCATATGGTCATCTCATATTCGAGGTGTGCACCGGTCCGGAAATACGTTCGTGGTTCAGTATACCTCGTTGTTCCCAGAAGGATATGGGTGCGATACTACACCCTTTGAGACATCGGAGATCGGGTCATCCGAGGCTATGGCAGAGTTTGTTGTGGAAGATGGAAAGGTTGTTGGGTTTGGCTTGGTCGGGCTGGCGGGCCGAGTAACGGAGAGGGAGCGAACGCACACGACTGTGAAAGACCGAGCTGAGGTTTGGTTCGAGAAGGTGTAGTGATACAAATGATGTTATACATTTACCCCTAAGTTCCTATTAGGCTATGTCACAATGATTATGTAAGTCTCGGATGTTAACTTCTGTTACGGTCGAGGGAATGTACTCTGGTGATGATTGAATATTTGAATATTGATCAAAGGTGAAAAGTACAAAGGATTATGGGTTACGTGCGGCCCTTGTTTATCGTTGTGTTGCGATCATGGACGTGACACTGATGGGAATTGCATTCTATACAAGCATCATGCATCATGACATGATGAAGCATGCATTAAGTCGACATTGTGTGACCTGTAGTCCTCTATAGCTACGGGGCCCAATGCATGGTCATCGGATTCTTCGAAACAGTCATAGAGGTGCAAAATCGTGGCACCATTCATCATGTGCATGTCTCGATTGCCCAAACAGACGTCCAGATTCAAGAAGGTATCGGCACTGAAGCATCACTATTTCATAGATAACTGACATTCAACATAAGATCACCACGACAGGGCCTGAGGCCTGAGTCGTCAAATACGTGTACACCGGGATGTGAAATGCTTTTTCAAGATAGTTACTCGATGTTTGTAGGACATTCAGCGATCTGCACGATATGTAGGATGTTCGGCGGTCTGCATAGATACACTTGACTTAGAACGCGAACATCGACGAGATCTGACAGACTGAATACTGGAAATAAACTTTGATTAATGGTAGTAAGTGGGCAATGCCCGCCAACAAAGCGTGACACTTATATAAGCCAAAAACCCCTAAATGGTCCATTTTCTTGAAACCGGGCGCGTACTCAACGGCAAAGCAGTTATTATGCATTATATTGTGGTGGAAACTAGTGTAGATTATGCTAAAGTATTCTATGTGCAGCACTGAATTATGTGATCAAGTAAATATAGGTTATATGCAATATTTGCAAGGGAGCATATTAGTATCCACCTAAGTGTCATCGTTTGTGTCGTCGAGATCATTGTCATGAGTCACCAATTCACCTCGTAAACGTGCTGAGTGACGAGCCGAAAGCTTCTTGAGCAACTCGAGGTGCTGTGACTTGCTCTTGAGGTGTGATTTGAGTGGAATATGCTTCTCTGCTCCTTCAACCGTTTGCAATGCTGTAACAAGTTGTGTGTTAAGACCGTACTCAAGTAGTATCGGATCCAAAGGGCTTCGGCCTCAGCTCGTGCGCTGTGCCCCTTTCCTGAGTCTTGCCCCTTATTTCAGAGAGCTAAAGTATCGCGTCTAGTGAGACAGATAAGTATTGCAACGGATCTGTTAAGACTTCCGGATATCGAACGTATAGAGTAACGGCTAATCCGGATCGGATCCGGACTAGAAACTAACAGGTGAGGACTGTCCGAAGACAGAGGCGGATATGTAGACTATAGGAATCTATCCTAAGTCTCGGAGTAGACAAGAGTAGCGTACTCAAGTCCGGACGGATAACGGAGGGACTTAGAGTCCAGACGGAATGAGTGCAATCTAAGATGATATTCGAACTGATCTACTACAGCGCATATACAAAGGTTTATATACTACGGATAGCTAACAGAATGATCAATAAGCAAAGGTGCGAGGCTATGTACGAAAGTATAAGCAAAGTCTAAGTTAGAGTTACATATATGAACAGGAAATGAAATAAGAATCAAAGCGGATCTGTGGACCGGACAACGGATATGTTCATCGGATCTGGATCGGATCTGAGATCCGGATCATCGGATCTGTAACCGGATATATGGTATATGACATTGTGCCTTAGTGCGCCTGACTCGCTGTCGTTCGACACGGATGGTACTTCGCAAGCAAGCATTCTTGGCCTCGGACACTTTGAGTGCAGCGTGGGTCTCTTCTAGTGTGTGAGTTGTTTCCTCAAGTGTCACAACCCTTATAACGAATTAACGCAGGGGCAGAGACTAGGACTCAAACAAAGGATATCACAACAAGAGAATAGAGGATAGCAGGTATGTCTCAGATTGCTAGCAATAAGCTAATACACAAGAGGTTTGAACTGAAGAACTACTGACTACAATGAGCTACCTATATACATATATTGAAGCAGAGACTGAATCTGAATCTGAACTAACTAGCCAATCATTAAATAGAAAAGGAATCGTACAATGATCTAAATATAACTACACTTATGATGTCATGAAACGTGTGAGTGCTGTGCAAGGGTTCTCGAAGGTTCTAGGGTCACGTGACTTGATCGCTTGTGAAAGGAAATCGTAATCAGAGATATTGGAGATAAAGGTGGTGGGTGCTAATGGAATAGAGAAGTTTGGAAACGGAATTGATAGATTCGGGTTAGGGTTTGTGAATGTTATAGGTACAGACACTGATTGAGCGCTAACTACAGGTGCTTCTAACGGGTGTTTAAAGGGTGTTTTACAAGTGTTCAAGTAAGAATAATGGTTTGTATTTGGAACTCGTGACATCGAGCTTCTCCATGGTTGCAGCATGATCTTCCTGTGATGCAGCTAGGCATGACTTAAGGACCTTGACCTTTGCAGAGAGTTTTCGTGGAAGTGAGACATTATCTGGTGCGTGGTTTTCTTTATCGAGCCATTTCGCGCGGGCACATCGAAGTTGCTCATTCTTGGCTTTAGAGCACCTTTTTTTGGAAGGGCCAGGCTGTACTTGACACGCCATTTGGTGTTGAAGATTATGGTGAGACTTAAAATATCATAATGTCTTTAAAAATGAGAGTTGACTGCACGCAGTATGTAGGACTTCGAAGGAACGCGAGCGCGTCACATATCTGCGCTGAAGCTGTAAGTCCCGTTTTTGGAAAATTGCGAATTGTGGCTGACCTTTTACTGTATACAGGGGCTGTTTTCATCCGAGACCTCTATGTACCACATCTGTTGTCATTTCCGTTCATGCACAGCGAGGAATATTTTCATTTCCCCCCAGCCAACAATAATTTCAGAATAGATTTTTTGTTGTGTGCTCTTGGGGCCTAAAACCAACCATTTCTGAGGCTAAAATATGCTCAAAAACGTGAAATTGCAAAATGTATTCTGATACTCTTGTTTAGACCATCAATCCGTCACATTTCGCCCGCAAACACTTAACACAAAAGTCTTTCCTTTGGTACATAGCATCAAGTTTCACTTCTCTGTGTGTTTATAGTGTGGGATAGCTTATATAAGTGTCATGCTTTGCTGGTGGGCGTTGCCCACCACCATGATTAATGTCAATAAATAGTTTGCAGTCAGGATTTAAAGCTCCGCAAGGTCTGTGTCGGCACCGCCGGCCCCTACTATTATGGTACGCGCAATCGGCAGCCCCCAGAAGTTGGCACTTTCACAAAACTCGTGTTTCCAGCTACCTAAACACAAAATTCTTTACATAGACATCATTCTCTCTCTAACACAACTCAATACGAGGTCAAACGAATACATTTGAAGCAGAATTGAATGAGATAGCTGAAAGTGCCGAAATCACGCAGAAATGTCACCTGCCGATATATGCCGTGACGGAGTTTCAATACTGCACACACCAGTGCCGACTGGTGCTGTGCTGCTGGTCATGGGGCTAGAGCAGCGTGAAAAGGATAAGGCCGACATGGAGAAGCAGGCCAAAAAGAAGACAGAAGATGAAGTGCGCCACACTCAGATTGAACGCGATATCAAGTCGAAGACGTTTGATGCACTCTCAACACTCCGGCGCAAGGATTATTTTATCGCACTTGCTGGCGCTCTCAAGATTTCAAGAGACAGACTTCGGAACGGTTGAGGAACTCAGGACTGGAATCAAAGAGTTTCTTGCTGATGCGCAAATCAGCACTTTGCCGACAATCCACGTTTTGCTGCGCTCTTCCAGACGGGAAAAAACGCGTTCGAAGAATAAGAACTAGTCCAACACCCATTGTGCCTTCGGCACAGGAAGCAAAAGGAGTGCTTCGCACTCCTTTTTGGCTTCCTGGCCTTGGCTACATCCTAATATGTGCAGTAAATAATGAATGAAAATTAGAATGAGAGAACAGGGGAATGGGGTAACGGGCCAAAGGTGTGAGCAGAGCGAGCACTTTTGGGCTGTTACCCCATTCCCCTGTTCTCTCATTCTAATTTTCATTCATTATTTGCTGCACTCGAACGGGCAATGGTATTGAGTCGGCGCTCGAAACCACGTGACAAAACCACGCGAGACTTCCAAAAAGAGGTTTAAGCGAGCTAAGCGTTCTTAAGCGTTCCTACGCGAAAGCCACGCGAGCACCTGTGACTCCCCGAAACCCGCTCTCCCTTACTTTATAGATTTAGCCACTGCGTCATCGACAGGACAGGCTAGTAGTGGCACCTCGCAAGACAATGACGCTACCTCGTCCAACACTTTCGGTACTCATTTTTTCACCCCACCTGCCAGTGCACATTTTTTTAATCCATATTATCCTCCACACTTTACTAACCAGCCATATTTTCATCAATTCTATGCTAATCCAGCTCTCCACGCACCATCTTACTCTACAACGCAACATAATAATTCATCCGGCGGTCCCATTGCATCATCATCAAACTTAGACAGACAACCTTACAACACACACAGTCTCCCTACACATCCCCCTCAATTCTACAATTACGGCACTAATCATGGTCACCCTCGTACTTAGATTCTACTAGTATATACTGTACTTGCTTGCTCACGCCGAATACTAACTCACTTCCTTGCGCTCCTGCTTGACTGCCGAGCTGACTTTGAAACTGGCTCAGTGACATGTCGTGACTTACTGTGACATTTGCGTGACTGCCGACTTCTGGGGGCTGCCGATTGCGTGTACCATAATAGTAGTACTTATGCCTATACTTTTTCTGCAACTCCGCTGGCACTTCCCGTGTTGTCGATCGATCGACGATCGTTGCTTTTCCCGTTTCGTGTGAATCTTGTCTATGCCACCTCATCTCAGCCATGCCACCGCGACTGCCCTGGTCCTCGTAGACGCTATCCAATACTGACTTCTAGTATTAGTCTGGAGACACAGAGCGCTTGTCTGGTGGATGTCGTTATCCAGAGTTAAAATCCTTCTCACTTGGTGCAATGAAAATGATATCCAAATCGATCCCAGAATACAAGTTCAGGAAAGTTGAAAGCATCAAGAGTTAGCTGATAGCACGGAAGGTTCCTGCAGTCCCTCCTCGCGCAGTCGCGTAATCAGCGTGTACTCAAAACCACTGGTTGGCTGCAAGTCTTCCAAGTCAAGATGCTCTTACAGTGGAAGATTCCAAATGGTTCAGATACCACCAGAGCTTGCCGCGGGAAACTTATAACCATATTCTGGGATGTCAAGGACGTCATCGACTTCAGATCATATGTGCTCAAACAGCGGGGACATGATTCCCTCCATTGGAGGTGATGCCGGCAACGTTGGAGCGGCTTGCTCCAACGTAGAATTTCCTGAGCGTGCTTCGTCCCTCCAATACTTGTACGGTAAACGAGCTCGGATGTGGATTTCCTGTTACACAGGGGCCGGAAAGGAATTGGATGGTCTAATGGTAAGTACGTTGCCTCTGTAAACTTGATGCTTTTTGTATTGTGGAGGATACTCTTCGTTTGGAAAGCTGTTTTATTCATTGGTCTTCTGCTCCACTTTCATATTTTGCTTCTTTTCTCAATTGATGTGTTATCCTTGTGAGACGAGACTGACTTGTGCGATGATCGATTCCGGGATGATCCATGATGTTATTGCCCAGCCGGGAAATCAATTGAGAAGGGTAACACAGGATTGGACCAACGTGGCACGACCGCGTCATCGGGGTACATCCATGAATGCATGACTAGTGACTGATGGGTGTAGTATGCTTCATACGAACGACTTGCCTGAGGTGAATAGATGACTGCAGGGATAAGAACACGTGCGAAGCTTTAGGAGTCGCTTGGTGCGTAACTCAGCACCGTTACGATGGAATAATGACCCGATGTGACTAGTATCTAGGCACGATAGTCAATAGTATCAAAATAAAAGATGCGATCTCCACACTGGCAGAACACGGTTCTGCCTGGTTCTGCCCACATTGAATACTAGCTCCACGATCATCGGGCGTCATTAGTGACACCTACTTTCCAAATATACAGCTTGAGTATTGAATCTCGGCTAAAGCATGAGGCCTGAGGATTAACAGGAATTTGTCTGTGAAACCTTACGGGAAGTCGCCCACTAAATGAGTCATGTCTGTGTATAAAATCGAAGTGATAACTTTCAGTTCAAGAACAAAACACACCATCCAGCCCTATCCTGGAGTGCAACAATGAAGTTCATCTCACTCATCACTATGATTATGTCTACTGCAGTACTGTCGGGCGTAGTTACAGCACAAGACCCGAATAACAAGCCATGCACCCAGTATGGTAAATACCTTCAGCATACTGTGTTTTGACCTCAGACCGCGTACTTACGAGTGCTTGCAGAAACGTATGGGTGCGCAACCCTCCAGGGCTATAACTACGGCAATCCGTATTTGTATTACTGTTCGGAACTATACTTTGTCGAGGTCTCGAAGAAATGCAGCTGTCCGACTTGCTGTAACGTCATCAATGGAGGCAATGAGGCTAACGGCGGGTCCATCACCTGCACATAAGAGGAAAGGGTGAGCACGCTTCTTGCGTGCCGTGTCCATGATGTCGTAGTGATAGACTACTTACAGCTGCCGTGTCCATGATGTCGTAGTGATAGACTACTTACAGCTGCCGTGTCCATGATGTCGTAGTGATAGACTACTTACAGCTGCTGTCTCCAAAACTGTGCGTTGGTCGGCGGCTCGGCAGCTATGGCGTATCAAAAGACGGCAAAAACGCGAGCACGCAGGATTCAGTAGACTCTGATGCTACGTAAAAAAACAAGCTGTCAAAGCCACATTATCCGATCGCGAGAGAGGCCGATGAGAATCTGTGTTTGAGCACGATTGCAAGATCACCATGATTGCAAGGTCATATGGCACGGGCATAAATCCGAGTTGAATGTTACACTGCCGTTCTTGCGTGCACTGTCTACTACAGTCAAGTGTAATGAACCAATGTGTGCATGTCTTGGCTGAATTGCCGAGTGGAGCTTGGTGACTCCGAACACAGATCTGTGTCAGTTATAGCGTCAAATTTGAGGCAGTGTTAGATGACGATGGAGAATCACTTGTAAAATCTTGGTTTTTTTGGTGAATGCGACGACTTCCCTCGAGCCGACGGATTAATGTGGAAAGTGCCTTTTCCGTGCAGTGTTTCGATGCCGCAAGCACATCTAGTCCATTTTTCCTGAGGTAAAAAAAATATACAGTAAGCTTCCTTCAGAATCAGATTGAGCTGATCACGAGAAAATCGACAGTCCCACGCAGGCTTACTGTACTAATTACAATGGCCCACACCTATAGTTCGACTGCCAGCAGCTGTCTCCAAAACTGTGGTACTGGCCAAGTATAGTAGGGGTGGGCATCATACTGCGTTGCTGTGCATTAAGATGGCGGTTTCTCTGCTGTCTCCTCCTATGAAAGAAGGGCTAGTGTCTGCTAGTGTCCCCACGTATGAATAGATATGTGGATCCAGGTAGGTAACTTATTCCTGAGTACAAGGTCGATATTAAAATTCAAAACAACATCACAGTCACGACTTGCGATGCTTCATTCACCTCCAAAATCACACCGTCGTAACCATACAAGCCTGTAGTGTAGAACAGTCAGTCTAACAAGTACACTGAAAGCACTGACGACTGACGGGTTGACGAGTTAGGTAATGTGATGTTATCATATTCATCTGTGCGGTCTAGTAACATGGAGGGTAGCATCTCTCCAGGACTGAGAAAGCGCCTTATCGTCTCGAACTAGACTTTTGGATCAGCACTGAATAAATATAGCAAAACCAAGAATCGGCAACCTTGTCATAAAAGTGCTTGCGGGGAGGTGAATCTGGATTATGCTCAGATGAACACAGCTAAGAAACATGAAAGTGAGGCAGGTTACCGTCTTCGTCATCTTCGGGTTTTCCCTCCAACTGCCAGGGACATCGTTTATATCGCTGAAAGAGCGGGGAGCCAGGCTATACGGATTTGCAAAAAGATCACGAAGAGGCAATACGTGTCGTACCATATTCGAATGTATGATAATCTTTCTCACAACATGGGTCTGGCCGGATATTAGGAAGTCCACACCATGATGGAAGTAGTTATAGAAATCTAGATCTGACGCTGAGTGGTAATGTTTCTGAGGAGTTCGGATTCATTTACAGTCGGTGCTACCATCATCTTCAGATGCTTGTAGGTTTGGTGAGTGAATGGTCATTCGTTCATCCTCCTTGTGATGAACTCGAGAGGGAGGTCCAAGATCAATCGTCAGGTCTTGTGCTGTAGTTTCTCCGATGCGAACCTGGAGAAGTAATGTAGAAGAGAAAAAACTAAAGTCCACCCCATCATGTATCTGATTTGATTAAGGCATTAGTTTGATTACACAGGAAGTAGAAGTAGAAATGACCTTGATAACTGCGCTGGAAATGTCACCGTGCATGATTGGGCATGGCAATACCTCGTCCAAAGCATCGCGCTCCTCTCCATCTACACTTTTTTGTCCGATAAAGATACGCCTTACTTCTTGCGTTCGTTGCTCTAGGTGTGTGATGCCCCCTTTGAATCCTTCATTGACATTGTCGTCATCGAAGCTGAACCATATGCCAGGGTACTTTAGCTCATCTCCTGGATATGTTGGACCGAAGGTACGGCTAACATGTACTCTGACCAAAGGTTCTGCAGATGAAGATATGATTGTATCTTTGTAGCGAAGCATCACTGGTGGATGAGGTTCCCTGAGTTTCCTTACGCAGATAGTATGGAGGCGTTGATGGTATCCTGAAAACAAGAGGTCCAGATGAGGACGAAGGTGGAGAATGACTGGTGTCGTTGCAGAGTCCTCTGGATCAAACTTGACCTCAACCTGAGGGAATAAATGTTGAAGTCCGCGCAAGATGTCGATGACTGCCCAAAGGGAAGTACCTGATACGGCATGAGTCTCGTACTTATTCGGAGAGCCTTTGCGAACACACCTAGCTCAAACATCCCGATTCCAGATCCAGGTCTGATGTCGAGGTCTAACGTCGCGAACATATTGAGGCTCGCCGCAGATACGCCTGAGTGGAGCACAAAACGGTTGCATGCCTAACAAGGATCACTCTCCATCTACCACGTGACTATACCAGAAGCAAGCTGCAAGCGCGATGTTCGAGGTCCGTCATACGGCCCATTATCTTCTGATAAAGGCTACGGTTCTACTTGACAAGTTTTATCACGACCGCATCTCACAACTGTATCTTGTATTTTTGACCACTAAGACTCCAGGCAACTCGAGGAACCTAAGGCCGCCAATTAAAAAGTCCTCTGAACGCGTCTGAGTCTTTGGACACACCGCGTTGAGTCTCGATACTCTTGAACGCTATCCTCTTTTTCCTTGCCACACACGCGCAGGGATGACTGATGGTCGACAACTCACAATAATCAAGGTTCAAACCTCTATCATAACAATTGATACTCGCAGCTGATTGCATTCCCGACAAAAGGTCTTTCGAAAATACAGCCATTCGCTAGGTCCAGATGCTCTACAACTCCTGGAAGAAATACTTGAAAGGCATGATATAGCGGACAATGACGTGGAGTTCTCAATCGAGACCATTGCAAGGGAGTATAATAAACAAGATGGTGACGCGTTTGTTAAATCAGTGGTGTTTAGCAAGGCTAACCCTTACAAAAGATGCTGCCATGAAAGTTTCATTAGATATCTTGCGGAGAGTCTACGACGCGTTGCAGGACCAAGGCAATCCGGGGGAAGCAGAAGATCTACTAGACCCTGATAGTCATCTCCACTTCGTAGACGCATTTGAGATGCCATCATGGCACTGGTCTCAAGAAAGAGGGACATTCGAGAAGTGTGTTCGTATCATGACTTGTTTTCAACTTTGGATCTCATTTCAATCAAGATCTTCTAACCCTCTCACTGTCGCGGGTAGCGCAGACTCGCGAATAGCGGCAGTACGCAACCGATTGCATATAATCAAGCAGAGCATCTTACGAAACGAACATTTCTCACCGTCTACTCTTCCATCTCGAGACCGAGAACATCTTGTCACGGTACTCAATAATCTGATATCGAGGGTCCAACGCTGATCCATGACTCGATCAGCTCAAATCCACAAAGCAGCTGCTTGGTAGGGCCGGCGAACGCTTCTTGCTCTTGGGAATGCTTGCGCACAACAAAGAAGGGAAATTGTGCGTCGAGGACTCGGACGGAAGCGTCGAGCTTGATCTGTCCAAAATGGCAAGAACCTCGAAACCCCTAGATGACGTTGCTCTTATGACTTTGTTAGGACGAACCAGGCGAAGGATTGTATACGGAGGGCTGCTTCGCCCTTGTAGAAGGGGAATACAATGAAGATGGCATCCTCGAGGTTGTGGCTATGGGACAACCTCCTTGTGAGGATCGGGAGACTGCTAGGTATACTCTTCTGATTTTGTCACCATGCTTGCTCACGTAGATTAGGTCAATCTACGGTCACATCGACTTTTTGGGGCAAGGTTCAACTTCCCTACTCGAAGATGTGAGCTATCCTTACTTCTCGGTGCGGACCTCGGGTAACCAGGCTGCAGTCACAGTTCGCCCGTCGGATTCGTGAAGAACTCTCCGACCTCTATTTCTTCTTCCTTTCAGATGTTTGGCTAGACCACCCTCAAACCCTCGTTGGACTTCAGAAGATGTTCGACAATTGCATCGAGAACAGCTTTATACCCAAGGTCATCGTCATGTGTGGTAATTTCACGAGCAAGTCAATAATGCAGGGGGGCGGTAGAGACATCCAGCGTTACCAAGGTTCGTGTAGGTTGATTCATGAACGCACTCGATGCTCATTCAATATAATGGAACAGAAAACTTCGATTCCCTGGCCGATTTAATAGCATCATACCCTCAAATTACTCGAGAAACGTACTTTGTCTTTGTTCCAGGGCCTCTAGATATCACGGGCAACAGTACCCTTCCCCGCAGACCAATTCTGTCTACCTTTACGTCCCATCTCCGCAGCAAGATTCCAAAAGTCCACTTCACCAGCAATCCTTGCCGTCTGAAATTTTTTGGCCAGGAGGTTGTTATATTTAGGGAGGATACCATGGCACGAATGTTGAGGAACACAATTGGCATAAAACCAAATGTCACTGGTGAAGATTTGAGACGATATGTACGTACAAAATTTGCGTTCGCATGCAAAAAAATGCTACTGACCTCGGGCTCAGTTGGTCCAGTCGATATTAGACCAAAGTCACCTTACCCCTCTGACCACACATATTCAACCTGTATTGCCAGACTTTGACCACGCGCTCCGACTATACCCTCTTCCGACCACTGTAAGCAGCTGTCTCGTTTTCATACGTCTAAATCATAATGCCATCCTAGGTGATCCTGGCTGACAAGTACGAGAAGTATAAGTTGACATACTCGGGATGTCACGTATTCAATCCTGGAGGATTTGTTGGCAATTCTTTCTCTTTTTCGACATATTGCCCTGCCGAGAGGAGTTCTGAAGAGGGGTACGTGATCTGACTGGCTTGCCTAAGATCGCACCTGATGTTACTTGTGTCAGTGTGCTCGATATTGAGCAGGAAGACTAACTCGAAATCAGTGGTCGAGATATCAAGAATGTTCATCTATACTCAGGTCTGCTCAATGCCAGAAAAGTGGGCACTTTTGCAACGTCGACTTCCACACAAAGGCTAACCCTGCGTGGCGATCAAACCTGTCAAAGAAGACAAAAGGACATCGGTTGACTTGTGACAATTGGAGAAACCGAGCCACGTTTATAGCAAAGCTTTTCAATTTGAAGTTGAAAGCCAACCTGCTGGCCAATTTGGCCACACAAAGTCTGTTGTGTATATCTATCTGGGTTTCACCTATTGATGCCGCCGCACGGCGCGCCATTGGTTCGTGAAGTTGTATTCACTGCGATCAGAAATCCGCCAAACATTCGCCTGGATTCCGAATGGCACCTGAGGGAGAATACTTGTTGGTGGTGGCACTTTTACGCCTCTCAGAGGGCATAAACAGTAGCCATAAACATGACCCTGATTGACTGATTGAGGATTTGAGTTGGCGATGTGCATGATATCTGATATCGAAGCGCAGTGACTTGTGGGACTCGGGAGGTGTTATAGCTAGAATAGCATGGCTGTATTGAGTTTTGGACGATAGACAAAGATTGTAAGGCTTAGCGCACAGTGACATAACAATGAATTCGTTTCCTATTGACCGTTATTTATGTAAATTGACTTTGCCATCACCAGCTTGTTCCGATTTAACTTCGTTCATGCTCGTTCATGCTCGCTCACTGCTCTGCACGACGAGCAGTCGACGTACTTCATCGACCATGCGGGAAAGTTCAACCTCGTAGCTTCCAAAGACGAACATTCGTTAGCATCGAGACATTCACAAATGGGTTTCTGGATCTAGCCACCGCTCTACCTCTACCACCGTCCTTCCCTCCGTATTCTACAACTATCATAATCTGCACGGTCGTTTCGCGTCTCATCTGGACTGTACCATTTTCAATATGGGTGTGTCTTTCTTGCTGAGCCTGTGTGTCGTAAAGTAACTTTATCCTCTTAGGCAAAGCAGAGACAGCGACGTGCGGAGGAAGAGGTCATGCCCATAATTAACTCCTTAAAACCTGGTGTATCAAAACTAGTTCTCACCGAAATGCAGAAAGCTGGTGTTCGCGGTACGAAGGAACAAATACAAGCAGCTCATGGCAAACGCGTCAAGCAACTTGTGAGTCGTCGGGTGTTTATCTCATCCCAGTCTAACACCCTCCACAGTTGACCACACGTCGAAAACAACTTTTTTCGGAGTACCGCTGTAGTCCTGGATTCACAATGGCAATACCTATAATCACACAGGTTCCGTTGTTCATGGGGTTTTCGATAGTGCTCAATCGGTTGTCACAAGCACCCACTCCGTTTGACTCCGAGTCGTTCTTGACGCTTTCCACGTTGGCGCACGCAGACCCTACAGCTACTCTGCCAATTGCACTCGGTCTTGTCACTCTAGCCAATGTCGAAAGTTCACGCTGGTTTATGACCGACGCGCAACGCGAGCGTCAGAAAAAAGTTCAGAAGTGGAAAGAAGATCGCGTCGCTCGAGGGGAGACTGTGATTGAACCTCAGAAGATCATTAAATCTGCGCTGAGATTGATCTCTGTTGGTCGTATTGTTGTCGCGACCATGGTGCCAGGGGTAAGCATGTCTTTAGCTCGTTTTGCATATCAGCTCAGTCCCATCGTTTAGGGCGTCGTTCTTTACTGGGTCACTTCAGCCACTTTTGGGTTGGTGCAGACATGGATCATGGATTATTGGGAGCTGCGGAGAAAGCGGAAGCTAGCGCTGGCTCCCACTCTCTCTAAAAAGACACCAGCAGCTAAGCAATGATAACGATGGTTCTCATTTACTGCCGTGCATGGATGTTGTGAGTAGGACTGTTTCAATCTATCATGATTGGGCGGGATGACTATAAACGTGGTTTGAGGGACCACCACGTAACCGCTTCCAAGGAAGCGGTCGGTGGCTCCTATGAATGTTTCTTGATCTAATATGACCGCCCTCAATTCTCTCCTGCATGCACTCGGGAAGCTGATGAAATCTACCTTTGTGCAGACTCGAAGTCAATTTAATCTGTACTATGTAAATGATAGATTCGGGTGGCTCGTGGGTTTCTAACGGCTGCAGTCGAGAATGCGAGAGTCATTATCATTTTACCTACTTAGAGAATACCACCAGAAACCAGTACTAGAGTTGTACTAGGGTATGGAATATTGAATGCTTGTGGAATACATGTAAATATTGTTGCACCATGTAATAAGACACAGCCACAAGGAAGCACCTTCATTCATGATCAACTACATCCTGCTAGTGTCACGACAAGGCCCGTCACCTTCCTCTAATCCATCAAAGTGTTATTAACTTATCAGATAACCAGGCAAAGTACGCCTTGCAAAATGGTTCTCCACCATGCCGCCCAAGCAAAAAGTCAAGATCGTAAAGGACGTCACTCAGCTCGTCCTGGCTCGGCGCACGCGGATGTGTAATTTCCTGGAGTACAAGGGCGAGTTCTCTCTGTAATATGTAGGAAAGTGGTGAGTTGACATTGATGACGCAGACACCAAGGTCGTATACCGCCGATATGCATCATTGTTCTTCGTTTGTGGGATTGCCTCAGGAGATAACGAACTCATCACGCTGGAGATTATTCACCGTTACGTCGAGGTTTTGGACCGTTATTTTGGAAATGTGCGTTTTGATTCACGCTGTTCCGAGATGATGTACTCATTGAACGGGTATCATCTAGGTATGCGAGCTGGACCTGTACGTTTTGAAAGTGTCGTAGTATGTGAGACCTTTTGTCCACTGATTTGTATCAGCATTTTCAATTTCCAGAAAGCGTATGCAGTACGTTGTCAGCTTTTATTGGCCATATCGTCTTCTCATATCACTCGGCAGATCCTGGACGAGCTCGTGATCGCAGGAGAGATGCAGGAATCCTCCAAGAAGTCGGTGCTGCGCGTGGTCAGTTCTTCATTGCTACAATATCGGGACAACTTGAACGAATCCACATCACAGGTCACACAGTCAGATAGTGTCGAAGAGCAAGAGTCCTCCGAGGACATCATAGGTCGTTTGGGAGCTGCACGCGGTTAGACTCATTTTCTCCCTTGTGGTGTTGGCTGTATCTATAGCATTTCAAGGCCCGTTAATCCGCTGAAAGTTACCTCGGTCGCTTTAGATTCAATTGTTGCAGTGAAAGGCATGACATGGGTAGTTTATGGATAGCGGATGTCTTGAGAGGTATGCGTGGATGATACCCAAAGGTAACGGTAGTGGCAGTAACAGTATCTACGTCTTTGCAGTCGGTTTTAGCTTGTTCAGGACATACCACCTCACAAGATCAAGTGTTGCTACAGAGTCCTCCACTGAAGAATGACCGCTTGTTCCTCCACCAGCCTGGATTGTGAGACCAAGGTGTTCTTTCGCCCTGATATAATTTCGTAAATAGGTGACATAGAGTCAAATGAGGAACGACGTACAGATCCCTCAAAGAACGTCGATATGGAGGACCTGCGCGATGAGGGAAGATAATAGCTGTATCGACACATTGGTGGTGGATTATCCGAAGTGTATTCAGATCGTTGTGAAGGGCATGACCAATGACGATGGTATCGCGGTTAATGAATGCGTCAAGGGATTTGCGTATAGAAGATAATGAGAGCGTAGCCTGCGCATGTTCTTCCTGGGTAACGCCTGAGAATCGTGTGTTATAGTCTCTGTAAGAAACATGGTCAGGTTCACGATTGCAGGCACCGAAAAGGGGGGAACAACTGACATGACTTCAACCCCGTCATCCATTCTTACTAGTTCGTCGAAAACTTGTTTCCCGGAACCATCGACAACCGAAACACGGGCGACACGCAGACCTCCAGTTGTGTAAATCATCTCGCAATCTAAAGCCACGACATCTAAGGCTGTATCCGTCTCCGTATCAGCGACTGATGGACGTGTAAATGAGAATGCATGACGTGAGTGTAAGTCTTCTGCTTTAGACTCATAAAAGACATGGTGGCCTCTGGTACACCCGCCTTCCTCCGCTGGCTTCTGGCAGCAAGAGTAGGAACGCATACGCTCGCCTTCAAAGAGTGTCAAAGAATGTTTGCTGCGTTATGAAAATTGATTACCATTGACTTTGTGCGTGAAGAGCCTTCCCCAGTGATATTGACATTCTTCTGCTATGGGATTGTTTTTGACCATGTATGACTGGGTACACCGTTCGCATTGAGTGATTTTGCCTTCAGCACTCGGTTGATCGCCTCCAAGCCCTTCAGGCACTTCGGTAATAAAGCCCCACGTTTGCATGGCCTCGAAAGACATGACGACTGGTTTGAGAAGGAGCCGAGTTACCTGGAGGTCATCTAATTTCTTCCTGGATTCTGCGCGGGCTGCTAAATCTTCCTCAGTTCCAACGGAAGGGTGTGATATAGACGCAGGTATTGGACGTCGCTTCAAAGCTGCTACTGAATTTATGACAGCCTAAATGATAGTTTAAGATGTGCGAACTGGCAACGGATAGGGCGCACGTTGCGATATGTCAACTTAGTGGACTTGGTATAGACTTGTTCCTCTTGACGAAGGGCATGCTCAGAGGCAAGGGTTGGGTTTAAGGGCAATATAGTGTCGTAAAGGACGACAAAGTGTTCATACAGTGTCTTTAGCATTGCTTGACGAACTGGGAGGGCGACTTGAGATTGTGCAGCATTAATTCTAATAATCGGTACGCCGGTCTATATAACACGATCAATGAATTTGTGTGATAAGATAGTTGGTGCGTGCGTACACTAGTATGCGATGAGGCAGAGACGGCAACTGGCTTCTGTACGGTGCCGACTCTGAGACGTTGTGTTGGGGGGGGTGCGGTGCTACTGGAAGACGGACCCTGTGCTAAGTTATGAAAGGGTCGCTTTGAGGGTACTGCAGCGTGAGGTACGGCGGCGACAACTGACGTCTGTGGGAGGGGCTGAGCTTTCTGTACGGGAATGTCCAGGGAATGATGAGAAGGTAGATCTAAGCTGTGAGAGAATATACATGATGGACGATTACAATTATTTCTCCCTGGACATGGCAATGATTGAAAAAGACCCAAAGATGAAAACATAGTCTAGGCTATGAGTAGCTTAAGTACTAGACCAAGTCGGAAGACTTGGTTTTATCTTGATGATATAATCAAGGTCTTTGTTTCATTTCGGACTTTGAGTGGGTATTATTTCAGTCTCCCGGTCAAGTCGAACAATATTTCTCATAGTATATTTAGGGTTTAGACATGTCTACGCACAATGAGAAACTTCACAAAAGACGCCCTCGAGCTTCCTCTTTGCATCGTATAGAGTAGGTATGTTTCAACTGTTCAAATCCGTACCATACTCACATTTATCCAGAACTGACAAAGGTCATCATCTAACAGGCCCCTTCATGGTCCAGACGTGAGTCTTCGTTTTATCCGCCACCCTCTCTGTCTCAAACATCACTCGGTAGACCTTTGGGGTCCAATACACCGGAATCTTGTGACTCTCCCGTTTCTAGCGATAGCTTCAACATGATCAAACCGAAAGGAGGTTTGGTCGCAGACCTTCTCAACGCTAGATGGGTTGTAAATCCAGGTCGGTCCTCTTTCGTCTACGTCATTTCCAGAATGAACCTCCTTTACAGTCTCGTCCTTTAAGTTGCTTATGATACCCGTCTTACTGTATATCAATTGGGAATTATTGGCTCCATACGTCGCCCCAGGACTCCCCAATCCAGTCGCCCCTCTTCTTTTTATATCTTACCCAATTCCTGATTCCTCTCCCGACGACCCACGCTATGGTAAAGGCTATTTAGACCTGGCCTTTCTTGCATTCCACATCGTTTTCTACTCCTTCGTACGCCAATTTGTCACTACTGCCATCTGTCACCCTATCGCTCGCTACTTTAGCATAAAGAAGCAAGGAAAACTCGACAGGTTCGGTGAACAAGGCTATGCTCTCCTGTACTTTGCTGTTATGGGTGTTTGGGGCTACGTAAGTTCATCGATCATCTTGCACCATATTTTTTTTTGAACTCGACCCAAGCGCATCATGGGTCAACTTCCGACATGGTGGTATCGCACTGAATACTTTTGGATTGGTACACCACTTTCTTGCACACATGTTCTTGTCTGACCCTTTTTCCAGATTACCCTCACTGGCAGATGAAACCCGAACTGAAACGTTACTTCCTCATGCAAGCGTCTTATTGGTGTCAACAGTTTATCGTACTGGCCCTACGTCTTGAGAAACCACGCAAGGACTACAACGAACTCATCGCACACCACTTCGTCACTCTATGGCTAGTTGGGTATGTTTCGAAGCATCACAATGTCTTGAACACCTCTAATTGCGAACAGATGGGGCTATCTCACTAATCTGACGTTGATCGGACATGCTATCTATATGAGTATGGATATACCGGATGCTTTCCTGGCTGTTCGTTTACGGTCTGAACGTATTTTTCACGATCTGACCTATGCTATCGACAGTTCTCCAAGTTGCTCAATTACATGGGATTCCACAAACTCAAAGTGGGCTCCCTTGCAGTTTTCCTCGTCGTATGGAGGTGGGTGCTTTTTACACATCCATTTTCAGTGATAACCAACTTCTTCAGTTACTTCCGGCATTGGCTGAACCTCGTCATCCTCTGGTCTATATGGTTTGAATTCGATCTTATCGAGTACGTGTTCTTTTACCTACCGGATTCCTGATCTTACCGGTTGCATGCAGCGAGAGCAATCGTGTATGGGCCCCTAAAACTGGCGCTTGGCTTACTTGGTGGATGAAATATCAAATAGTCTTTCCCATCTCCCTACTCCAGCTGCTCAATATCTTCTGGTACTATCTTATCTTGCGCATCGTGATAAGGTCAATACATCCGGTCTCTATCTTTTTGTCGCTCATTTTCGTACATCACAGATCATTGAGGGATGTTAAGGTTGATGATGTCCGATCGGATGACGAGGACGACGGTGACGAGGACGAGGACGATGACACAGAAGACGCCAAGGAGGACTAGCTGGAGAATGTAACGACCTCTTGGACGCCTCTATCTGTGCGAGTCTCCAGGGACAGTACACATTACTATCATGTCATTTAAGTACTATTATGGATCCAATGCATAAAGAATGATGCGTTTCCAGAAAGTACAATTGTGATGCGCCAGCTAAGACATTTCATTTCATCACGCGGACATTCCGGCCCGAATTTCATACTACAACCTGCTCCTCAGGCTTGGTTTTGTCAATAATAGGTCCTCCGACACCTTCTGTGTCTGAATAATCGCTATCTTCCTCCCAGGGCTCGAATTTGACCTTCACTCCAGCTCCGGTCTGAGGAGCAGCAGGATAAGCAGTGTTACCTGTTCGGTTGGGCCACCTCTTCTCCCTCTGCATATCTAGAGGGTCGCCAGAGGCCATTTCCTTTATGGCCAGCAAAGTGTACTGAAGATATTGTCAGTCAACCTTGTCTTGAGTCAAACAGTTCCGAACGTACATGCGCATCATTACCTGCGTTGTGCAGGAATGAAGTAGGGACTTGCAGATGCCTGCAGACTCGCTCTAGTGAACGTCTGTTATGCCCTCCTTCGCCTTCCAGTGCGGCGAATAAGTCGGACGTATCTAATACAAAGACTCCACTGTCGGGCTTTGCATCGGGAAGTAAGAAGTTGAGGTTGGGCAGGTCAGCATTGACGGCAGCAGATTTGAGGTATCTGCCAAAGGTGTCAGCGGTCAGACGCGTGAACTCTGAATCATCTTCTCACTTGATGTCCTGGTTATTATCGTGAAAGATCAAGAAAAGTGGGCCATACTTTTGCAGGTCAGCCACTAGATTCTGGATGCGGGTCCTGAAAGTAGCTCGATTGACAAGTTCGCTGTCCCCGAATGAAAAGTGCTAGATTATTCGCGCTAGGGTCAGTCACAAGCAGCAACTTCTCAACTTTCCTACCTCGCGATTGTTCTGGACGAATGTATTGGTATAATGGCGATATTCCTTCACGATGAGATGTCCCTGTTCTTCGACTTGCTGGCCATCGATCCACCGGACAAAGCTCCATCCAAACTCAGTGAGCATGGTGTGGTCCCTGTCCCATGCTTCGAAGTCCAGAGCACACCAAACGCCGACTTTCTCTACCCAGAGAGTGCGAACGCGTTCAAAAATCTCACGACGCGTTTTCAACATCGGATCTGCTCCCTTCAGACGCTTGTTATTCTTTTCTATTTGCTGGGGATTCTTGTAGTCAGAAACGATGGGCTGGGGTGTTTGGTGCAACATACCTTGAGAGCACCCTTGAGCTCGTCTTTGGTCTTGAATATGACGGGTGTGACGTGGCGGAGGCTAGATTCGGTTAGAAGACAATCGGAGTAAGGAAGAGATATGAGGTTTTCAGTGAGGCCCATGGCGTGCAGCCAGTATCTCAGGTATTCCACCTGTGCTGAGGAGAATAGCAATCGCGTCTCAAAGTTCTGGAGCGTCCCTAGATAAATATAAGACATAGGGATCTACACGACGTAGCGATTTCAGTTACCCAAGAAGAGTTCGGCTCCATCGACGCCCTCTTTGTGGAGGGGGTGATCAGGATGAACAAAAGCATCTTGCGCTAACGATGCCCTCAAGGGACTCCGATCTGCCTCTGGTAAGGCTTGGTGCCTGTGCAATTCACAATTTTCCGTCAGTAAGTTGTTATCCACTGGATCTATCGTACCATTCAAAGAAAATATCAGTATAACGATAATATCCTGTGATGACTGGGGAAACCATGATGGATTGATGGATAGAGTAAAGACAACTCGTACGGCGCTTAGATCGCACCGTATCATTGTTGTTTACCATAAATGGAAAGTGTGTTCGAGTTTGTCCGAGTCGCCGACCACACATAGACGTACGTCCACTCCTCCTAGCCATTTATCACTTCACAAACCAAAGCCTGTTCTTTCCCATCCTTTCTATTTCGCGCTGCTAGTTAGATTAAATGGCACAAACCGTACAGAAGCGCAAGAGACTGACCGGTGCCACACAAGAGGATAGTTCAGACGAACCCGGGCCCTCCAAGCGGCCCAAACACCCAACAGCGCGTAAGAGCACTGGTAGAGAAAAACCCGCCCCCGCTTCTGCAAGGGGTGGCAAAATACGAGGTACGTACGCGTCCGGTCGCGTCCATACGCGTCTTAACATCATCCCGACAGCCTCGAACGCAGGCGCAGAGGACGAACAGGGACATTCGCGGAAGAAACGTCGGTATCGCCCTGGTACTCTCGCGTTACGCGAAATCCGAAAATATCAGCGGAGCACAGACTTACTGTTGCGTCGGCTTCCTTTCTCGCGCGTGGTATGTGTTTAGTCGTGTTTCAGCCTAGGCACCTTGTCCTGAATGGGAGCTCCAGGTACGTGAAATCGCAATGGATATGATGACGGACACGAACTACGAGAGGGGGGAGGCTGGGCTAAGGTGGCAGAGCTCAGCAATCATGGCTTTACAAGAAGCTACTGAGGCGTTCCTGGTTCATTTGTTCGAGGATGCGTACGTCCCACTCTTGTGTTTCTCAAGTCTATCTTAACAATGGTACAGTAATCTGTGTGCGATACACGCCAAACGCGTGACAATCATGCAGCGCGACATTCAACTTGCTCGGAGAATAAGGGGACCATGGGGTGGTTTGGGGTAGGGGTTGATTGTGGATATTTATACAGTTATTTGTGTCGACTTTGAAGGCATTTAAGTTTATGTATCGCACTCGTTATAATGGCAAGCATTTCCTAAGTACTATGCATTGTACATGAAATTAGATAAAGTGAAAACATGAAGTTGGACACGGCCAAGGACATATCAACAACGTATGCACGTGGAGTGAATGCTAGAAGATTAATAATGATACGATGCGCTCGAACAGTGGGCATAAGAGTACGATTGAACCTAAACAATAGAACTGTGTTGTGATGATTTCCGATGTGTAAGATGGGTGTTCATGAGTGAATGTAAATGAGCGTGACACCAGAGATAGGGTCCGGATGTGGTATTAAGAGTCCCAGATTAGATGTCTATACTATGGGTATGCACTCTGATGCCGACTTGGCATCGAGCGGGTTTGGGATGTCGAAACTGACCTTCCAGGTGCAGTATAGGCGTGCACTAATGCAGGTGGCTCATGCGAACGATGAAGGCCACTGCTACGGGAAAGGTGTGCAGCTTGAGGAGACCTTTTGTCCCGCAGGTCTGTTTGGCTTCCGTACTTCCGATCAGCTGTGACATTACTGCTACTCGGGTGTCCGCGTGTGTCATCGCTGGCACGCCGTTGGTGGTTGGAAAAGTGTCCGGGAGAATTAGGAGCAGCGCGAGATGTATGGCGGACGCCTTCTGCGCTGTGGTTTGAAAAGCTGTTTTGTCGTGGAGACGAGGGAACTTGACCATAGGAAGAGTAGTTTGAGTACGGTTGCATTCCGAACTGGTTCGTCATGCCAAACTGGTTCATCATGAAAGGAGGGGAAGGGGGAAGTAAAGGGTCCAAGGAATAGAATGGCATAGCCATCATGGGAGCGACGGGAAGCGGTGAGACTGGTGGAATGGGAAAAGGCGGAACCGGCATGTTGCCCCAAGGGTTGTATGGTAGAAGTGACGCGCGAGGATTCGACAACGGCAACGAGAATTGTTTTGACGGGTCATATGCAACAGAGGTGTGTTTGCTAATATGTCGCCCATCCCGACCTCTTGCATCGTCTGATGATGTGTAAGTTGAGTAGACGGATGGAGGCCTTGAGAAGCTATGCTGGCTCCCGGGGGTAGCAGGCATCGAACTGGTAGGAGAACCGTCGTAAGGCGAGAGATTCGCAGAAGAGACCTTGAGATCTGTTGTCCGTTGGCGCGTTGATGGTAACCCAGACGGATGAGCGTCACGGGATGCAGATCTGTCACGTTCTATGTCCCGAACCAGGGAGGATGAGGAGATATGACCAGCTCTAGAGGCTTCTCGGCGGGTCCGCGAAGCCTGCAACTCCGAGGCGTAATTTTGATGTCGTCTTTCTTCCTCTATTTTCTTCCTGTGGAGTTCACGAGCCTTGCGCTCCTCTTCCTGCTCTCTCAGTTGTGCTTCCCGCAACCGGCGTTCTTCCTCCCACATGCGCCTGTCATCCCGTGCGCGCCGTCCCTCTTCCAATTCTCGCTTCTCACGCTCTTCGCGAAGAAACCTTGCTTTCTCTTCACGCTTTTTCTTGATACGTAGGACATAGCCCAAGGGAATTTGATCGTCTTTGCCACCTTCCGCGAACCTAACACCTCGTTTGACAGCGGGCGTGGGGGTAGGCTCTGCTTTGAGTCTGCTGATTTCTTTTTTAGATTCGTCTGGTGAGTCAACTGCAAGCGTGAGGGGCGAGAATTCAAAGTCTGCGACGGCAACGGAGGGGCTGAGTTTTTCCGTCGATGGCGATGCGACTGCGGCAGCTCCTGGAAAGATGATGAACTAAAAACACAAAATGCAACGTACTGAAACTTACCAGAGGCAGATTGAGACGGCTCAGGCTGAGGCTCTGCAGCTGGATCGAAGCCATCATCAATGTCGGACAGCAAGCCGGCCAGTATTTGTAACGGCTCCGAAAATTCGAGAGCCGCGACACCAAGCTGTGATCCAGTGACGATTTGACCAGAAGGTTCCTGGCGAGTCCAAACAAGAACTCGATCTTCGTAACAAGGGCGAGCCACCCAATTGCCGAGACCTTCGCTATTGCTCCTTAAAGACTGTGCCTTCGGCCATGTGTCGATATCGGGATCGTACGCCGGTGCTTCTTTCACCCGAGTCACGGATCGACTGCAAAGAGGCGCTAGACTGCGTTCCTCTGAAGGTGAAAGGGACTCCAGCGTGCTCAGGAGCACTGCTTTGTGCATCTTAGATTCCAGGGTGTCTCGGCGACGAACATGTCCCACACGAAGACAGGAGCGGGGGAACGGTGTGTTGTGGGGAATATCCAAAAGAGGAGGGCAAGAAGGACGATCACCGTCAGCAGAGCTGTTGAGAATAATTACTCTCATACTATGTCGTGCCTGGGTATTAGAATGCGCCAAGTTCTGGGTGGGAGGATCCTGAAGACGATCTGCTTCATCTTCAGATTCTGATGACGCATCATCCGTCTCGTTCGACGTCGGTGTCGGTGGAGGACGTAATGCGATCCCTGCCGTCGGAAAAGGCGGCACCCAAGCTGCTTTCGTATCTCCTTCATCTCTGTGGTTTTTTTGCCCCTAACCAAGATTTCCAGCTACCCTTCTGGCTGAGCATGCGCGTGCGGGGTGACTCTTCATCGTCAGGAGTACGCAGCTCTGCAGAGCCGGAGGATGCTGAGGAGGAGGAACCGCTAGCGAAAAGCTGTTGAGGGACCGCTTTTCGAGAAAGCGAGTTGAACATTCTCAGGCTACCCTTCCGTTTTGCAGCCTCTTGTGGGAGAGGGCCGTTGTCGTTAGATGACGGTGCGTCAGGCTTGTCAGCACGTCTCGCAAAGACAGAGGACATGCGACGCATGCTGGTCGTGGTTGGAAAAGTAAAGAGCGACGTATGCGAAAGTAGGCGACGCTAAACTTGAAACGCTTTAGAGCATTACAAATGGGACTGGAAGGCAATGATTGATTCAATGGTTCAATGCTGCAGATGGAAGGACCCGAATTAGCACGTTTTACGGCGTCTCTCACCGGTTCTGTGTTAGCTCGGCTACTTATAGTTTGGACTTGAGAAACACTGGTTTGTGAACTACGAATGTGTGCGATCTTCTGTGGACACAGGAAGTTCAAGGATTCGGTAGATGCATGGCTTTATATACTTCCTCGCACGAAGATCAAAAGTGCCTGACAGTTCCGCCGGGTTCGTGCGAATTGACCCTGCATGCAGAGAAGCATTCATCACAGTATCAATGTTATTATTATGTACCCCTGCGACAGAATAGTCGGTACCACGATGCGTCAAGTTAAATCAAACCTGATCACGTATGTGACGCCCGCTATTTTTGGAGACGGCTCATCGGCCAGCTCAATCATCCATGCCATCGAACAGCCCCTCTCCTTCTGAATCTTGCTCTTCCTTCTCTCGTCTTCGCTCCCTGTAATACCATCGCCGGAGTCGCCGCTCAAAGCGTTCAACCACCCCGCATAAGTAATCATCACCGACGCCAACCCATTTAGCTGATCTCGTGATGATGAGCGCCTGCTCCTCTGGGAGGTTTCCCAGGACATCGCGAGAATGGTAGATAGTGTATGATTCTCCGGGTTGTAGAACGGTCGTCTCGCCTACGTTGATTTTCGTGGCTGAGAGTCCTTTAACGATGCTGTGAGGGACTATTACTTCCAACCGAGCACCTCCACTTTCAGTCGACAGTGGGAAATAATTGTCCAGGATTTGTTGATCTATTCATTATCGTATAAATAACAACTACGCATTTCGGCGAAGGAAAACGCCTAACCTGATTCACCCCTTGGCGGTTTCACCAACACTCGTTCGCAAAAGTTGAGAAATTCGTCTATAGTCGCAAGATCCATATCGCCGGTTGACCTGACGCCCTCTAGTTAGTTACCCCCGTGACGAGACCTTGGTGCCTGCTTCCTCACATAGGAACCCTGGAGCTAAATCGCTTTTCATTATGCCGGGTATCTGCTTCACCCATTCCCCTGAATGCCGACAGATAACCATGAACGTCTGGAAAGGCGGATGCGGGATCCTCTACATCACGTGGGAGCCTGACCTGTGTCAATTCCGTTGCGTGTCTCACAAAAGCGAAATAGTTACCTCGGTTTCCCGTCGAGGCCATACACAAGTTTCAGTACAACTATTGCTGTGGCCACTAGCGCTAGCTCCGGCGGCACGTTGTCATACAACTGCATTTCGGGATCACCCAGTGCGCAACGTAACGTGGGTGACAAACTGTGGTGCAGTGTTAACGGCAGCGACAGAATACGACCGAGCCTCTTTGCGAGCCTGTACAATGTAGCTGGTGATATGAGTACGCATTACAAGCATAATTCGTAACTTCGGGGGAACATACGAGTGCCGCCAAGACATTGCTGCACAACTCGCCATAAGACGGGCGACGCGTTGAGCTCTGGTGTGAACACGCCATAATTCGCGTACATGAGCTTTGCCAAGCGAGAGGTGAGGCGGTGGATGTAAAGCGTGCTTGGGGGAAACTGTATACGTTCTTGCAATCAATTCGGTTGCGTAGAAAACGTGATTGTAATTACATGAGGAGAGAGTGCGCTCGCAGCGTGCTTCGTCAAATGACAAGTCATATCGGACGGGAGGAGGCGAAGGAAATCCAAATAAGGGAGCTCGTAAGATTCAATAACGCTAAATGTATGGGTCAATTCAATTGCAAGACAAAAGGTCATACAAGCCAAGACTTACTTAATAAAATCCTTGTACATCACAGGTAAACGTATGGTCCAACATGCGACCACTAGAACAACGATACAGTTGACAGGGCGGTCATATGTACCGACAAATCGGTAACTCGACTGGACCCCATGCTTTTGGGAAGTATGGTCCTTTTCCTTGTCCTCGTCAGAGGAACTTATTTCGGAGTTTTCACGCAGAAGCTCTGCAAGCTCCGGGTCTTCCTCTTCGCTGCTAGAAGAGGACGACTGGGGGCCATCACCGTCGTCGTCATCGGACTTAGACTCATCAAGGTTGTCTAATAATGGCTTTGTGTCACCAGCATCGGGATTATTACCCTTCTGCTCCCGCAAGTGGTGGTAGGGTTCCGCAGGGGGTGGTCTCGGCAGAAGATTCAAATGCAACGCCCATGTATCTCTGCATACAGTCTGAGTCAATGAAGTGACGGCCTCCAAACGACTGGAGGAAACCAACTTCAAACTCGGGGGGTAGATCCCAAAGTGCAATCAATGCCGCGATCTGCTTCCGTAGCACTAGCTGCAAGCATTGATAATAGTGAAAGCGTGCGCGTTCGCCGTGATATACTATTTTAGATTAGTTGAACGTTCCCATTACAAGGATCTTGGAGTCACTCACGCTTAGGATCGGCTCTGCTCTGCCTTGCCCCCTTCTTATGACCCGACTTGAGAGTGCGCTTCCTCATGGTGTAATTACCTAGATCCTGTGTTTCGCCTGATTCATTTCTGAAGTTCTGTCGAATGTATTAACTTCTAGAGCACTCGTGCCAAATGATAAGAAGTCATACGCACCTGTATGACATGCCCTTCGCTGCAGGCGACAAGGCCGCTCGAAGAATCCTTGTGCCATTGCTTCGACCCACAGACAGGACATTTGCGTCGTGGCGCCATGAAAATGTTGTTGTACAAAGGAGTAAACGCCCACGTGATGCACAGGTCGGGGTTATTCTATCTTCTCAGTTCTAACTTCTCAACTTGTTCGCCGTACACATTCACTCTTCCTGCACGCTCACGACCGCAGCAAGAAGTGGCTGTGACAGTCGCAGATGAAGCTTTTCACCTTCGTCGCGTTTCTTGCTGTGTTGGTTATCGTGGTTTCAGCGTGAGTATGATATTCTAGGTGCACACGAGTGCATTGTCTGACTTAGAGCGCGTTTCACACTTTTTTCTATCCTCACCGCAAACAGATGGACCAAAGTAAGATAGTTTATTACGCATCTCAATACACGATCTCATGCAGATAGGAAGGAAGACCATGAAATATTCGATCTAGTCACTGCTCTTGAAGCATCCGAGGGTGTGTCCTGAGTACTATTTAGTGCTTAGCTACGGAAAATTGAGACTCTACTCCCATAGGCAAGGGTACCACGTTCTACTCATGGCTGGATGTGCCTTCGACGGCGACGCTTGTCCAGATTAATAAGGCGTACAGGAAGAAAAGCATCCAGCTCCAGTTGAGCACCAGTCCCGTGTTATATGCCATTGGTTGCTAAGTGCATATTTAGTCCGGACAAAAATCCTGGTGTGAAGGACATCCATGAAACGTTTGCGCGTCTGGGAGTTATTGCAACCATTTTGAAAGACACCGAGGGTCGTAAGCGGTATGTAGACTTCACTCAGACTTGGTCCGAGTTCCGAATGTTTATTTGACTGTCCACAGGTATGACTTTTTCTACAAAAACGGTGTACCGAAATGGAGAGGCTCGGGCTATTACTATGCACGGTTTAGGCCAGGCCTAGGGGTATTTCATAATTTTTTGTTCGGATGAGAGACCCGGAGTTCATTTTTGAATTTTAGACTGTCCTGGTATTCCTTACCATCCTCACATCTGGGCTTCAATATCTCGTGCAGACATTGAATTACAAACGGGACCTGCGGCGCGTTGAGCTGGCAATACGGGACGCCAGACTTGCAGCTTGGGGCCCAAAGATGGAGCCACTCCAAGGAAAACGGAAGGTATGACTTATATCTGAAAGTGTGATCCAGATATCCAGACATGCTTTCACCTACAGGTTAAGGTCAACCTTGGCGGGGGCCCTCGTCAAAACGAAGATGGAGATATTATTGCCGGAAAAATGCTTGATATGGTCGTAGAACAAGACAACGTATTCATTGTACGTGAAGTACCAATATCACTCTGCAAAGAATGATTCTAACTTATCAACTGAGCAGCTGGATCCCTCGGGTAGTCTGCACCTCCTGGATACAAGTTCGGCTACTCCTGCGGCCATTTCAAGAACATGGTTCATCGAGCTATTGATCAGCAGTATTCGTAAATTCCGCTACTCCAAAGAAAACGAAGTAGATAACGAGCAAAGTGCCCCCACTGTTGACAGACCTGACTCTCCGGCGAGTGGAACTGCCATGCATAGTGGAGCAAGCGAGGGTGAAGAACCTAGGCAGGCAGGCTATGTTGCAGCAGTGAAAGCTGGTGGGAGAAGAAGAAAGGCGACGAGAAAGCGGTGACCACATGTCCTACCGTTCTTCGGTACACTGCGGGGATTTAGAGTTGCGATATATGGTACTAGCCTCGCTAATTCCAGATTAGATGGGATGGTTTCATTAGCCCCGTGGTCAAAGAAGATCATGTGGTCTTTGTTAGACATCTAGTTACTGGTGATTATTTGCGCCACTGTTGGCAGGTGACCATTGCATCCAACTCCACGTCGCAGGGGTGGCGTAATAGATGGTGATCCAACAGTTGATTGGATTTAGGATAAACCAACAGGATGAAAGATTAAATTTGAAACGCGAAGGAATATGGATGGAACGTGAAGATGACCGACTCTCCGACGACCAAGGGAGCCTGGGACATAAGCTTCAATATTCGAACTAGTAATAATACATGATGAGGGAGCTCCGAAAAGCCACGAGAATAGAAACTCTCGCAAACCAGTAGAACTCGGTGAGACACGCGGTAAGCCAAAATGAGGTTAGGCTCCGGTAGATCCCCGCATCACTGTTGTTAAACACGGCCCAGGCCTTTGTTCGACCGAAGATATAAGCATCAATGCGTACTACTTGTGTGATATGGCGAGGACATTGAACATAAGGCGGAAGCTGAACGCCGCTGCCATGCACAGCAAGTACTATTGGAGCCCAATTAGAGCACCATGAGGAGAAATATGTCGGCCGATGAGGAGCTCACATGTTCCGGTGGAGCTGCGGAAAGCCTTGGCCATTGGACTAGAAGACGTGTGAGGTCTAGAAACGGGCCGACTCACAGTGGGTGAACTTCGGATACAGAAGGGCAGTAGCTATAGTACTTCCAAGACGTTGACATTAATCGACATGTAGATCCGAGTGCAGGGTCGAAGGCCTAAGACTGTAAGGAACGAGACACACGGAATTCGCAACTCTTTTCAAATCAAATAATAACAAATATTAAAGATCAAAAATGGGAGATGTAAAGAAACAGGGAATTTGCAACTCTTTCAAATTAAATAATAACAAATATTATATAACGAAGCAGTGCAAAAATCAGATGTAATTCCTTATCATCCAATCAGTAACCAGTAAAAAGACGGTGCCTTAAGTAAACAAATGGCAACAAAGGGGATAGTGACCTCTCCATTTAAGCCGTTCCACAAAGGCCTTGACTCCTCTCATCTCCTGTGCCTCACGCGTTGTTCAACATCACAAGCACTAATATCCTTTGAACAATCATGGCCTATCTATACCACAACGATCTTCTTGCTCCCTACCTTGCACTCCCCCAAGGCGACAAGGTCCAAGCTGAGTGTGAGATTCTTTTACTTTCTTATCGATTTCGGAAGAAGTAACCTCAATCTACAGACGTTTGGATTGATGGCGATGGCGGTCTTCGTTCAAAGACCACGGTCGGTCATCGCGAATGATTGTCGGTCCATTCATCTATATTGATATTCCAATTCCAGACAGTGAGCAAGAAGGTGACTGACATCGGCCAGCTCCGCATCTGGGATTTCGATGGTTCATCCACAAACCAAGCTCCAGGTACTGACTCAGATGTCTACCTCCGTCCCGCCGCTATTTTCAAGGATCCTTTCCGGGGTGGTGACAACATACTTGTTCTCGCCGAGACCTACAACAATGACGGCACCCCCAACCGAACTAACTACCGCCACCACACTAAGAAGGTTATGGATCTCGCAAAGGACACTGTTCCCTGGTTCGGTCTTGAGCAAGAATATACCCTTATCGATGCAGATGGCACGCCATACGGCTGGCCGAAGGGTGGTTTCCCCGGACCCCAGGGCCCTTACTACTGTGGTGCAGGTATGCTTCCTTTAGCCGCCCAGATGTGCTCATCGTTAATTTCGCTTGTTTAAGGAACTGGCAAAGTTTTTGCTCGTGACCTCATCGAGGCTCACTACCGTGCCTGCCTGTACTCCGGCGTGAACATCAGTGGTATCAATGCTGAAGTCATGCCCTCCCAATGGGAGTTCCAAGTTGGCCCTTGCGAGGGTATCTCCATGGGTGATCACCTCTGGATGGCTCGTTACCTTCTCGTCCGCATTGCTGAACAGTGGGGCGTCAAAGTCTCCTTCCACCCTAAGCCTCTTTCAGGGGACTGGAACGGTGCTGGTTGCCACACCAACTACAGCACCAAGGCCATGCGTGAGCCTGGAGGTATGAAGTACATTGATGAGGCCATCGAGAAACTCTCAAAGAGACATGCTGAGCACATCGCTGTCTACGGCGAGGACAATGATCTCCGTCTCACTGGCCGTCATGAGACTGGCCACATTGGAGACTTCAGTTCTGGTGTTGCTAACCGTGGTGCATCTATCCGAGTGCCAAGGCACGTTGCTGCCCAGGGTTATGGATACCTAGAGGACCGCCGTCCTGCCTCCAACATTGGTCAGCATGTCCTCTATTCTCGTTTATCCCGTTAATGACTTTTTCTATGAATTAGACCCATACCGTGTGACTGGAATCATTGTAGAGACCACCATTCTTGACAAGTAGAAGTTTTTTTTTCCCGTTGTACTTTACCCATCCGTTTTTGTTGGGACGCAGCCGAATAAAGGAGGCATGCATGACTCAGACTCACAGTAATAATTTGCTCTGCAGCGTTGTACATCAATGATCATCGAATAACTTCGCTCCGCGGAGACAAACAGCTACTTGTTAGACTAATAATGAATCAAAACTACTGGTCAACAACTGTTGCACATGTCACACTATGAATATTATCTAATTAAGTATCACTGGTTCAGGGACCAGCAATGATCAGTTCTGCCACCATTCTTGGGCACGCCAAGCTTGGACACTCATACATCACAACAACAGTCCATTTTACGTCAATATTAATATTTGTAGTCTGGTTACAGAACCTATGCAGGTAGCTACGGCTGAGATTCTCGTGTGACACGCTAGTCCTTATTAGATTTATTTATTCGTTTATTTGGTGTTGTTAGAATCGAAAGGTCTTGATTGCCGAAATTGGTCAGTCTGGACTTTGCTGTTGCGCAGTATTGGCGCAGTAATGGATCCGCAAGACAGAAAATTGACTCTACCTACCTTTCTCAAAGTCCTCACCAGCAACAATGTGCCTGTTCCAAAGGCAATGGCAGTAGCCAGCAAAGTGTTCGTCTGCTCAATTAGCAAGTTTGTGTGAATAACTGTGATCTCAGGTACAAGGAAACCAATACGACTAGCCTCCTTGCGCAACTTACAGACGCGAAGTTGAAAGTGAGTGGTGTGGAAGACAAGGAAACGCGGAAACTCGTGTTAGCTGCAATTCGCAAAGCGGGGTACACTGCGCAGCCCTCAGGTTCGAAATCGAAAGCAAAAAGTGACAAATCCAAGAGTTTGGATGAGCAGCCCGTAGCAGGTCCGTCTGAACCGAGGGTCGCAAATGCAGTGCAGATCGTGGTGAGTTCACATCCCGTTGCATAATTTGCATGCTAAATGACATAGACCACACCAGTTAAGCGGAAACGAAAATGGGACGACGACTTGAACGAGCTCCTTCCAGATGGACCTCCAGACGAGGCTGCTGCGTACGGCAGCTTGGTGTTCAATGAGGTATTAGATGAGGCGGTACAGTTCAATCCTCCGCTCGCTCAATCAGGCATGCTCAGCGCGTGTCTTCTTAGGTTCTCAAGACGAAGTCTACAGTTGTGAATCGGGCACCATTGATGACAGCCTGGGCAACTGTAGTTGCGGAGCGCTTAGGATTTGAGCGGGAGGAAGCGCTCAGCATTGGTACGTACCAGCCAGTGGGCATGCTTGATGTACTCAAATGTCACGAAGCTTCCGTTTACACTGAAATGAATGCAATATCAAAGGGCGTGTCCTTGGGTATCTTTGACAGATCACGCAAGAAAGAGATAGAACCTATCAAGGATAGCACACAACCTTATGTCGACTTACTAGGAAGAAGGTATGCCTCATGGCAGGTCTTGGTGCCTTTTACTGACAGCACAACGTGTTACGATTGTTGACAGGATGTACGTCCATCTGTCTGTCTATTTACAAACGTTCTGATCTTCCGCGGCCATTCTGCCAGACCCCTCTATCAGACACAGAACGAGATATGGCGTGCTCTCGACAACACCTCACCGGCTCTCCCCAGCACAGCATTTTCATATATATCTCGTGCGTTTCGACAGACGACTCCGTACGTCATGGGCGCCCTCCGATTGTTGGCCGAAAGCTTCCCACCCCCAGAACTTAATAACAAAGGTTTCGGATTGTATGCCGAGTTCAGACCTGATGTAGATGGGTGGGGTAAACGTGGCGAAGTGCGCTGCGAACAAATTCTGTCACTCCGCAAGAAAGACAGAAGCACTATCGCTGAGACCGCTGTGAAAGGTGAAGTTGTAAAGCTGGAAGTCAATCACGATTCGAGAGCAACTGAAGGTCCGGGTGGGATACAATCTGGTACGTCGGAAGGACCGGAACACAAGAAGGCACGAACGATGACCCTGGAGGAGTACGAGGCTGCACTGGACCAGGATGACACATTTGATGATGTAGACCCACCTGTGACTCCCACGTATTGCCTCTAATTAGACGTGATTATAGATAGGGCTAGCACGTCTAAAACGACAGAGTTCCAGCGTTTCCAAGCCTCCTTCAATAACTCTTGGATAAAGAGTGACTTATAATAACAGTAGTTCTAGGTAACTAAGCGGGACGTCGGCATTAATGTTCCTGGCTTCGGCTATCATGCTCCCGCCATGTGAACCTTCGTGCCCACCGTCGTACACGACGAGCTCCTTAAACCATGCATATTGACAGCGCGTTTTTACACATTGGTGGCGCGTTTTTTACAGTGACAGCTACTAATCATTCAGATATGTACAGATCCTCAGAATATACATAAAAGAGTAGCAGGGTGTACTACTCGCCCTCGTCCTCTTCCTCATCAGACGACTCAATGAACTCCGCACTTTTAGGGGCCTCACGATGCTGGGCACTAGTATTCTTTTTCACCTTCTTTGACGGCCTTCTGTTCTCTTTGTGTGCCTGTCCTGTGGTAGGTGGAGCCTTGCGCTTGCGAGTGATTCCAGCATCGGAGCGCTTCTTGCGTGGCTGCCGAACAACTTGCCCCGCCGAACGGCGCGCATCAAGTTCAGCACTGTGAACCTTGACTTCGGCTGGAGTGAGAGCAGCCCAGTAACATGTTTGGTCCTTGAGCGCATCGCGGAGCTTGCGAATTTCACCGACTGTCCCGATGTTTGAGGGACTGGTAAATTTGATACCCTGGGGCCATCCTACTAGCTTGACCGCATACGTTTCGATAATCGCCGTCTCGTAGTTGTTGTAGTTCATCGTGATGTCTCTTTTGCCAGTCATTGCAACTGTAAAGATGTCAGACAGCACTCATGCACACTACTGTCACATACCCAGTCCTCGGACAATCAATTTTCGAGCTTGCTTGCGGACTGTTTCCAAAGAGTCTCATTCATTGAGATCTGAAAAAGACTGAATAAGAATAAGATATCACTGTGAGGAGCCAGATGACTTACTTTGATTCTGCGTGCAGGCCCATTGTTCGTATTGTCGGAGAAAATCAGCCATTGGAGAGTCGTAAACGTCCTCCCAGAAGTCTTCAGAATTGTCAGTACCGTGCATTGTGCTTTGAATAGTGTCATTAATGTGACCCCGAACGACAAATAGAGTCCCGTAGGTGCCTGTGCGAATACGCAAATCATCGAGCTTCGAAGTGAAAATAAGTTCAGTAGAATACATGTGACAGGCGGAGAGCTCACCTCCTTGACCACCCTTTCTGTCGTGACTAAAACATCTCGCGCAGTAGCCATGTTATTTGCTCGCACGCTACTTACCTTTTGTTCACGGTGTTGACTGAGAGCAGCTATATAAGTGGCCTTTTCACCCTTCGTCAAATCTTGCATCTGGGGGTCCTGAGCAACCATCTCGCGCAGCTCGACCAATGTGTACCGAAGGCCATTAGGCTGGCCTTGTTGCAACAGAATATGAGTATGAGAACAAGAGCAAGCAAAGGAATTTTGCGTACCGCTGTTCATTTCCTTAGCTTTGGCATGAATTAAGGCGTTATTGAGGTGAACCTTGCGCGCCGTGCAATACTTGGTCTGATGACTGATTATGTCGTTGATCTGTTTGGGAGTAACATTGTGAGCGAGTGAGAGCAATTCAACTCCGTTTTTCTGTTCTTGCAGATGTTTGGCAACAGCATTGTGTAGATGCTTCGTAATTTCTGTCCTCTGGTCTTTCTTGATTTTCCGAGAGGCCTTCTGGGCATCTGATAGCCGAGGCGGTGGGGTCCGGCGATGGATCATGGGACGTGTTGGGTTTCGCGCTGCCCAGGTGGATGAATTTGCATCACGGAGGGGCTCTGACAATGACTCTTCACCACCAGGCGATGATGCGCGAGAGGAAGGTGTGAGTTCACGTGCGTCAGGTGAAAAATGAGAGATGACGGGAGTAGGAGGCTGTGGAAGGGCCGGGCCATCATTGAGGAATGCTAACTCATCACTTGTCAGTGGCATCGAGTATAATGATGGGTCTTCCCAATCGATACCGTGCCAAAGTTGGGGTGTATGGCTCGATCCTGTTTTTTTCAAAAGTCAATACAAAGAGTGGGAGATGCACATAAATAACACTGCACCTTCATTTTCATTGAGCAACCCTGCGAGATATTCAGGTCCTCCGCCGTTGATGAAATTTCCATTGGTATTAAAGTCATCTTCAGAGAAAATGTAGCTCATAGTTGTCTGTGTGGGTAGGAGGGAGTGTCGTTGTGGGGATGCGATTAAAAAAACAATGTGCTTGCTTCAGGAACCTGAAAAGCATACCTATGGGATCGATGACGCCATGGCAGTCGGATCATTGAAACCCTACAAAAAAGCATATCAGAGTCAATAATAGAACAACTCGAATAGAAAAAAGATGCTTGCCTTGAGAACCTAAGAATCACGCCAATGGAGTAGGACGAGGTCTGGAACATTCAGATGGGGTTGTTGTCAGCTTCCTCGGTTGCACAGCGGCAACTTTGTAATTTCGGGAGGAAGTTTTCTGATGGGGGACATCTCTGCTGGGATGACCTTGTCGCAATCCCTTGATCCAACTTGAATGCCGATGGTGTATAACATTGATTGGGGGCGATAACACACATCTCTGCTGGGATGACCTTGTCACAATCCCTTGATCCAACTTGAATACCAATGGTGTATAATGTTGATTGGGAGCGATAACACACATCTCTGCTGGGATGACCTTGTCGCAATCCCTTGGTCCAACTTGTATACCAGTAGTGTATAACGTTGATCGAGGGCGATAATGCACATCTCTGCTGGGATGACCTTGTCGCGATCCTGACTTGAATCCTGATGGTGTTCGGTCCCGGATAGTTCCACGTATGACATTGATTCAATGGGGGTGATCGCTGTCTCATTAACATTCTACATAATGTACGAGGGGGAATCCCAAGGTAAGGGCATTAATATCAGATCAAGGAAAATCTCACGAACCGTTTTTTTCCCCTCAAATCTATGGTAAGTCTCGATTTTGGGACTCACGGTCTGCTCACAGTTGTATAATATTCACATACATTCTAAGGCTAATCCTGCTGTTACTCTGAGCAGGCAGCGCATGGCTACCAAGCGTTGGCTTGAGAAGCCAGGGTAAGCTTTCGCCTTTGACTGACACTGAGATTGTACTTCCCTGCTATTTCAGAGTTCGAGACACGCAAAATGCAAAGGCACGCGTTCGGATGGCGAGGTCAGTCCGGCTCTCATTCTCAAATCAAAATTTCGTGCTTAAATACATTTTTTCAGCAAGCGGGCCAGGTCAAATCACTTTTGTTTATTCCGTCTCTTACTCTTGCTGACTGCACTCATAGCCTTAAAAAAATACATGCCCCTGCAGAGCCAACTATACACATCCCTTTGGTCAGTTCGCCCGTGCTCGACGGTCTCAATTCTCGCGATATCACTCCTGAGGTCGATGATGGATCTCTACTGACTATGGAGAATGACTTTCCCTGTTCCTGCGACACGCCAACCCTGCAAGACATTGAGAACATGGCCAACCAGTGGCAAAAGGGATGGGCCCGGAAGTCTGAACATGCATGGGATGATGCGTATGAAAACCTACTCAAAGGTGCGCAAAAGAAGGGAGGACTAGAGACTATCATTTTTCTTGACGAATGTGGTGCGCATGCTTGTGAGGGGAGGGGACTTCTCGAATGTGTGCAAAACATTGTACATACCAGCTGCCCGTATTGCAGGGAGCGCCTCAAACATGATATTATTCTACTGCATGATTTGCTCATTTGTATTGTTTTGGAGGTCAAATTCTTCGAAGTTAAGGTAGCTAACAGTAAAAATAAGTAGTTTGACTATATGATATGTCGAGCGATTATAGTGAATCCATAGCGAATTGATATCAAACACATAGCGAATTGATGGTGAACACATACCAGAATCCTTACATTATAGCGAACACATAGTGAATTGATATCAAACGCATGGCGAATTGATGGCGAACACATAGCGAATGTCATTGTATCTCTAGCATGTTGCACTACCATAGAATTCTAAACCACCAACTGCGTCCAAGGTTAGGTCATCTGTTATACTGAATGTGTGGTGAGTGCAGTGGACCTCGATTTAGGACTATGACTCTTGTATATCACTGGCTAATCGCTAATTACACTTGCGGGATACATGCAGACTATTAAGGTAATGCAACTATGCAGTCCAATGTCGTTCAATCACAGTTGCACATCTGCATCAATTTTGTAATCACGCATAGTAGCTAGCACATTTTGTGATCCGAGCATAAAGATTCCATTGCTAAGGAATTACAAGCAAGTCATGTATATGTACACGGCTGAGATAGTGAACTACTACGAAGGTATCTAAAGTTCATAGTGTGTCATTGTCTCCGATAAGTCGTCTACCTGCGACCACAAGTCATCCGAGTCAGCGGACCAAGAGGGGGAAGGTGGGGATGCAGGCAGCCAGAAAGGGCCACCCGGGGTTGGTACTGCTCGTACTCTACCTTCATTATATTGTACTGTATATACCTCGAGTGCCTTCTGGAACGAGGGGTACCGCTTCTGAACGTTACCGCTCACAAAGTTGGTGCGTTCAGCCACGTCAGCCCTTATATGAGTGTCAATATTATTATAAGTGAGAGGTCGGCAATGCTTACCAGTGATAGAAGATGCCTACTTCTTGGCCGACGGTAATTAACCAGAACCCTTCAGGTTCTAAACCAGCATGTGGGGGTGCGATATCGCTAGGTTTTGGTACCTGCATTGGAAGAAGTGCGACATTCGTAGAATGTTGCGCATGTGATGATGAACTCGAAGGCGGCAGATGGTCTTGTGCGCGGGAGCTAGTAGATAGATCGGAGTTTGGGATGGTTTGATTGACATGCGAGGAGTTGGTGTGTGATGCTTTGGAAAGGGTGATACTCTCTTCAACAGTCTTGCGCTTCCAGCTAATAGTATCCAACGATGAACCTGTTTGAGAGCGTGAGCATGCGGGTGATTGTCAGATGATATAGACCTGCGACCCACCTGATACGGTTAAGCTTTCAACCAACTGACATAAGTCCCGGACGTGATCATCGTGGCAAGAAATGATGGATGGTGAGGGAGTGCGTGACATGGTGGATATAAGACACTTAAGGAAATGGTTAATTGAATGAGGGGGAATTGATGGAAATGTGCACTAATAACGTTTATGATTAGTCACACACAGCTCAATGTGCAAAAAATGTACCCATAGCTGGCTTGTATGAAAGAAAAAAAATGCGGAATCCAGGAGGACGTCAGACACAACGAGTTCGCACTAACCTGTCTTTGCGGTCTATCCGCCACATAGGCTCCTCGCGAGATAAGGATGGGCTTCCCACTAACCGTGTATCGAAGGTGATCAAACATAGAGTGTTGGTTCTGCAAGCAGCCAGCTGTAAACAGCGGCGGGAGACTCGCCTACAAGGTAAGCCTGGTCCAAGTGCTCAAAAAACAACCAGAACACTAACCTGGTTTATAGCAATGACAACCGAGGAGCGCCAAGCTCTGGAAGCTCTCAGAGACCCACCAACTAACCCACCTAACATTGCTGAGGACTCCGATGATTTCAATCTCGGCGACATCTGGGATGGTACTGATGCACTCCCCATTAGCCACGCTGGCGGAGAGTTCAGAGACCTGGCGAGAGGTGTTCTGGGTGAGGTCTGGAAATTGTGAGTGCATGTTAGCAGATAGTCAGCAACTGACACGCACATCAGAAAGGATCAAGATGGTGCTCACAGGGTTCAACGTGTCGACAATCGCACACGGCATGATCGTGTTCTGCGAAGAAATCTTGCTTTCAACGAGCAAATACAAATAATGAGCGAATCATACCTTATATGGAGCCTGGAGAAATCGCAAAAGGGCTTCAAGAGTTTTTATGATCGCCTACGCAGCGAAGAGACTGAGGTGACCGATTTGAATGGTGGCCAATGGCCAGTGACAGTAGTAGACGCGTTCTGTGAGTTACTTGCTAGTTTCGGTGTTTGTGTTTATCACATCATTTGTAAAAGTTGCTGAGAAATTTGTACTGAAAATATCATCGATGGACCGTACAATTGCTTCTGCACTTGTTCGTCAAGGCGTCATGCCCTGCTCCCCGATATCACCGGTGGCGGGCATAACATTAGAAGCCCTTGAGTTATATCGGGTGGCGCACCTCAGGAACCCTCACTTGTCAATCCAAGCCTTTGTCAAAACGATATGCGATTTACACGGGGTACGATTTAAGTTCTATTGTGCTCCATGCTAAACACATACACATACTACAGGTGGAATTCCATCGGCACATCTCACGTCAATTTTCAATTGCACTTGACATATATCTTCAAATCAGACGGGTTGTGGCCTCGCTCATCAACAAATCCCTCCGACGCGACTCGCCTGACTGGCGCCTCAACATGCATGCCCTGCATGCACTTACACGCTAACTGACGAAGAGAAGCTACACTTCAAGATTCTCTATGCTATGGACGGGAACGACTCATTGAAACGAATTCTGCGACGCTCGCTTGATGACGACGATGACTCTCTTGGTCTATCGTCCGAACTTCCCACTGGCCAGGTACTCGTTAGTGACCGTTACCTATCTCGTAACTTTGTAGAGCAGTTTGCACAGGATACGCCATGTGATACGGGAGCCAATGTGAGTAATTGATGCGTACCTTTTGTAGAGACAACTAACACAGTCAGAGTCTGGCAGAGAACTCATGCGAAGGCCGGTGGAAAAATATGGACGATGCGAAGACAAAAAAAGCTTGGGGTATTTATGACGAAACTGGTGTCTTCGTCGCCGTATGCCGCCACGGCTTTTGTTTACTTATCGCAGACATGGTGCAGAGCGGGGAGCGGTGAGTAGTACTTAGTCTTTTTGTTTTATATTTCTAACAGGTATTCTAACAGTGCAAAATACCCCTTGGCTATTGTTGCCAAGCTGCTAGATGCATTTGGCGACGATTTGGGCGGTGGCTATGACATCGGCTGTCAGTTTCAGACTACTCTTGACAACAGCTCTCTTGGTCCCCTGGCGCGCTCATTACGTCATAGTTGCCTGGTTGGCGCGTTTCACGGACATGCGCACAGGCGGTTATGTCAGCTTTTTTCATTAACAACTTACATCAAAGGCATTGGTATCGAAGATCTGGAGACTTGTGAGCGGACGTTCTCCAAGTCAAACTCCCTTGCATCGGCTCTACGGTATACTAGCGTTTTCCATCGTCAACAGGCTATCGATTCATATTTCGAGCATAACGACGAGCTCGAGGTATATGGCAATCTTTGTATGTTGTTCTGTTTATCATAAGCGCTCGCTGACATAACTATTGGTTGGCTAGCAAATTTCTTGCATGGTAACTACAAACAAGCTCTCGAGATCATCGCCAATGGCGAAGCTGTCCTACCGAAGGTTATGCAAGAGCTCAAAGTCGAAGACGAGAGCGTCTTTGAATGTTGGCTCGAAGACGAGAAAATCTACCTTAAGGGTCTAACACGAGAGCCTGAAGAAGAGACACTTCAAATGGAGTACTGGCAGAGATTAGTCAATCTTAGTGCAAGCAAGTAAGTTTTACTTTTGGTGTATGTATCTCGTAGTTACTGAAGCCCCCAAAAACAGAGTTGCTCTTGACGCAGGAATGAACATGTTCGGAACGCACAATACTCCATCATACGGCGCAGACATTGGAAACACACGCAAGGTTGAAAGCACGCGGCGCCACGCTCTCGAGGACTATGAGAGAAACCTGAAGTTGGTTCAGTTATTAGAATGCAAACTCGGTATCATCGCTCGCTGGGTTCCAGAAGATGAAGAATGGCAGAAGGCAGGGAGACTCGTAGCTAATAGAAAGTATCAACGTGCCTTGGACCGTTTGGAAGGTTTGGTCGTGGCTCGCATTTTCGAACTTGCGAAGATGAATAGGGCGGGGACAGGTGAGTTTGAGTCTAGTTTGGCTTGTTTCAGCTAACTCTATCTATGTTTCAAGGTTACAAACTGCGAAAACATATTGCGAGGGCCTTGCAGACGCGCTCTGCCGCCATCAGGTCCGCCCTCAACACATACAACAACCTTGCCAGTGCGGTGTACCCTCCCCGGCAAATACTCAAGTGGGAGGATGTTGTCGAGTACGCCTTTCTCGCTGACTTCGAGCTGCTACGAAAGACGCGCTCCGATGTCTCTCAATTACCTTGGTCATCACCAGCAGCTCGGAGTGGGATGGATCTTTATTTTAAAATGTGTCGAGCACGCGAGGAGATTTGTCGTCTGAATATCGAGGTTCGCCGTCTAGTGACATATATACGAGATGAAGATAAGTATTTGCGGGTGTGCGAAGATCGACTCACAGTTGCTAACCCTGCCCTTGCCCATCAAATCGCTATACATCGGAACATTCGTGGCCGGTTCAACTCCCGCCATATCAAGCGGCTCAATGATATCTCAAAGCTTCCCGGCTTCAATGGTACACTCGTCCCTGGTCTAAGTGCTTGCACCGGTATCGGGGAGAGTGCCAGCATGCCAGATCCTCTGATTCCCGCCAACGTGTTTGCTGCCCATATACCTGCACACAACCCTTCATCCCCTATAGGTGCGGATACTCAAGAGGATTTAGATGAGGAGGAGATCGCAGAGGAGGTCGCAGAAGAAGCCTCGAGGAGTTTGCAGGACATTATCACCATCACCGCTGACTTCTCACAGCTCCAGGTTGTTGACAATGGTGAAGTAGAGGAGTAGTCTAGTTTATCCGTCATACTGTTGCAACGCACTTCTTTTATTATGCTTACTGTTAAGTATCAAAACGCGCCTCCGATATGTTTGATTTATCGAGCTCGTCGTGTATGACAGCGAGCACGAAGGTTCACACGGCAGGCGCAAGATAGCCGATGCCAGGAACATTACCTACGTTAACGCCGACGTCCCACGCTGGCTTACCTAGCTAGGCCACAGTTCAAGTTGCTTGCTGTTATTATAAGTCACTCTTTATCCAAGAGTTATTGAAGGAGGCTTGGAAACGCTGGAACTCTGTCGTTTTAGACGTGCTAGCCCTATCTATAATCACGTCTAATTAGAGGCAATACGTGGGAGTCACAGGTGTGTAGACCTGAACTTTGAATTTTAATCATCTGATTGACAGAATGACATGTCATGGCCGCACAACATCCGCAGAACGTCTCTATATTCGGCAAGTCTCCTTACTGGGGGTGTCCGAAACACCGATGGCATCGACTGCATGATTTAGTGCAGTACGATTTGGATCGGTTTTCGTCATGGTTGCATATTTATCTTTTGACATCATGGCTCGATGACCGAGGTAGAGAGCGAGGATGCGTCTAGGAGGCAAGTGTTCTCTGGACGGAAGACTCTGGAGGAAGATTGCGACGTGTTGGATTCCGCGTCGAGCGGCACGCGGTGGCGACCTAGATGGTATCTGTTTGTGGTATTTTCCAATTATATTGTGCATTTCCGACTTTTCTGGTGGCGTGCCAACAAATTTTCACCCTCTTATCAACCTTGGATGAGTTGTTATGCTCCCCTGGCCAATCACGCTTTGCACAACTTTCTTCTTCTTCTGACCAGCTGCATATAGCAAATGTTCCGACAACCTCAATGATAGATGCAGTGAGTATTTTGCTTCGATGCCTGCATTCCCGCGGAAACAATTCGCGTCCGCGCCAACATGTGGGCATATGACATTGATATATGATTAGCTATCTGGTGTCAAAATCATCAGGAAAGAAGTAAGAACGTATTTCTTCCCGGACGACTCCGTGAATACCAAACCAATAATCATTAATCAATTCTTGTTGCATCACTATGTGAATCAAGTCCCCCCGTGCTCATGGACAATATTGAGGTCACTTCAAGCATCCGATGGATAAACTTATTGGCACAGGGAGGTATTTGTTAGGGGGTTATTAACTTATAGTTTGCAGGCTCAACAGTGCCAAGGTATCACGATCTCCAGTCACCGGCCATTGTCATGATGATTAGGAAACATTCATCCGTTACTATGAGGTCTCTCGTGGTCCCTGTCGAGTGCCTTGGACAACACTGCCAAAAAAAATGATAAAACCAAAGGGCCCAACCGGGAATTGAACCCGGGACCACCCGCAGCTTCAACACCTTGTGTTGGGGATTGCTCCCGAAGCGGGTATCATACTACTAGACCATTGGGCCTTGAAGAAGGTATCGCCATTGACTTATATAATCACAGGGAGACCGAACCACGATCGTGTATGCACATTTGCAGATCGACAACAAGCAAATATATCGGCCGACCCTCGAGCTCACACCGATCATTAGGGTATCTTCTGAGTTCATTCCCGGACAACCGGTGCACACCGTACCCTTCCTTCATCTCGAGCGAGGACTCGGACGACATGGCAACTTGAAGCAGCTCAGACTGGAACCTTTCAATCATAAGATCCGCGGTGCACGAGAGGAGGATGCGTACGAGGACCTATTCCTAAATCCCAGTGTCTGGACACGACAAGCCACCACCGTAACAACTGAATGACAGGACACATGATGGGACGAGTGCAGTCGTTACATAATATAACCCATGGCCACACAACTTACAAGACACGCATGGTCAAGGGCTCGCCATTGCAAGGTAGTTTTGACTAGAGGTTCCTAGCAGTCTGTGTAATCATCGTCCATCGTCCACAACAAGCCGACCGTCGCGACTCGAGGAGAACGACAATCAATATGCTTTCTCAACTGGGGAGCTCATCCGAGTCGATATCGCTCAGTCACTGCTAAAGCTAAAAGTAAAGTTGTGATGCATGACAGAAGTCAGCGGTAGAAGACGCAGGCGGAACGTAGTCGATCAATCCAGTGTACTGGAACACAAGGAAGCGCAGACGATGACGTTGGAAGAGTAAGAGGTAACACTGGACCGGGATATAAATGATATCACATTGACGAGTTCAACATTAAATACTATAACAGCAATGAATCTGATCCATTAATGCACCAGCCATAGCATAAATGAGTGTTCTGAATACTGTATGTGATGGTTGCGAAGCCTATTTACATCTAGTGTCACATCTATATAGCATCCCGTTAGTCGACTCCGCGTCCCGCACCTGTTGCACGGTACCAAGTTACAAAGACAGCTTAAAGTTTTTTGATGATAGCATTGGTGAATTCCGATGTCGTTGCACCACCTGCAGATGAAGCAATGTGAAAACGAGTCTCGACAAATCACGGGGAATTACTCACCACCCATGTCTGCAGTCCTGACCTCTCCGGCGTTGATGACATCGAAGGTCGCGCTTGCAATACTGTTGGCGATGGAGTCGAGACTGGGGAGGAGAGTGTAAGAAATATGAGAACAAGGCCATGCCGGACAACATACCCAAGATGTCTAAGCATCATGGTAGCACTCAAAACCATAGCGGTAGGGTTGGCACGGTTGGTGCCCATGATGTCTGATGCAACGTGTCTACATCCGGGCTCGAAGAGGGCATAGTCCTGAATATATATCAGTACCCAGCAGGTCTAAATGCAAGTGTGCGACATACACGGCCGATGTTGCATCCTGGAACGATACCAGGACCGCCGACAAGTGCGGCGCCAATGTTGGAAATGATGGCACCATACAAGTTGGGCATGACCATGACATCGAACTGACCAGGTTTGGCAACCAGTTGCATGGATCTAGGTGGTATTAGCCGGCTGGAGCGGAAAAGGGAGAGACACCTCACGTGTTATCGATAATCATATCATTAGACACGATTCCTAGAGATTTGTACTCCTCCGCAATTCGACGGAAGGTGTTCAAGAACAGACCATCACCGAGCTTCATGATGTTGGCCTTGTGCACACAAGTCACTTTCTACAAATGAGCGCTTGTCAGTACAGCACCGGCCGGATTTGAGGTCATGACCGACCTTGCGGTTGTTCTTGAGGGCAAAGTCAAAAGCAAAGCGCGCAATACGCTCCGCCTTGGCCCTTGTGGAGACCTTCAAACTCTCCACTACACCAGGATAACTCTGGTGCTCCAAACCAGAGTATTCACCCTCGGTGTTTTCACGGATGATAGCAAAGTCGACGTTGGAGTGGCGTGTGGGGAATCCAGGGAGAGACTTGCACATCACAACCGATGCGTAAATGTCGAGCTGTTGACGCATGGCCACGTTCCATGAGATATGGCCGGTTTGAGAGATTGGCGTGAAGAGAATACCTATGACGACAAAGATGAATGTTAGTTCTGTGACTCAGTGGGAAAAATACTTACCCTTGAGACCGACTCTGTTGCGCTTGAGACTTTCCATTGCCTGCTTGAAGAGATCCTCCCCCGCTGAAGATACACCGGAGACATCATACTGCTCCCACTCGATGGGCGCGTTTACGTGCTCGAATATCTCTTTGACAGAGTCTGTGATTTCACCGCCAATACCGTCACCGGGTATGAGGGTAACCTAAACACACTCGATACCAGCACCATATCCAAGGGTAGATTCACGCACCGTATATACGCCGCCGTACTTGGTCGGTAGCTGGGATGATACGATAAGTTCGATAACGCTATTCGCTTGGGCGTGAACTTACTCTTTGCGTGACTTTTGGAAAACCAGCCGAAAGAGTGGTTACAGTTCGCTTGAAAAAAAAAGGTAAACATCACGCCATCTTATAAATTCAATTACCTACGGACTGCTGAAGAGCAGGGCGGGTCGCCGCCGACAGAGCGTTGCGGAACATTACTTACAGACGTTGTGGAATGAAGGAAAGAAACGGAGAGTAGTCGTGCAGCTAGCGGAACAGTTAGTTTTAGTTTTAGACATAAATTGTAGGAAAAATGAGGAGTGCCCGCCGCGCCGTGTAATCGGTTCACTTCATATTATATTTCAATTCCGCGTTTGTCCGTGTCAAAATTGCTCCCATTTCATTCACACTCTCTCTTGTTACAGTCCTCCTCCCTCAGCTTCTCTTTCCAAAAGGCTCAATGGCTGCCGCCCGTACTGCTTTCTCTCGTGTTGCTCCTGCTATCGCAAATGTTCGTGCACGTCCTTCATTGGCTCTAAAACGTGTTGCTTTCGCTCGCGGATATGCGACAGCAAGTGAAAACTCGGTAGGAGTTGCACGTCATTCTCATGCATCATGTCAATTCTGAACCATTTGGTAGATGACAGTCCGTGACGCACTCAATGTTGCTATGGAGGAGGAGATGATGCGTGACGAGAACGTCTTCATTCTCGGTGAAGAGGTAGCTCGCTACAATGGCGCCTACAAGGTCTCCAAAGGTCTCCTTGACAAGTTCGGCGAGAAGCGTGTCGTTGATACTCCCATCACTGAGATGGGTTTCGCCGGTATTGCTGTCGGTGCTGCACTCTCAGGTTTGCGACCAATGTAATACACCCTTTTCCTTCTGGCGTGTTTTTCTCATTATTTTGCTTAAAGATGCGAGTTCATGACCTTCAACTTCGCCATGCAAGCTATTGACCAAATTGTCAACTCTGCTGGAAAGACTTACTACATGTCCGGTGGAAACGTACCCTGTCCTGTTGTCTTCCGTGGCCCCAATGGTGCTGCTTCTGGTGTCGGTGCCCAGCACTCCCAAGACTATGCAGCCTGGTATGGCTCAATTCCCGGTCTCAAGGTTGTCAGCCCTTGGAGCGCAGAGGATTGTAAGGGTCTTCTCAAGGTTATTATTTTCTACAGTTTCTTGTCCGTATAGTTAACAACTCTATAGGCCGCTATTCGAGATCCTAACCCAGTTGTATTCCTCGAGAATGAGATGATGTACGGTGTCACCTTCCCCATGTCTTCAGAAGCCATGTCAGACAACTTCACCCTTCCTATCGGCAAGGCAAAAGTCGAGCGTGAAGGAACCGATGTCACTATCGTAGCACACAGCAAGATGGTCACTCACAGTCTAGAGGCCGCTGACATTTTGGCAAAGGAGGGTGTCAAGGCTGAGGTTATCAACCTCCGTAGCATTCGTCCTCTGGATATTGATACCATCAAGGCATCAGTCAAGAAGACCAACCGGTCAGGCAATCATTTAGACTAATGATCCATTGCTCAATCATTTTGTTACAGTCTCCTCATCGTCGAGGGTGGTTTCCCCGCCTTTGGTGTTGGTTCCGAAATCTGCGCACAGATCATCGAGAGCGAAGCCTTTGACTACCTTGATGCTCCAGTTGAGCGGGTAACTGGTGCTGATGTCCCTACGCCTGTACGTGTCAAGATGATGACCGCATACCAGTACTAACTCCTTACATTAGTATGCCACCAACCTAGAAGCACTCGCATTCCCCGACACACCTGTCATCGTTAAGGTCGCCAAGCGAGCGCTTTACAGGACCAACTAGGCACACTTATACTTTTATTGCATGCATTTGCTCTCATACTTACACATTCATGGGCGTTAGTAGTCCCCTGGCCGCAATAGACATATTACCCATCTAAATTGGACCGGCCTGCGTGCACGGCCGTAAAAGTCGTGGGGTTGGCTGCTCACGCCATGTCACTTGTCAGTGTCATGAGTTGTTCAGGGTGTGTTTAAATTGCGCTATGTGCTGGGCTTCCGATTTCTTTCTCAGGTGAGAGTGTCCAGCTATAAGGTTTCCCATTGATTCTCTCGGGACCCGCGAGTGCAGGAGGGCATAATGCGCTGCGTGCAGCCCCTGCAATATTGACTGCCGGAGTGATGCTTCTCTTCTGTCCGACGTTGATCATTCGCTCCCCTGTAACCTACCGACTTTGACTAAGAAGTCTGCACACCTCTCGACCTCTGAACAGATATTTTGAAATTCACACACAAGCAGCTGTACACTGCGCTGACGTTCGTGAAGTGCATACCGTCTCTTTGTGCTTCGATTCCCATAAGCTACAGCTTTCAGCTCCTACACACTAGTTGTTCTCGAATTCCGGCCAATGACATAGTACGCATACATGTTGGGTCGATATAGAACAATACGTAAGTGAATCTAAGTCATTCAATGGAACGGTGCATCAGTACGCAATGCGCAATGCACAAGAACAAGACTGGTGACGAGTATAGGACAATACAACCAAATGACCTATGAAGGGTGAGAGAAAGCAACCACACGTTATGACGAGTATAGGACAATACAACCAAATGACCTATGAAGGGTGAGAGAAAGCAACCACACGTTATGACGTGAGTCTTCAACTAAATACCTACGTGAACGAATACGACCTACTTTTCCAGCGGAATCTTCTTGCGCAATGACTTCACAGCCTTATGCAATGCCATCGCAGCACGTGTGCAGTCCAATGCCCTTGAGTCGTCAATTAGGTTGTCATAAAACGCAGACACGATTTGACGCGCAACCTCGTCATCCACAGACCACAACACACTGCGAGATCTGGAGGACTACATCGTCACAGCAAGATGGATCGATTCATCGGGACTCTTCTCATCGCCCACGGTAGCCTGACAAGCCGAAAAGAATGCAAACTCCGGTTTCTGCCAGTCAGATTGTGTAATGACCTTGATCATTAACAGCCCGTCGCGCATTGAGAATGGAGACTCGAATGGCTGTTGTCGATTCGGCACTCCATGACAGGCTAGGTGGGGCACTAATTATAATGCAATACATCGAATGCATCATGTACTCCTGGAGTGATGTGAAGGGCACAATAGGCGCTAGACGTTGGGCTACGACGGCCAATTCAGGAGAGGCACATCAAAGTTCCTTCCCTCTGTCCGGTTTTGCTTGGTCAATGGCAACAAAATGTTTGCGCAGACACATCTCGAGAAACCCACTGTCTCGTCCGAACGAGTGTCGCTAAAGTGGGGGTGTAAAGAGAAATGTATATTTGAAACAGATTTTTGATCTTCTTCTCGTAGGGTCTTGCGACACGTAGAGGAAGTAGCGTGAACTAAGCAGTGGGATGCGTGGGTTGGGTTGAATAAATTCCCCAAGAGCTTGAACTATGGGGCCCACGATATGAAACCAAAGCTTGCGCAGGATACCAACAATCTTGAGTAATCCAAGTTGATGATTCGAGGAACCAATACCTCCACGAGTGACGGGAACTCGGAAGACAACTTGGAGACTTCGGCTTGTGCGACATCAAGTGGGACATGGACGGGATCTTTGACACCGAGGATAATCATAGCGTCACAATCGTACTGGCTGGCATTGACTATGGTGACTGGAGCCGCTTCTGAAGGTCACAAAAAAGTGGAAGCAGGAGAAAACGTGAAAAGTCAGGAAGTGTGCGCCCCATTTCACAGTCAGTTTCTGGATTTGTGTGGACTAGTCTTCAGTGGTCCATCAAACGTGTTACGGAGGAGAACGCTGAGTTGCATAAACTCTGCTACCAAAGCTTTGCCGGCGGCACCTGACTCGGAGGCGGAAGGTTCATCGAGTGGAGTATGGAAGCGTGCCAACTAGGTCGGACCAGGGGGGCAGCTCTGCAAAGCCGCTCGACAAGTACCCTTCCAGGTTTTCTGTCAGGCTATTGTACCGAAGTCGAGTTACGCGAAGACTTTTAAGGACGTTAGGAGCATGAAGCCGAAGAGCAGAACGACACTGTCATGTTATGCGCCTCACCGCCAGTACAAAATTGAGGTTGTAGAGTAGCTTGAATTTCAATGCGCACGTACATGAAATTCGAGGGCTGAAATAGTAGTAGAAACCTGCTGGCGAGGACATGATATGGTGAGTGCTGAAGGTGGCCAGTGCTGCAAGCATCCCCATCATAATAATGCGATACATACTAACAGGACGTGATGTCTGAAACACTCCTCAGACTCCTGTCGTGATTCGTGAAGGTGACATTCCTCTGCAATTGTCGTAGCCAACGATTTATTACATAGGCACGATTTTCCTCCAGTTCATCCGATTCTCACGATTTGCTAGCCTGAGTGCGATCGCTTATCAGTTGGAGTTTCAACGTTCACACCGGCCTGAGGTCGTATAATATTTTCGAGTCCATCGACCTGACCACCGTGATGGCTAAGAACGACCACGATGAAAGAATCGATGGACTCATCGCCAGAATCCGATTTTCCATTGCCATTGTAGAAGACCCAATGAGCAGACCACGATCACAACGATCATGATCGAAGCGGTTGATGGAATTTATACAAGTTTGTACGATCTCATCGACGACAGAAGTCTGTCACTGATAGGTCTATCAGTACCATGTTCGAACACGACGATTTTTGGAGAAGACCTAATAGAGGCACAAAATATACATCATTTCATAGCACCAACCGTATGATACACACCTGTTACTATTCACCACTTCCAGAATTCCCGGGGTATCACTAAGTACTACATGCCCAGCCGGATACGAACTGCGTTTGCATGGGCTTGCAGCCCTTCGCAGTCTGCCAAAGTTGCTACGATAGGTCCCAACGTCTGCAGTCCATCCATAGTGACCTCCTGCGATGTTATGTGCTTCTGGAAAGACTGCGTGTTGACGCCGCTGAATTGGCGGGCATATCCATTTGTAGGCAGGGTGTGGTTCGTGCCCGAGGCATAGTCTCCGCAACTACAATATACGATCAACAAAAGGTGTATGTCTGATGAAAGAACTGCTTACCTTTCTGGAGAGTACGGCCCTACGAACACGCTGCCTGCATTTTTCACGTGGTCGACCCAAGCTGGTGCGTCCCTCAAGTGTAAAATGAGATGCTCAGGAGCATAGTCATTTGAAAACTCCATGGCAATATCTGGCCCTTGTGTTTTTACGATCAAACTTTTTGCCACACTTTCGCGAACGATGTCGACACGACCCAAGGCATGCGCTTGTTTGTCCACCTCTTCTTCGACTTCCGCAAGCACAGTATCCGGGAGAGATGAAGCAACCAAGACAACTTGAGAATCGATACCGTGTTCAGCTTGTGAAAGAAGGTCGGCGGCGACAAAAGCAGGGTTACACGTGTCATCTGCTATCACCTTAGGGGGAAGTACCGTATTCGTTAGTCTTCCAAGGACAACGAACACGGTACGTCCGCAGTTGAAAAGCCAGAGCAACTTACCAGTACCTCGGATGGCCCGGCAGGCATATCTATTGACACCAGTGCATCTGTGTCATTTTGTACGAGCATCTTTGCAGCCGTAACCCATTGATTCCCTGGCCCGAAAATCTTGTCGACTTTTGGAACGGTCTCGGTGCCATACGCCAAAGCGGCAACTGCTTGAGCCCCGCCAGCTCTGAGGATGGCATGGGCGCCCACTTTATGAGCAACATAAAGTACCTCCGGGGAGATACTTCCATCAGCCCTGGGTGGCGTAGCCATGACGACTTTTTCACAGCCAGCGACTTGGGCTGGAACGCCTAGCATAAGTGCCGTGGAAGGAAGGACGGCAGTGCCACCTGGAACATAAAGCCCCACCCGCGCGATGGGGCGGGCAAAGCGGGTGCATGTCACCCCTGGCATGGTCTCCACAACAAGTGGAGCACCGTCAATTTGAGCGGCATGGAATTTGTAGACGTTACTGTAGGCAGCGTCAATGGCATCGCGCACAGCAGGATCGAGCTGCTGTGCTTCTTGCGCAAGAGGGTAGAATGGTGGAAGGAGAAGTGGGGTGTCCAATTGAGCCTTATCAAATTTGGCGGTGAGCTCACGTAGAGCGGAGTCCCCGCGAGCGCGAACATCATCAACTATGGGTTTGACCTTAGCAATCATTTCATCAGACCTGAGGACAGGTCGCTTGAGAAGCTTTGTACGGTCCTCGGGGGATACAGCAGAGATATCAACGGTCCGCATTTGAATGGGCCCATTCCGGCCAAGAGGCGCCTTGCTAAGAGGTGTCAACGAAGTTCTAGGCGCTTCCGCCTTGGACAATTCTGCTTTGGGGGACTCAGTCTTGGGCATCCACTGTTGCTTCGCGTTTCCTGGCCTTCGACTGATCTTCATCGCTTTCTTGTCTAGTGAGCGCTCAATATGCTTGACGCTCACTCCGGCAGCGACACAGCGTGCCATGGTAAAGTACACGAGATCAGCAGCTTCAAATGCCACTTCCTCCTTTGTCTTTGCACGACACAGTTCATCGGCTTCTTCCATGATCTTTGCTCTCAAAAGTTCCTCATCATTAAAGAGCCGGCGAGTATATGAACCCTCCTGCGCGTCAATTAAACGTGAGGATAAAGTACGCTCGAGAGCGGCGAGTCCGTCTAAGTCGCCGAAGCACGAAGCGCGGTTAAGGTGACAGAAACCAGCGCCGTGCTGTACCACGCTAAACTCGAGCGCATCGGTATCGCAGTCTACGCGGATGCGCACGACATCCTGTGTGGCCCCAGAGGTCTCGCCCTTGCGCCATAAACCGTGTTTTCTGGAGTGATACACGCCTTTGCCGGTGCAGATTGACTCAGCAACCGATTCACAGGACGAATAGACCAGGCCAAGAGAGCGTTTGCCATGAAGATCAGAAGATATTACTGTGGGGAAAAGTCCATCAGGGCGATCCGAAACAATTGGTGCAAGGAATGCATCTGCGATACTGATCATTTTTTGGGAGGTAGAGCCGAGGGTGAGCTGGGAGAAAGGAATAACCACAGATGCGCCAATGGCTACGAGTTTTCTGATGATTGAGGGAGTGGGGAGGTCAGGTGCTAAAACGTGTATTGCGGCACCGACGAAGAAGCGTGATATGGAGTGGACAAGGTCTACATCGAGGCCAAAGCCACTCGAAGAAGATGTTTTAAGCAACACGCCAGACACAGCGTTGCGAACGGAGTCGGAGACGGCGCTCACGTTAGCAACATCGAGGAGAAGGAGTAATCGATGAGCGGGCACCGTCCCCAGCAGACTTTTGGCAAGAGAAAGAGGCACAATGGCCTTGTCAGCGCCGTTGTCGAGGAAGGCGATTATTTGATTGACATCAGTAGATGTACTATCTTCTACAAGAAGATAACGGATTGTGCTTTCCGGGGTTGATCCAGAGGTGATGACTGGGGCAACACGCGAGACCGCGAGGAGGAGCTCCTCGTCGACGTGCTCGCTGTCGAGTAAAGCAAGAAATGGGAACATGACAAAACTTGATACGCGAGGAGATTGACGATTAGATGGATCATTCTTTGATTAAATTCATCGTGTCACATATATAACAAAAGCCATAAAATTAACGGTCCAATAGTGTAGCGGTTATCACCCAAGATTCTGAAATACGATTTCTTGTGACCCAGGTTCGATTCCTGGTTGGACCTTCATTTTTTTATCCGTTCTGGTAAGCACTGCCACTTCGATCTCTTAATTTAAGTTGGCTCATCCTCTCGGTAACGCCGACGTCCCTAGTATACCCGAGGTCCCATTCATAGTTTTCAAACTTGTTGGGTGAGGTAGGCACATAATGTGGTATGATGCCACGCATGTGCTTACGCTCACACAGCTTCTCTGAGCCTCATTGAAGAAATCTGCACGTACGCGCCACTCATGCACCACGAGATCTTGAGACGGCGCTCACTCAGTGTGGAACATCGAATGCAGTATTTGGATCATTTGAAAACAGAAACGATTGCGGTCCGGCGGGGCGTTGCCAAATCCTCCACTCCCAGAGTTACTCTCTTGGAAAACAAAGGGAAGAAAAGTGCAGACCACCACTAGGATCTGTATGTGCATATTTGCACTAGTGGTGCATCGTTGGAAGTCTGCACTAGCCCATACATAGGATTTCCGAGATCATCGGATTTCTATCTCAAGTTTTAGCTAACTGAAGCGGCGACTTCGATGATCATCACCTAACCCCCGTAAGATGTTCCCTCAGGTGAGGTTGCGCTACGACAGCAGGTTGACTCTATACTCACCTAGTCATCGTCAGAATATACGCATTGACGTTCACCATCATTTCTTTCTCGACGCTCAGAAGAAGGCAAAGAAAAATTTGGAAGTGGGCTGGCGAACACCAGATGAAAATTTACCTTGGAAACCGCAGACTAGTTTGGCTGCCATGGACAAGCTGGGGGTTCAAACAGCAATTCTCTCTCCCCCTCCAATGTCATCCAGTTCATCTGGAGCAGAAAACCGCGCGCAAGTAAGGCAACAGAATATTTACTCATCGCAATTATGCGCAGCATATCCTAGCAGATTCGGATTTCTCGCTGGCCTCCCATTCCTGGATGATGTTAAAGGTGCCTTTTCTCGTAAAGCTTCCTTTCGTGTCGTTGGCCTCATGTCCTTTGCGAAATATTTACAGGTTCGTTAGAAGAGATCGCCTTCTCCCTTGACGTTCTTGGTGCAGATGGAGTGGCTCTAATATCGAGCTATGGGGATGGCAATTCTGCGAGTACGCCCTTTTGAGTTGCAACGCGCTGCAAACAATGACACGATGATACCCTAGAGTATGTCGCTGACGATTTGTATGATCCCATCTGGAAGGAATTAGACCGAAGACACGCCGTTGTGTTTTTGCATGGTGCTCAGACGCCTTCCTCTACCCCATACCCTCATCCTTGGCTTGGCGTGCCAATTTCTGAGGTGAGTTCGGTGGAATCGAAACAAGTGCTCTCGCTCACTCTAAGAAGGTCCCCAACGAGACCTACAAAGCTGCCGCCCACCTGGTGGTTAGCGGAAAGAAACGACGCTTTCATAACGTCAACATAATCCTCACACATCTGGGCGGGAGCACGCCATTCCTTGCTCCACGCGTTGCTGCCCTTTCGCATCATATGGGTTGCCCGTTGAGGCCGGACGAGATCATAGAAGATTTCAAGAGCTTCTATTACGAGACTGCTCTTAGCGCGCACGAAACGACGCTTACCGCAATGGCGACACTCGTACCGTCTGACCGTCTTCTCTTCGGAACTGATTTTCCAGGTACTTGCAGGAGCTGCGCCATGCATTACACAATTGATAATGATCCTGTTTCAGCTGTAAGTATCAAGACGGCCGAGTGGTACACAGAGAACCTGGAAAAATATTTCGCTGGAAGACCACTGGACCTCGCTAATATCATGCGCAATAATGCTCTTAGGCTCTTTCCAAACCTAGGAAAAAGCAAAGACCAATATCCTAGCGGTGGACAGCAGATCAATGATCAACCACACGACGGGCCACAATGCACTGTGAATTTGTGGAAGGAGTCCGCGCATTGAAGGCCGTACAAAGTGATGAAGTATGCAAAAGATCATAGTCCGATTTAAGGTAGTAGAAATATAAAGAGACGTCTATACACCGAGCCTGGGAAAAACATCAACCCTGTCACGATTGAACAAAGGCCAAAAAACAACGTACCTTCGTTTGCTATGTTCATAGACAAGGTATGATATGGAGACTGAAGGAATGACCTATGACAGTGATTAGCGTGGCAGGTATGCCATAATTCACAATAGTATACCTTCGCTAATGTTGGGAATAGTCCGCGATAAAATCCTCTCCACCCATCCCGTTGATATGTCCTTGTCACTACATCCCAAGGACCCTTATAACGCTGCGGATGTCCCGATGAACCCGATGCTTGTAACCGCGTCCGTACCAGATTCAACGGATACACGCTCGTGGCGCCTACACTCCCAGATACGCTCCCAAAGGCAAGAAGAGCAAGCACACCAGGCTCGTCTTTCCCAGTCGATCGCAGATATGCCAACTTTAATGCCTCAAAGGTGCTCATATCAATCGCAGAGTATCTGTGATTCGATTGATGGTATGACTTTGTGAAGGCATCATCATACTCACGGGAAAACTCCAATGAGACCGATCTTGTCTCCGGTTAGATGGAAGGTAAGGACACCAACAACGCAAGACGAACCGTCAGACCGCGGTAGAAGGCTCGAAAGCGGCCAAGTTGCCACACTCTCCGGGCAGCATCCACGAGGCTTCGTTTCTGGTCGCCTGTCGAACTCATCATTTGTGTCTGTGAGGCACATGCTCATTATAATATCAATCTGGGAATTCTGTTGCTCCATACCTTCAATGTCTCGATTGGGTATATACCTTTATGGCGATAAGATGAAGGCACGAACAGAAGGGAAGCCATGTTACTCACTAAGCTGGCTTGAAATTCCGCCAAGACCTCCAGAGAGGAAGCGGCTCGTTCCGCTAATGTCCCTCGTGTCCTCCACACGATCCCAATGTTGTGCGAAAGCTCGTTTCTGCAAATATAATGTCCAGATAGACCGGAAGCTAGAAGAAGGTACCTACAGCTGATTCATACGTCAAGAATTTGATAGCCGATTCAGGGAATATCTTCAGTACAGAAAGGCCATTACCCGTCCAGAACGCAAGCACACCGCCTTCAGAATAGATGCGTGCGACTGCGCCCGCGATCGCTTTTAATCCTCCCATCCCTGGCCTAGGTTGGATCGCAGTTCCGCCCATCTCAGGAGGGCGAGTGATTAGAAAAATCTTCACCCGATCAAAAGGTGCTGTACATGTCCGAGACACTTCGGAGAATGTCAACTCAGGGCGAACTGAAGAGTTACGGTTGCGTACCAGCTCCTGCCATTCCGCCAGCCATGAGAAACTTGAAGGCAGTATGAGCCTGCAACCAATCATGGTGTTCCTCAATCTCCTCTTCCTCGAATTCGTCATCTCCAATCACATCAGCACTTTCCCACAGTGATGGGAGAGGTGGGGGCTTGTCTTCCGCACTGAGACTGACATCACCTGAAAACAATATTCATGCTCCAAATCATTGACGGGGGTGAAATGGCAAACCTTCCATTGTTACCCGTACCGCTCCCCTTCCATCATCTCCCATAAACCTCTTGACTTCGTAGTATTGGTATATCTCAGCTGCAGATGCCTTTCGAGGCAATAACAATAAGAAATCCCTGAACTCCCGAAAGCTAATGCTATGTGAATGTGGCGACCAAGTCAGATACGTTATGAAGTCAGTCATTGTGGAGGGCGGAATTGCTATCCCTGGAAGATCATAAGGGCAAGCCATGCAAGATTATATCAATCTCACCAGCTTTGCTCAATGCCAATGTTAATTCCTGCTCATCGAGATGGCCATTGCCATCAAGATCCAGTTCATCGTGGAATATCGACCACAGTTCTAAACCGTCTTTTTAAGATAATCCCAGCACATAAAACAAAGCACTCACCAGCTTCCTTAGTCTCGGCATACCGCCTAAACTCATACCATCTAATATGACTAGGTCGTTCATTCGTTATGTGACCGCCACACTTCCGAAGTAGCTCATCCTCATACACCTTCCTCATTTCCTCTGCTCTCTGTGCCACCAGTGGCTCCCCAGCAGGAAACATTCTTGATGCAACTACTTCCGGTCCATGATAGCTCGAATTGGGCAAGCGCTTCCATAGTTCGTGCAGGCGCCTCTCTCGTTCCTCCTTCCCTTCTTGCTTTCGAAACTCGAGAAGACTATGCGGAAGTGGATGAAAGGGAGGAGGGTCGGACCTCAGTCGTGGAATAAACGGCCGATCTTGGACACCGGAGAGACAGGACTCATAAAGTTCGCGGCTCGTGGGGTGTTTTTCTAGAGCGTCCGCCATGAACTCAAGCCGGGCGAGATGGATAGATTGTGGTGCCCAGTTACGATAATCAGTGTAGGATTCATAGAGACATTCTACACGTTTTTGAAACGTTCAGCTGGCGTACCGATAGTAGAAAACTTGACGGAGCTCTGTTTACCACTGCTTGCCGATTCCCGAACCAAAACGGTCATGTTCCCAGTCACTGGCTAAACAACAAAGTCCGGTCTTGTAAATCAGTCGTGAAAAATGCGCTGCATAGTTTCTTTACAAAATGGTAGTGTAAGAACGAACAGATGCGAAGTACAGTGTAGTTACAGTAAAATAGTTTCATTATCCATCAGAGTCCCAATAAACATAGCAAATGCACGAACTTCGAAGCCGCTGCATTACAGACAACAGAGACCAGACATGAAACGCTTGAAGCCACTTGCGATCGATTGCCACCAGCTGCGCTTTGCACGACTAGTAACATCTCGGTCAAGGAGGGCGGCAGAAAACTGAGAGGCATCACCAGGAGCCTCTATCTTACTAATCAGGCCTTGAGCAGAGGGAGTCGCAGTACCCTCAGTCCATTTGTCAGAATTAATAGTGTAATTAAGAGTTGAGTTGAGAGTAGAAGGACGCCTATCGTGACCAGGAGAGTACGTGGGAGATTGAGAAGTCTTATCATGCCCAGCATGATTCGAAGGAGAGGGGACATCACAGTGAGCCAGCACGCTTGCAGGGGGTGTCGGCAGCGGGGGTTTGGGAGGTAGAGGTGGGGGACCTGACTTCTCAATCAAGATCGACGGGGCCGCGTCATGGTCAGATTCACGGGAAACCAAAAGCAGTGTGGAGTGGGGTGCCTTGCGTCAGTTGTCAACCCGAAGCATTTATTCGAAGGTAAGGCACATTATACATACTAGCTGCGATATGATGGTGGGCGTTGGCGAGTCACATCCAGATCTAACTGATCTGGGCCTTTTGCGCTGGTTAGGGATTGGGGGGTGTCGGTGGGCGATATTCCTACAGATTATGAAGACTCGATCTGGAAATATTTTAAGATTACACGCACCTCTTGATAAGACGGCTGCCGTGCTGTGGAGCGCGTTAGGTGTTCCCAAGGCGTGGGTGAATTTGGACGAGATACGAGTTCCTCATCGTGGCAGCTCTCAGTAGGTGTAGGAGGGGTAAAGTTCATAGTTCCTGATATCCCCCAATCCTGTGATATGTGAGTGAAATTCCAATTCCTTGATTGCCAAGGATTAGCGTACAGGCGTTGAGGGTGACAGCCTTTCCGTGGATAATTCAGTTTCGGTCCCATGAGCGTCGTGGCTCGATGGACCCACGACCGTGTCAATAGCAGGCAGGCCAGACGTCGCTCTTCCCTCCCTAGATACCGCCCGGTCAATTGCGTGACGCCAGTCGGGGGGTAGCTTGAATAAATCCGTAGATATTCAGCTCTTTTAATTGGGCACGTGTGTGTGTGTACTTACAGGAGGGGCATCCTGATTTATAGACGTATGTGAAAAAGAAAACCGTCTTGTGGAGCTCGTTGGAGAACCATGAGGAGAAGCAGGAGGCGAGGGGATGAATTTTGGGACGGGCTTCCTATAACTCGAAGTTCGGCTGGCTAGCTTCGGTGCCGACATTGTGACAGGATAGAAAAATGTGGTAGGAGACGGAGACTTATGTGCGACGACCTCTTAAGCCGAGGCGGATGTGGCACCAATAATACCACAATTACGGATTGTTGCTTTAAGTGGGCCAAAGATCAAAGCAGTCGTATAACAATTAAAGAAAATAATGATGAAAGAGAGAAAGGACCGAACTTCATATATAGAAACGCCTCGAGTTTATCCCGAGGCGGAAGTCATTAAAGCTTGGGAAACTTCCTCTCTCTCGTCAGCAGCCACGCTTTGGACGTACAGAAGGCTCACCTCATGTATACCGCACGTGTGGCTGCGTTTGACTGGCTACAGTCACAATGAGACAACCGATCGCGACGAGCGCGAATCCTGACACACAGGTCAGAGGGGAGTCCCAGCTGCAAATTGTTTTGCCACCGGCATTCATGGATTAGTCGAGGACAAAGAACGATTTCCGCAGCCGTAAAGTCTTCATAACATAATTCATAAATCGCTATACTCACGTACCTGATCTCCAAGGATAACTCCGAGTTTGTAACTTGGTAGGCTGGGAGGAGTTTGAAGGAGTCCACCCTGCGCATTCCGGAGTTAATCCACCCCAATTATTATGGCACGCCCAGTGTAATGAAACCTTCACTCAATTGAACTTTGACTCCGCACTTCGTAAGTTTTCCCGATGTGCTTGACATCATACCCGATAAGCACAACGATATATATACCATGATCATCTGTGGAGCACAAGCTCCGTTAAATATCCCGGCGCCCAAATATGCGCCGCAAAGTAAGATAGAAAAACTCGGTAAACAGTGACCACCCTAATAGTAAGGCATAATGCCATTGGATCAAGAAGACAAATAGCTATATGTCAGTGAATTGCGTAGCTTGTATGCGATTGAATTGATGTACGAGATACAAGTTAGGTCATTAAATGGCGTTACTTGATGAATAGACAGATGGAAGCAATGCGTTAGTCGAAGTCGAAGGACGTATCGAGGGTGGGTAAATATGAATCAAGGGTATCAAAGTGATGCTTAATGGAGCCCGAGCCAGATGATAACGCGTTCTTGTCGTGGGATTATAGTTGTCGTTGCAGGCAAGATGGACGCAACCTCCCGGATCCCGGATGCCGTCGTGAATAGATGAAGTCATAATCGATGTGATATGAAGCGCGGCAGATTCCTCAAGGAAGACTAGACTTCTCTTGAATAAGAGCTTCCAGCAACTGGTGCTCCTCACGTTGCGTACGTGAGTGCGAAGATAACCGAACCTTCCATTCTTGCACCCATGTCCATCTCGAAACACGTTCCTCTTGAGTAAGGCTTGATCTATCAGATTGTGGCGAGGAAGATGCCGAGATCATAGAACGCAGCCGCTCGCGACCGAGGATAGGTGCCAATGAGAGGAACGACAAAAAGGCAAGTTTGACAAGAATGTCTGGTGAGGTCAGCAGTGACGAGACTGTTTGCTGGGATGGCGAAGTCGTGGATGCAACGGTTTGAAGGATATCACCGATCTGACGTCAATGGTCATTTGGGCACTCCAAGCTCAGCAAATCATGATCCTACCTGACAAGTGACCGCTGTCCAAGGGAGGCATCCAATGAAGGCACCGAGGAGGCAATCGGAGATCGCAACACCGCACACACCACAAGCAATGTTAATTCCCGACCAAGGCACTACGCCAACGAGGCGGAGGACGGACAACCGTGCCCAGGTCGGCGAATTTGATTTTTTTCCGGTAGACAAATTGGATTCTCCCTCCAGAGCAATACGGGTTATTTGGAGTGCGCGGGGGAATAGGCGCGATAGAGATGGTGCTAAAGGTACACACAAAAGAGTTGCAAAAATAGAACCCAGTGTAGTCAATGCAGAGAGGAGCAATGTAGCCAGAACTGGATGAAACAGAGCCCCCGCTAACACATTCTATTTTTGTTGAAAAACGATGCACGTAAATCTACCAACCAAAAATAAGATGAGATGAAGATTGCTTACCCAAATGACGCTGCCTGGGATCGACCAAGCATGCTTCCATACAGCAGTTACAGACAAGACGCCGATGACGTGAGCTAAATGTAGCGGACGACTTTGTGAATATGCATGGAGCTCACGGCCTAGCGCCGCGAGCTCGGGTAGCGTTCTCGGGAAAGCAACGGAAATGGGTAAGGAATAAAGCGACAATAGTACGACCGCCGTTGTTAGCGGGAAGAGCAGCATCACCAGCAGTATAGGAGCGTGCACCTAGAATAGTAAAGATCAGATTGACTAGGGTGGGAAGGTGTGTAGAACGAACCGACGGAGGGCGCCACCAGCGAGCATGCGTGGGAGGGGCATTCTGGTCGTTAGAAATGTCACCAAATGTTGTCTGCTGCGAGGATGCAGATATTGGTAAGACAAATTCGTCCTGCACGGTAGACTGCGGAGACGAAGGAGTGGACCAGCTTATAGAGTGAGCTGTGGGCACGTGCAATAGATCTAAAAAAGTGGAAGCGATCACTGCGAACATGGTAGGTTTCTGGTCCGGTTCAGGTGAGGCAAGTAATTGAGAGGGTTCAAGATGTGAACTATCCTCGAGAGATGGTGTGGACGGTTCAGATTTCTGTATAGGGAGAATGAGGGAAGAAGAACGACGCCTTCCCAACGTGTTTATGGTGAGTGCAGGACGTATGTTTGTAGAAGAAGCACGACTACGATTAGGCGGTGGTACAGCCAAGGACATCGCTGTAGTTAAGTAAAAGGGAAAAAATGGAAAAGGGTATTGGTAAGTATGAGTTGAAAAAAGTACGTAAAGTAGTCTGACGCAAACGCTCGTCGAGCTCCGATCGGCATATGAGCAATCCCCGAAAACAGTCGGTTATTGTATTTTATTCACTCAACTACATAGAACTATCGCACAGATAAACCTCTATGGACGTCGGCAGGTAACGCGCAAGTACACCGGGATGTCAAGGCATTGGATGATCACCGACAAAGACCGACTTATTACTCACTTCATGATACATGATGAGTCATTATGACAAATCATCGGGGCCCGTACGGAACCAAGTCTCGCCGGTGTCACCGTCAAAGCATAGATCTGAGTCATAGCATAACATGAAATTGTAGCAGGCAGTAGTATAATCACCCCTCAATGCGCTCTCCTGCTCTCCTGTATAATGTTACCGAGCTCCTCCAACTTGCGCTTTGCGCGAAGGAGTGTACCAAGCTAATGAATACATCAGTCAAACATCCAAATGAGTTTGCCATCACACCCACTCGTTTCTTCGTCAATTTTCTTGCCTTCTTATCCTAGATATTCATCACGTATGTAAGAAACTTGACTGGCACACGATAAGATCAACGCACCTTGGCGTTTCTCAACAACTCAAGTACCCGACGCTCATATGGCGCAAAGCCAGAAACTTCCCGCACGACAGATCGCACGAACTTGTTTTTTGTTGATTGAATACCCTTGCGGTGGCTGGGGCGCGAGGTCTTGGGAATGGCAGTAGTGGGATAGCCCTTGTTTAGGCCCTGGCGCAAGTCTATATTGACATTCACGATGAGCGGTACCAAAGATTCAACCAAGTCACTCACTGCTTCGTGCCATTTTCTTGACGAGATCTTGAGGATGTGCGGTTGTTGCTGGCGTCCAAATCTGCCTCTTTCCAAGAGTCACGTGTGCTCAATTGTGGCTGATGGTACTGTACAGTTTCTTTTCAAATATATTCCCACAACTGTTCGTGACAATGACATACATAAAGATTAGAACAAGTCAAAGACATGTATGCAGTGTTGTACACTATTATGTGATCTATGCTGTGATTGCAGTCATGGATGCGCAAATAAGACATTTGAAACCTAGATAATCTGTGCGGCAAAGTCTCATGAGCCCGCTCTGTGCCGCAACACTCGTCTTAGTATTGCCGCACGACTTTCACCCTTCCTGTGGCGCGCCCCGAGGTAACCACGTTGTCTTCTATATGAGGCACTGCAATGGATGTCGGCGATGTCCGTGCGGAAGAGGGGAGGTGGATGGGTGTAGGTGGCCGAGGCGAATCGGCGTATTGCTCACCTCGGGTTAGGTGCCTCCGCGAGCCTCCTTCCTCTTCTTCTTCCTCCTCTTCCTCTTCCTCCTCCTCTTCATCGTCTTCAAGAGTTTCCTGTAAGAGGCAAAGCAGCTTGCATGAGTGAACATGTCCCCGCGCTGAGCTTATATACCCCTACCGCATCAAAGTCCTCCATTAACCGATCATCCTCGTCAATGTCCTCCTCCTCGTCATATTCCTCATCATCTATCCACCGGCCTCTCCAGTCCACCATATCCAATTCATCTGGGCTCTCCGGTCTCACCCGCAACCATTGCATCCGGGGTCCAGTCTTGGCTCGTTCACTAACTTTGAAACCATATATTCGTGGTTGATAAAGGTGGCCTGCAGGGCGTTTCTGCCCCCCATGCGGATTTGGATTGACGAAGGGTGAAGGTCGCGAGGAACTACTACCCGAGCCACTGTGTGGCGAGCGTCCGGGAGACATGGATGATCCCGGCGAAGACGAAGGTTTGTAGAACGGCGCTGGGGCAAGTTCGCGATAACTCTGGAAAAATAGGTGCGCAAATGTAGTTCCAAAGAAGGCCCCTACGTCCCTCGAGACATTGGTGAGAAGTACTAAGGGTCAGCAAAGACACAGCTCACACACCATCGACCCCTTGGAAGCGACTACTCGGTGGTGCATAGATATCATTGCAATTGGGACAGAAAAGTTTAACAGTGTCGAGGCCGGGGAGATCAGAACGACCAGAAGGAACAACATTGCAGCCCATGCAATATACACGCGGGCAGACGCCAAAGAGGGCATTTTCATACTTATCGACCTGTGAGAAAGAATGATCGACTCGATCAAGTGTGTTAGCGCACGATATGCCTAACTCACCATTGCTTGCAATCCAGCACGCGTTAGTATATAACGTTGATGTACTAGACCATACAATAATTCAGCTGATGCTTCGACGATTGACACGTCGGGTATTTTTGACGAATCTTCGTCTCGGAGCGAATAAGATGGTGACGCCACTGAATGAAATAATGCAACGTACCAGGCTCCACGTCCAACACCATCTCCATTGCCTCCTTCCAGAAAGGTACCATGGCATTCAAGCCGGTGAGGTTGAAATCATCCTCGATAAAATCTTCCGATACTTCACAGAAGTACTCGTGCCCAGGCAGGGAGCAAAACCAGCTAATCCATGTAAGGGTAGATGTAGGAGTAGATGATGCTGAAACGAGCAATTAGCAAGCTCTCGATAGATTTCCCCGTCTCCAAAAAAACGCGCAAAGAAAGTTACAACTTATGAAAGTCCGGAATGAAAGATAGGTTGATACGCACTGTAACCTTCTTCAACTTCCTCCATGACCTCGTCGCCCTCACCAATACCACTAATGACCTCTTCCTCCTCAAGCTCGACCTGCTCCTCCTCAAGCTCGGGTGGACGGGACATAACGTTCACACTTTAAGTCAGACGGGCTGACGGGCTGTGGGTCTGCATCCTGTTTCTCGAGAAGTTCCAGATCTGTATTCAAACTCCGCTTTCGTCTTCACAGCTGCGATGCTTCGATCACAGCAGACTTTAGCAAAAATTTAGGCCACAAGGAACACCTACAGACCTCGGAGCACATCGAACACATGAACCCTCTTCCTAGCACATTTGTATGTAATACTTGGCTCTATTTGCAACTCACGACGTCTGGAAACTGCATGTCATCTGTTCTTTGACATGGCCACCCCAAAATGAAGATCCCATAATAACCAGCAACAATAATTGCCCAGTGATCCAACTGGTGACGGTATATGAAACAGCCTTCCATCCTGGCAATGTGCCAATCTCCGCAGCAAAGGTGCTGATTGTTGTTAGACAACCGCAATACCCATCTCCTAAACCCTGAAGCAACGAGCAAGTCTCTGGGGAAACTGCAGATGGCAAGCCTTGGAGTACATGGAAAAAACCTAGGAGAGCGGTCCCAAGTGAGTTCGCCGTAAGAGTCCCAAGAGGCATAGTCTTCAAGCGGGGATTCAAATTTATGGACAGAAGATACCGAGTTAATGTGCCAGGGAAGGAAAATAGGAGAGCAGCGGTCGCTTGGTGGCGGAAATTGTGTGGCAAAAAGAAGTACGTTGGAAGGGTCGCTGCGTATGTGAGGATCGCAAGGATGGTAAGCGTGTATCGGACAGTCTTGCTTGGCGGTCGAGGGGCCGGAAAGTACGGCTGAGCTACTCCACAGACATATACTCCAAAATTCAATGACGCCAGCGACAACACGAGGGTGACCCAAGTCTTCGTCAAACCGTCCATGAACTGTCAAACGTAAAAGGAACACACCATCAAGATTCGAACCGCGAAAAAAATAAGGGTCTACTCACATCTCGAAGCCCGCCTCTGTAGAACTGACCACTATTCACCCACGAATCAAAGATATCCACCTGCCACCCAGAAAATGTTGTTAATGATCCACAGAACCCTGTGGCAGGTTACTAGGTATTATGGTCTGATACCAGAGGTACTGACCAGTGGTCAAGGCCGTGTATAACGGACCATAGCTGCGGAAATGTATGAAAGGCTAGGCAATGTGAAGATAGAATGCACACATACAAATTACCAAATGGTACTTTCATTCTTAATCCAACGCCCATGATAAAGCACCCCGTGGCCTGGACGTAAGCCAACGGGAAAATACTTTCCCCATTGTACGTTGCGAGCGCTTGCAGGCCAAGCCGTGCGAGGACTCCAAATATTGACGCAGGCATGAGGAGGGCTAGCACATGGATTGATAGGGGATGATAGATCTTGGCAGGTGGATGTTCAGATGGAGGACGATCGATGCTAGCGAGAGTGCCTGCGTCGTCTATGGTTTGATGACGAGCGAGAACGGACCCTACATCAGGGTGCTGTTGTGATACATGGTCCAAAGGCATCAGTGAGCGCTTGAGCTCTTCTCGGTGACTATCGGTGTGATGGTCAACTTCAGTTTGCAGGATAAGGGAATCTGTGGCTGTGGCTGGGGCTGCGTACTCCAGAAATTGTTCCCCTTGGTCTGGGATGCAATTTACTCGAACTTTGGGTGCTCAGGAGTCAGCACTAGCACTAGCTATATAGGTGACTGAATCAGTGATCCGCAGGTTGACTCGTTGCTTGCAATCAAATTCTTCGCCAGTCAGGTAAGTGACCGTAAGTCGGAGTCAGACGGTCAACTGTGATTACCAATTTTGAATTCTAATTTCGTCCAAACCCTCAAATCCTAATCTCCGAATTTGAATTCCGGACAGTGTTGGCAACTTGAATCCGGTTTTGTTTCGACAACCTCAGCACGCCTGTTTACATGCTGTTCTGCCCGACATGCGCTAATATGCTCGTTATATCCTCAGAGACAGGGTACAATAAATGGGCATTGCAATTCGTGTCCATACGAATTTCCGATCTCGAAGCAAGTGTGTACTCGAATCATTTTAAAATTATATTGCAGTCCTTTATCATGACCGCGTTATAGATGACTTCCCGCTCGCGTATGAAGCGCAAGGAAGTAGACGATGTACTCGGAGGAGAGGAGACGTGGCGAGATGCCGATTCTACCGCGAGTTAGTCTTTTCTTTTCTTTCACAATGCAGGAAGTGGAATTGTTGATCCACAACCCATAGTCACTTGTGACAAGTGCAGTCATCCCCGCGCATATTTCTATCAGTTGCAGATCCGATCTGCAGATGAGCCCATGACAACATGTATGTGTTTCATCTCAACTGAATTTGCGACACTTGGCGCTGATTCGTGGCTTCCTGGGATCAGTTTACAGGTCAGTATTACTGGTGTCTATGATAACCAGTTTGATGATCGAATTCCAGATGCGCCGGGTGTGCCTATCAATGGCGCGAAAATTAATCTTTGTCTCTCAAAATGGATGCCGAGATGCTTACTGGCACTGATGTGTACATCAAAAATGTTCTTGCTAAGCCTCTGACATATTCAGTCATGTCGGAGCCACCATCCACCTCACTCCCATCTTTGATTTCAATTTATGTTCATGAATGTGTGCTACCCATGTCACAGGGGTTTTATCTAGCCCCACGGCCGCACGTATGAGCTTGCAAATACCGCAGTGTGAGGATTTACCCACTAGTTCACCTTCCCTGCCAGCCGCACATGCCAGTACTGACACCCCCCCCACCTCCGAATTATTGCACCTGGGACCTCAGTGTGGCACAGCGCTCGCTTTATCATAGGCTTGCCACGGCTGTTCACGCTAACAGCACGCTCGGCCGCACCGCCGTCCCTTCCAAATCTCTCCCAAACCCACCACCTGAAAGCCTGGTGCATCATCATGTTTCAAAATTTCGCCCTTCCGGCAGCCGATGGCTGTCATCATGCCAACTTCAGCATGGTGAACGACTATTACTACAACCGCTGGAATAGGCTGAATAGGTGAGAAACTTACCACTGGCGGCCGCGAGTGACGGCGGCAGGCTTTCCACTTTGTCTGACAGAAGTGGGAAGGCTGTACGTCGTAGGCCGCCGCATCCTCCTATATTTATGAATACCAAAAATCGCTTTAATGGTCTGGAAATCGACGCACCAGTCGGTGTATATTTGTCTGAAATTCAAGAAGCCTACATACAAGTTAAACATGGCAGGTCAAATTAATACTCCTAGTCACCGCCAGTCGGGTTGCAATTGTCATCGCAGTGACACCGTGCGGTAGTGCTTACTGAGCTGAACCAAACGAAGTGCGACCAAAGCCGACCACTGTTTAGATACAGACTTAAAGTTAGTGTGCTTTCATGTGAAAGCGAACAAAAGGCACCTGGCAATGGTATTGCGCTCGTCGTCCGGACTCCGGATCCATCCGGTGTTTTCGTTGTTCCCAGAATAGAACTTGTCTGCAAGGCCTCAACTTTTTCATCCAGACACACCTTGACTTTTCCCAAACAAAAATGTTGGCTCACCGGTCGGTTGTTGGTGTTGCGCAGGGCACATTTAGGTCCGCTCAGGTTGACCGATTTGTATTTTCTGGTTATTCGGGTTGGCGCTTACGTTTACGTTGTAGCCATTCAGACGGTATGCTTCTGCCTCCCCGACTGCTGCTTTTGCTGGGCACAAGGGTAGCAACGTGAGTTTTGCAATAATCTTCGTGTTATAGCCCTTACTCAGTTGGCAGGGTAAATACACCGTGACTTTGATTCCTGGAGACGGTCAGGTTGCTCGTCCTGTTGAGATTCAGTTGTTTGACGTCAGAGTTTAGGTATCGGCCCAGAGATCAGCGAATCAGTCAAAAACATATACGCTGCTGCAAACGTTCGTTTGTAGTCTCGTTTGAGATGAACGCGACTTACAAGTTCAATAGGTCCCCATCGAGTGGGAGGAAGTTAGCGTCACTCCCGTTTTAAAAGGTGGGAAAACGGTTATCCCGGATGCTGCCATCAATTCTGTAAAGAAGAACACTGTTGCTCTGAAAGGTGCGTCTGATTATGGCCGGAATGAAGCAAAACACTAAATCCTATTCTCAGGACCGCTGGCAACTCCAAGTGCGCCCCGTTTTTACTGTGATTCACACATATGCTGAGGGTCCTCAAGTTGGAAAGGGCCACGTCTCTTTGAACTTGACTTTGCGTCGGACGTTTAAACTTTTCGCGAACGTTCGTCCGTGTGTTTCGATCAAGGGCTTTAAGACTCCTTACGACAACGTTAACACCGTTCTGATTCGGGAAAACACCGAGGGAGAGTACTCGGGTATTGAGCACGAGGTAGGTTCACCTTATGATGCATGAGTATCACTTACGTGGGTGTTCCAGATCGTGGATGGGGTGGTCCAATCCATCAAACTCATCACATGGGATGCCTCTGAGCGCGTGGCTCGTTATGCCTTTCATTACGCACAAGCTAGCGGAAGGAAGCGAGTCACGGCTGTCCATAAGGCCAATATTATGTGAGTGATACCTTAGCTAAGAATTACGCATGAATATCGATTGAAAACAGGAAAATGTCGGATGGCATGTTTTTGTCCGCATGTCGGCAAGTTTCGAAAGACTTCCCGGGTATCGCCTACGATGAAGACCTTTTGGATCGTGTCTGTTTACAGGTAAATCAACACGAAGCCGATATAGCGATGAGCACAGCTGAGGACATTTTCTAGATTGTGCAGAATCCCCAACCTTACTCCAACCGGGTCATGGTGATGCCCAATCTTTATGGCGATATTTTGTCGGACATGTGCGCTGGATTGATTGGTGGCCTCGGCTTGACGCCATCTGGCAACATTGGTCGTGTAGGTCGCATTTCCCTTTAAGCGGCTCAAGCTAAAGGCTTCTGTCCTCTTCCGTAGGATGCATCGATTTTCGAAGCCGTGCACGGATCGGCTCCCGATATTGCAGGTACGGCTCATCTTTACTTTAGGTATATAACCAATACCGAGATGGTCAAATTTAGGGAAGGGATTAGCTAATCCTACTGCTCTCCTTCTATCTTCTCTCATGATGCTGAGGTACGTGAACCTCGGGAACTGTGTTGGCTTCTAAGCTGATCCGGGATACCTTGTATAGACACATGAACTTGAATGGGCATGCCGCCCAGATCGAAGAGGCTGCTCTTAGTGTAAGGATGTTTTTCCTATTACGTGTATGTTGTGTTTCTTACGATGCACACATTATAGACGATTGCGGAAGGTAAGACGATTACGGGGGATTTGGGTGGGAAGGCCTCGACCATGGAGTACACGAGCGCGATCATCAACAAACTCACCAAGGCATGATCGTTCCCGTAGAGGGGCTGCGAGATTTATAGACAGATAGACCGTACTTTCTACCAATACTAGATAATTGGGATCGGCTCCAATTTGCTTCGGTCCCTTGCATCCGCTACCGACTTGGGCTGCGTGAGAAATATTAGCCTGCGGATGTGATAGGAAAATGAACTCAGTCAAAGTTGACCTACGACGACCAGCTTTAAGATCCCTTCCACGCCTATACACGGCATTCACTCTTCATAATCCCTCACTCGCCCTACAGGGCAAAGACGACATAATCTTCACATTCCTGCCTGACAAGGTCAGCTTTTCAGAATCAACCTTGTGCAACTGATGAACATTTGGCCAGATAACTCTAGTTCACATTCTTCCAGAAAACAGATAATCCAAAAAAACGTTGGACATCCTGTAATAGTTTCCTGCCTCCGTACGATACGAACGAAATGACCGACGAATTCACTCAAACACATAACCTGCCGAAGAAGGACGAAAAGAGGCCCCCTTCTGTATCAAACAGAAATTCGAAGAGAACTTCATCTAATGCTAGACCTTCTTCCGCAGCCGGCAACCTCCAAGGTGCCCCAAGGCCTTCCTCTAGGTCTGGTAACAAGAAACCTCAAACAGGGGTGTCTGCTACTGGCGGCACCGAGTCTGGTTCAGACACCAACAGGAAAGCTCCCGAGCCTAAGAAAGCCGAACCTCGTAGCAAGAGCCAGACCGGTGGTGCCACACGAAATGGTAATCACCGCAAAGGTCAACCTTCTGCGTCTCAGGGTACACGCGGCATGACCGGCCATTCCTCTTCGCCTGCACCCCCTTCCGCATCAGAATCAAGCGATGCTTTGTCTTCTTTACAGAGAGTCATCGCAGACCTGAAGACAACTTCGCCTCCAAACCAATCTTCCTCTCCTGGCATCAATAATTCGCTCGCTGCTTCTATGCACGCTCCGCAAGCACAACCTTCAAGCCTTCCAGTTAATGCACTAGTGTTCCAGCCAGGTGCTTCTTCTTTCCCTGGGCCCAACCTCGCAGATGCCGTTAGGCACCGCAAAGCTGTTTCGCTAGGCACCGCTGGTGTTCCCGGTAACTATAACTCCTTCTCGCCTCACCTAGGCGCGATGATGGAAGATGCCGAAGATGGTACCGGAGCTTCATTCGAAGACGGCGAAATCCCTGAACATTTCTACCCACATCAACAAGGGCACCAGCCTCGCTCCCAGTCTCAAAGTTTCATGGCTCCTCGTTTCGCCGCTCTCGCAGCACAAGAACAGGATGTTCTCGGACCCACTGGTCGTCCGCAGCTTGCCCCTGGTTTCATGTTTGGAGCGCGTAGAAGAACTAGCTCTAATGTTCCCGTTGGTCTGCCTATCAACGAGGAAGATGTCAGATTCCAGTTCCCTCAGCAACAACCCAACTTTCCTTCGGATGAACAACCCCATAGGAAGCCTGAAGGTGACTTCACAGGGATTATGGCTGAACAGGTATGTGCCAATCGTGTTGCATGCTTTGTGTCACTAAAATTATTATAGATTGCCCTCCAGAACCAGATTGAGGCGCTTCAGCAACAACAACAAGCTTTGTACCAGCAGCAGCTCGCTTCGAACCAGGTCCTTTCACTGCAAACTCCGGGATTGGTCCCAAACAGGCACAGGCGTGTCCAAAGCACATTACCGACCAATATGGGTGGAAATTTAGGTGTTAACGCTTTCAACTCCCCTATGGGCCAATTCAATAGCATGAGCAATCTCGGTCTTGGTCTCGATAATCAGCCAGCTGGTCTCCCACGCGGCCACGGCAGACGACACAGCGTCAATGTTGTCAACAAACCCGGTCCCGCTCAGGGGTCAATCAGCTTTCCTTACAGTGGTCAGGACGGTTTCGATGACGGTTTTGCACCTCCTCCTGGCTTTGGTGGTCACTCTCGCACCACTTCTCGAGTTGATTCTAGCTGGCGCATCAGTAAGTTTTATACTCGTTTGCCTGCGCATCTGATATTCATGATTGTTCAGATGGAGGTGTTGGCGCCATCCAAGGCAACAATGCATTCGCCGCTGATCTTGCTCAAGCACAAGCGCAGCTTCAAAGCTTGCAGCAGTTCCGTGCTGCGGCTGGGGGCCACCATCACAAGATGCCATCTTTCTCGTTCCCCAACATGCTTCCAAACATGATGGCTGCGAACATGATGGGTCTGAATATGGGCGGTGTCAGCTTACTGCAGCAGCAGCAACAACAGCAGCAACAGTTCCAATCGCAGCTTCAGCAACAATCTAACCAGCCCCAACGCAAATCTCTTTTCGCTCCTTACCTACCTCAGGCTTCGCTGCCGCCACTTCTTGCAGCAGGAAAACTAGTTGTTGGGATCTTACGAGTCAACAAACGCAATCGCTCAGACGCATACGTTGCTACCGAGGTTCTCGACGCCGACATCTACATTTGTGGATCCAAGGACCGTAATCGTGCTCTGGAGGGTGATATTGTCGCCGTGGAGCTTCTTGATGTTGATGAAGTATGGGGAACGAAGAAGGAGAAGGAAGAGAAGAAGCGCAAGAAGGAAGAGAACTCCGCCTATGACTTGAAGTCGTCTTCAGTACGCCGGGACGACAAGAAAAAGGATGACGTTGAAGTCGAGGGCCAAGGTTTAATGCTGTTCGAAGATGAGGAGTACGTTTGCGTTTTTTTTTTTCCCGTTGGACCATTCACTCAGTCGTTTGTTTCTGTCAGGGTTACCGATGATGTCAAGCCTCAGTTTGCGGGGCACGTCGTTGCAGTTGTTGAGCGTATGCCTGGTCAACTCTTCTCTGGCACTCTTGGCCTGTTGCGCCCTTCATCCGCTGCGACTAAGGAGAAGCAGGAGGCTGAGCGCAGGGAACGTGAAGGCGATCGTGGCGACGAGCCCAGGCGCGGACCCATAGAACGCCCCAAGATCGTGTGGTTTAAGCCCACCGATAAGCGAGTACCGCTCATTGCCATTCCGACTGAACAAGCACCTGCGGACTTCGTCCAGAACTCTGAGGCCTATGCAGACAAGCTGTTCGTTGCTTGTATCAAGCGTCACGTCAGTGTATTTTGGATTGTATGTCGACTCTATTGACGCTTCTGTCATAGCCCATTAGTTCGCTCCACCCATTCGGTACTTTGGCTGAAGAGCTTGGCCCCATTGGAGATATCGAAGTTGAAACTAGTGCTTTGTTAAAGGACTGCAATTTCCCTACAGAGGAATTCTCGGACAGCGTTCTTAAATGCCTGCCTCCCACACCCTGGACGTGGGTTCTTGGTTACCTCTCTCAAGATATGAGCTGACAATACCATATACAGTGTACCAGAGAGGGAGTTTGAGGTTCGGAAGGATCTTCGTGAAGAGCGCATCTTTACTATTGATCCTGAGACTGCAAAGGACCTTGATGACGCACTGTCCATTAAGGCCAACGACGATGGCACTTATGACGTGGGCGTGCACGTCGCTGATGTCTCTTATTTCGTCAAGCCTAACACTGCTCTTGACCGCGATGCTCGCAAGAGGGCAACCAGCGTGTATCTCGTGCAGCGCGCCGTCCCCATGCTTCCTCCCACTATCAGCGAAGAGGCGTGCAGTCTTAACCCTGGTGTTGAACGTCTGGCATTCTCGGCTGTCTTTACCATGACCAAGGAAGGCAAAATCGTCAACAGGTGGTTGGGCAAGACCGTCATTAAGTAAGTGTTATATTCCCGTGCATAGCATAATTGAATTCATTTAATATTAGATCTTGCGCGAAACTGTCATATACCGACGCTCAGAAAGCTATCGACGGTCACATTCTAGGTGATCTCGTGGTCGCTCCGGAACACAATACATCAGCTATTGTACATGACATCAAGGTTCTGAATGGTCTCGCAAAGCAACTTCGTGCTACGCGCATCCAGGATGGCGCTGTCAGCCTATCGTCTAAGCGCCTCAAGTTTACCCTGGATGAAAGCGGCCGACCAGTGGACTGCGAGCAGACCGAGAACAGCGATGCAAACGACGTCGTTGAAGAGGTTTGTGTTTAATTCGTACCTCAGCTATATTGAAGACTGATCTGAATAATTATAGTTCATGCTACTAACTAATATCACCGTTGCGCAACGTATTGCCGTTCACCTTCCCGAGCAGGCCTTGCTTCGTAGACATGACACGCCGCTCGAGAGACGCCTCGTGAGTTATTATCGCATCCGTAATCTCTTTCCAGTTACAACTTTGTACAGAATCTTTTCATTGAACGTGCCAATCGACTCAATATTGCAGTTGATGTCTCCTCTAGTGGTGCCCTCATGAAGTCATTCGAGGCGATCACAAACCCTACTGCCCGCATGGTGTTGGAGCTGATCTCCCACAAAGCTACTCAGCGAGCCAAATACTTCTGCGCCGGCATGCTCGATATCGCGAAATACAACCACTATGCTTTGAGCGTGCCCCTCTACACTCATTTTACCTCTCCTATCCGGCGCTACGCGGATGTTCTTGTGCACCGTCAACTCGAATCAGTTTTGCAGGGTGGAGGTGAGTTACGCTTTGTAACCGTCTTTGTCATGTTCTGACGAATCACAGTGGAACCTAAATTCTCCATGGACCGTGACGCTGTTGCAAAGATTGCTCAACAGTGCAACATGTTTGTGTCATTTTTATCAATAACTGGTTTGGTGTACTGATTTTTATGAACAGCAAAAGGGACTCGGCAAATTTGGCACAGGAGCAGTCGACCCATCTCTACTTATGTGTTCTAATCTCGGACCTCACCCAGCGATATGGTCCTGTCATTCGTCCAGCCAAGGTTGTTAGTGTCCTTGATGCTGCGTTTGACGTTCTTGTCCCCGAGTTTGGCATTGAGAAGCGGGTCCATGTCGACCAAATGCCTATTGACGTAAGTGTTTCAGAACTGATTCACGAGAAGAAATCTGATTGTTTGAACTAGAACCACGTTTATGATGAGCACTCGCATACCTTGCAAATCTATTGGTCGACTAGGGACGTCCTTAGCTGGTTGGCGGAGAACAGCGATGACGAGCACTTGAAGAAGGTTAAGCAGAACGCTGAGGCCCACGCAGTCAAAATGGAAGTTGCATCTCGCTCTGTGCATGACGAGAAGGCCCTCTTTGACGAGGATGATGCCGATGAAGATGAGATTGTGTTAGGAAGGGACATGGAAGCTGAAAAGGCACCTGAGACCTCGAAGCAAAGGCTCTTGTCTGCCGCCAAGGTCCAACCTGTGTTTGAGGGTTTGAGGACCACACCGGCTGGCCACAAGATTCAGGACATCAAGGAGCTCATGACCGTTCCCGTGCGTATTTCTTCTGAGTGATACATGTGCATTTTGTTGACTCGCATGCAAGGTTATCGTGACTGCTGATTTGACCAAGAGCCCGCCCGTCATCAAGGTGTATAGCGTCAACCCTTACGCAGAGCAGAAGAAGTAATACTCTGCATCCACCAATGACGACGGCGTTTTATGTGTACGATAACCGTTTGATATTCCATCATGCTCTCTTTTCCAATTCCCTTCTATGTTACTAACTCACGGTCTGTACAGTATTCGGTCATCCACGATTTCCTTGTTACATTCTCTCCTTTACTTCGCCAATATGCCGTTGTTGTCTACAGGCCCTGTGTTGGGTCGTGTCTCGCTATACTATAGCATTAGTTCGTTAGTAGTATGAAATCTAACATGTTGTCTTCTGTTATGATGTGGCCTGTGAATTGCGAATGTTCAATCAAAACGAATGAATGTATTGCCTACTCTACAACATGATAACGGTGAGTACCTTGTAGCACTGCAGTGAATGAGTGTGAATAAGTATATGCATATGCAAGATGCCCGTGGACAAGTCAGATAATTACTAAAGAAATAAAGTCAGTCATGTCAATCGTCACGCATATCATATCCAAGAAGTAATTGCATGTTTTCGGGAGTTCGGGGTATTCGCTCGGTACTCTACTCTGTCCTGGCTGCGTTCACGAGGTGCAGCAGCCGACGAAGGTGTCCCTCGCGTCGATTTTCCGCTGGAGCGAGAAGATGAACGGCCCATGTCGTGAGGTTCACCTCCTTCCTGGACGGTGTGCAGGGAGTGGATGGAAGCGGAGCTACTCATGCTTCCAGCGCGTGCATGGCTCGCCGTACTGCGTCTACTACATATCTCGTCATTGCATAGTCTGAACAACTCGTCCAGACCAAGATAATTGGCCTCGTCGCGAAGCTCGAGTAATGCCTCAAGCCTTGCCCGTGACGAGGACGCAAGTTGAACAGCTCTAGGAATGATGGCTGGGTGTTCTGAAGTGAAGAGGGGAGTGCGGAGGTACGACAAGATGTACACGTATCTAGAATGATAGCATTGACAATTATACACAATCAGAAGCGGGAGGTACTTACGGAGCACTTGGCCTGTCAAGGAATATATGTATATTCATGGTTGACTGGGATATAAACCCAGAAGACGCTAAATGATCATGAAACATAGCATTGAACGAGTTGTCTGGAAGCTCGGAAACATCGCTTGCATTGGAGTACAACGATGCCGCAACTGATTTTCGTGGTAAGAGGGAAGTGACATAGTTTGAGAGGTAAGAAGGCCTTGAAATAAGAGTACGGAGTGTCGTGCGGTGCGTAGCTGAACTTGTCTCTATGGTCACGATAATCTTGGAAGGATCAATCGCACTGCTAGGGACAGGGGACAGCAGAATAGATTCGAAGGGAGGTTGGGGTGGCGTAGCAGAGACGTTAACGGGAAGTGGTGGTACGGGTGGCAGATTTTCTGCCAAAGACGGGGAGGTCTTTGTTTTAATGACTGGACGAAGGACTGTAGATGTCGTCAATGGCGCAGGGGGAGGAGGACGGCTTGGGCATGGCGGCGCGGATGTGTCTTTTACCGGAAAACTCGATAAACTACTATGTGTCGAAGCGGATATAGTTGGAGTTGACGACTCGAGAGAAGACTTCGACGGCACAGGTGGCGGACCATCCGCAAGCATAGGCAAGCCCATTGCCTCCTCAGAGGGTGCCTCAGAAGCTGATTTCCGTTGTCCGCCATCATCTCCATCGTCAAACAGGGTGCTCGTACCGGACAGCGCCTCTTGCGGTGTCCTTACAACCATGGCGCCACTTCCAAGAGGCCCACTACGTCTGACATTAAATATATCCAAGGAGCTGTCAAACCTGGGTTCTGATATGCGAATTGGTGCAGCTGCGACACCATGTGGTGAAGTATTGGAGGAAGAACTTGTATTGCGAGTCAGCCAGATCATTGGCTTCGAGGTCGAAGGTTTGTGACTGTGACCTCTTGGAGGCGTGCTTGGAGGTGATACTGGTGTAGAAGATAGAGAGAAATGATGCAGAGCCAGCTCTGTGGTTTGTGAGATGGGTGGTGGTGGATGCTGAGGACGCCTTGGAACAATCATAAGGGGACTAGTGGAAGAAGGGGACTCGTGTACGACTAAGACAAGACTAAGGCGGTCAAAGAGTACAAAACGGTTAAGAAGTAAGTTGATGGACAAAAGTAGATGAAACGTTTCGTTGTTTCCAGTTATCCGAAGAACAAAAAGATTTCCAGGGAGAAAATGATCGGCACTACAACACTTACCTCTTTTGGACAACAAAGATTAAAGCACCCGTGGGAATATTGATCATGCTTGCCATGGCTTCCCCAGTTACCACAAAATTCCAGACTGCTTTACCTTTCGCACTTCTTTCAATTTCACCCGGTCTTGCTGCTCTTCATGCTTCTCGAGTGCGTTCTCTCTACCCAGACGAATTTGATTCTTCATCCGCCACGAATTGTCTGCGGTGCGGTTCATATCTGTTGGCCGCCGATGGCTCTATAGAACTCCGCAGACCAAAAAAAAGGAGAAAGGTTGCTGACAAGAAATTAAACGCCATCAAGATTACTTGTCATCGTTGTTGCTTTATTTCCTATACTTCGTTTGATAGGAGAGAGACATTCCCTCAGTCAAAGCCTACCACTGGAGCCCAACTATCACTACCATCGCCGGTCCCTTTAGTGTCCGTTTCATCTCGGTCAGAACACAAACCGAAAGAAGAATTAATACCATCTTCGTCACGTTTTTCCGTGCCAGTTGGTTCATCCCCTGTGGCACATTCGACGCGAGGAACTACACCTAACTTGCACACAAAGCCCAAAAAGAAGACAACAGCATTACAGGAGATGTTAGCTCGCAATCGAGAGAAGGAGGCTGCAAGAACACAATCCCAGCAAAAGCCACCACCAAGTGGCCTTGCATCGTTCCTTAATTCACTACAATGATAAAAAGGTGCGTTGTTAATCTTACATATGGCTGCACCATGTTCTCAAGACCTGACATTCTTTAACAATAGCTTCCTGATGGTTTTGGCGATGTGTATCTATCCCTCGTCGTCAGACTCGAGCCCACTTGGAATGAAACGGCTGGGAAAGGAGAAGATACAGGAGATTGCTCCTCCGATGGACTAGACGACATATCTGGAAGTTCACGTTCAAATAATACATGAATAACAAATGTGCATTTTATTTGGCTCTTTCAACTAATTATATTTTATACAGTGGCCGGTTCATTGATCTGAAGCGTGCGCGTGGAGTACGTGCACGGCTCGGGGCACGAGCACCTCCGCGGACAGTAGCTTCCCTCACAATGGAGAGCCACAGCAGGCAACAGCTCGATGATATCCTCATCAAATTCGCTCCACGGCCTCTGAAAAACCACCATCCACCAGCCAGCACTGTGACACAATCAACTTCCACTTTTTGTTGCGATCCGATCAGTGTCATTTCTGCATCGCTATGGGAAGATGAAGTCCATAAGATATTTGAGAAATCTGTGCCAACGATCAGGCCTAGGATCCGAGGAGAGCGGGGGAATCACTGACGCAAGGAATGTATGAGTAGCCGAATTGCTTACATCCGCTCTGGAAGTTGGAATCGGGCCTCTCACCCTTCGCATCATTCTCAAACTGCTCAACTGTCTCTTTCTGCTGCAGACTGGCGCCAATGATGTGTTGCAGACTGGCGCCAATGCTGTGTTGCAGACTGGCGCCAATGCTGTGTTTTTAGAAACCCTCGTTCAGGGGAAACAGCCTTGGGAAACGGTGGCTGTTCAGGTCACCCCTTATAGCACGGGAGATCTGTGGACCGTAGTCGGCACGACTCGGTTCAGAAGCTTGAAGTGTTACTGGTCAGATTTCAATAGATTCTCCCGCTGATTGAGATTCGGCCAAATTCAATTCGCGCCAAGTTATCTCTACCTCCAGAACGCGTCCACCGATATCCGCCCCTGTTATACACCACTTTGGTTATTTCCCTTGATCTGGAGACTATTGATGGATGCAATCGTACTGGGTCCTCACTATGATTTTGGCCAAAACAGGAACAGAGGAACGGACTTCGATCCAAGCCAATAATTTCTCCGCGGAAGAGATCTCAGCCGTTGGATGTGCAACGACGCGCCACTGATAGTGGCACACCCAGGTAAAGACCAGTGGAGGGCTAGCAAAATCAGCGGAGATTGTTGTACCCGAGTGTGAAGTTACGTTGGCATGTCGTCAGCGATAACCAGGAACACCCCGGGCTGGTGAGCGGGTTGAGATGTTCCACTGGCAGCCGATGGATGTGAGGTTCCGGGAAGTTCACGTCGACGGGACCGAGGACGTGTGAATTACATGACTCGGAGTGAAGGGCAGTGGATTTGTTACTTTGGCAGTACCGAATTGATGCCGGTGGGCATTTCTTGTCGTCCGAGGCTGAGTCCATCAGCATCATTGTTCAGGTAGAATTCTGGGACTGAGCCACGGGCGCTCTACATAGAGAAGTCGGGACACGAGCTAGATAATTAAGCAGCGGATGAGTATGCGTCGCGGCCTGGCCAGGGTGGCCAGTATGGTTGCCTACCATATGTAGGCCTACATGGCAAAAGTTGGCATCTAAAATCTACAACATATATATAAGTGCTGTGCTCAAACGCGCCTCGCCCATCTCAAATAGTCACGTAACAGGGATATTCCGCCGGCCCGTTACCTCTGCGGTAGCTCGGCGTCAATTGTGTCCACTGCATTTGATTCCGCGTATCAAAATGATCCAATCCTGCCAGTCTCCTACTCAAGATCGTTTTGAATGAAAGCGATAGTCGCAATTTTATTCTCATCGCGACTTCAGCAGTGGTCAACGTCTTCTTGTGATAGGATTATGGATTTCAATCAGCCGGCCTGCAGTAGAGGACAAGATGCTGCAGCGTACTATGGGAGAAGACTGGGAGAATTGGGCAAAGAAGATGAAATATCGATTACTTTCTGGGGTCTATTGATTATATACATACCAAGTGCTCTGTTTGCTTCTTGTACCATATATTGGTGTTTTATAGGAATTGATTGTATATTGTATATTAGAATATTATGATGAAAACGGCCCGGGTTTTACTTTAACATTCATACGCTGACTTAATGTTGACTTGAACTTTGCATTCGTATCATGCATACAGCTGACTCTCTTCGCCACTATATGAACCATTGACAACACTACCAGAGTGGTGAGGTAGGTAAAGACTATACTATGCATGTGTATTCTACGAAAGAAATAAATGAGCGTGGCTACCTCATGGGTTACACTATAGAAGGGCTAGAAATGGATAACTCTTTCTGTTCTTTGTTGGCGTAGGGGTGCGCTGGCTTGATGAACCTTCCGGGCCAGAATGGAACGTACACGACGAGGGCCAAGCAAATGGGAATCGTATCACCCAGATAGAAGGCTGCCTCGCTTGTGCTGAGATTGCCGCGGAAGCCCTGACTAGCCTCCACAACACGGTAGAAAGAACGAATCTATCAAAGCGTCAGTTAAAGACTACGAGGTTACTGTCTATATGTAACACGAACCAGAAGTCCGACGCAACTGACCGCCAAGGCAGCGGCGAGTGTTCGCCAGTCGTTATTCCAGGGTTGCTTTGAGTCTCGCATGCAGACATCCTGTTCCTCAGTGTAGACCTTGTAGAGGAATCGTGCATAAATGGCACAAAAGAAAACGAAGGAGACCAGTTGCATAATGAGGCCGACCAAAAATATCTGAAAGATATAATTAGATCCACAGGTAGACGTCAGGTGCAAGGACATACATGAAGTCCCAACGTCGCCGAACTTTGAACCGTGGACGTAGTCATTGAGGCTCCTATCGCCTTTGGCACTATATCATCAGAGAAGGTCATTCAAAAAAATTCAACGCTCACCTGAATGACAAAGGTAGTGAAGTCGGACGAGACGAATATGAGGGTGAGCCGCCTCACTGGAAGCAAGATGTGATGAGCGCAGTCGATTTCACCGGCAAGGCGACCAAGAAGAGTATAATTCGCGGCAATGAAGAAACAGGGCTTTTAAGGGTCAACACATATTCATAGTCATAGTTTGATGCTAACTCACAGACAACACGATCATCAAGTCCTCAGTGATGAAAATCTGCAATGAGTCTGGGTTATTATGCAAAGCGAAGCGAAATGCAAAGCCGAGAGCATAAACTACAACCATCATGAGGAAGAATCAAAACAAGCAAAAGACTGCGACGTGCTGTATTCCCCAATGACCATGGACAGCATGAACCTCCCGCCGTTGTAGATTATTTGATAAGTCTGAACGAGAACGACCAACAGCACATAAACTTTGCACCATAAGTTACGTGTTTCCCTGGCTTAGTGGCTACTCACCAAAGGCGACAGCAGTGAGCGAATTGTTAGCGATATATCCAAGGCCATTGCATGGATCGTCTCGTGGGTCTAGATTAGGATCAGAAGGACATGTCACAGAATTGGTGGCTGCCTGAGCCGACGTAACAAGAAGAGACAGGAGAAACAAAGCACTCGCTAAGATTGGGCCAGCCATGAGAAGAAAAAGACGAAAAATAAGAAGATGAAGAATACCTTTCATGGGCCAACAAGCTCAGCATTTATACTTGAATAGTGTCCATCCAAAATTATCCACCTCGACGCGGCGCCAAACGATATCCATGCGAACCGTGAGGCAGTGAGTTGTGACACCCATGCAAACATAGACTCATCAGAGGTTTACCGTGACAATGAACAGCAAGAGCATTTGCAAAATCATACCTCTTAGAATTCAGAACCAGCAATGTGCCTGTGGCACGATTGTGGTATCGCAGCCATTAGAAGTTCTCAAGGTGCCCGAAGGGTATATGACCCCTTGTCTGCGAAGTCAAAGCAAGTAATCAATTAACCAGAGTAGTAGGTCTGAATGAATGACAATTTTATGAGGTATGCTCAAATTGATTGGAAAACTGTGGTCTACAGAGCGTGGATCGCAGAGGTTCGTCCATCCTAGAAACCGCCTCCAGGCTCTGACACAGTGGTTGGAATCGGAGAGGTAGTGGAATGTTACTTGATGTACACAGCAATTTAGAAGCCACTGTATGTGCCAACAGGCTCTGCGGAATGCTGTTTGCGGGTTTGAAATTCTGGGGTTGCTGGGCGGGAGTCAGTCGTCTAGGCACTATAGTAGAATTTAGCACAGGTCCAGGAGAGAGTAGAAATACTTCCGAACACGAAGCTTGTTTCGAAATAATGCAGGCAGGGCGGTGGAGAGGATCCGAGTTATAAAGCTGTCCGACCCACAAATATTATGACATGATATGATTGGTCAATGTAGCTAGCATGTGTATGTGATGTGACATTGACGCGTGATACCAGAAGTCACGCGCTTCATCACACCGGGGCCTATATAATTATTGGCTCTTTGAGGAGAATAAGATTCTGGTTGTCGCTCGATACACGCCTCAAGGAACTGAGAAATCACACATAAGTGATACTGTGAATAGGCAATAGCTCAAGGCTGTCGAGGGTGCCGCGGGGTTGACCTGCACAAACCGGTGTCCTCGTGACTTCGCCAGTCCCTTCCGAATGTATCGCATTCGGGATCAGTGAGCGCTCACTGATCCCAGTGTAACGACGGATCTATTTAGCAAGCTCAGCGGCCGCATCTGCAGAGCAATTTTAATTTGCTTTCGTCCCATCATAGATCGAGATTGACCGTCGACTTATTGCCGAATGTATGTGGCTCCGGCCTAGCGTTTAAATGGCTGGTCATTATACTGCAATGACGTCATGGTTCCCATGTTCGCGTTGTATGTGTATCTACCTGTACTGCATACTCATTGTTGCGCTCTCATTAGCTCCATCCCCTCGACATCCGTCACGCGTGAACGTTTGAACGCCTGTTTTGTGCGTTTGTCCGTGCATTTTTTCCTTGTATTTGTGTCCACTTATCTGTTCAGTGGATTTCTACTTCTTCGCACTTGTCTGCGCTTGTCACCAACGCTCCCTGCTCATTTGCACCTGCTGCTACTCATTCGTAATTGTCTGCACTCGTTTGCGTTTGATGTCACGACTTCAGATCACGCTAACATAGATCGAGGTTGGAGAGTTGTTGCGGCCGGATATATATGATGTGTTTACATTTTCGATCATTTTTTCAGCATTTATGTTCTAGGCAGATGCCACGCAGTATGAAGTACTGCCTTTCGATGACGTGCCAGATCATATTCATGTCCGTCGTCATTATTTTTTTCATCCTGACTTGGCCATTAACACTCTGCACCTTGTTGACATCAATATCACGTATTCCACATATAAGTATGAAGCTGCGACCTGGGCCTGAGCCGTCAAGAAGGGCCCGACCTACAATTTGAGCGGGCCTGAGCCCTCTCGAGCCGAGCTGTGCCGTGCACATCACTAGGTCACACAACAACCTTCATTCAATCCTCGGACATTACTTGTAGCCAGACCGGCCAGAACTCCAACATTCACGTCGTCTCAGACTCGACAACCCCCGCAATATTATGCTGTCGCTGTACATCTTGTATGCTTTTGTCTCCTGGACCTGCACCCTCTCGTGTTCCGCCACGGTCATCAGCTATTGAACCGACTTCTGGTCCTAAAATTGATGTTTGGCTGATAGTATATATTATATCAATGGGTGCCACGACTTTCATGCCCTTCCGAATGCCATTAAGAACTATTTTTAACACAAGGTAACCACGCTTCGACACTGTTTTAGTCGACGAGGGTGGTGGTGGGACAGCGGGTGTAGGTGGTGCGTGTTTTTTGTATTAATTCCTTCCAACGCTACGCTAATGTTTGATCATGAATTTCTGGGTATTTTTTGCACAAGTCCGCGTCGTCGTTTTCATGCTGACGAGTCAGGCTGTGACTACCTTATTTTGTACACTTGCAAAGTGACCTACCCACTTTGCTTATGTGAAATGGTTCATGCCATTTGGGCAACCAAACCATGGTTTGTATAAAATTTCCCGTCTCATTCGTAACGGAGAGCGTCTCGCAAGTTTCTGATGTTCGCAGGAGTGTATATTTTATTCCAAAATTTGGTCCAGTAGCACCTCGCGAATGGACGAACAGTACTGTTCTGGAGCTTTCTTCTACCTTCTTCGTAACTCGCTCAGTGACAGGTATATTTATTTAATTATAATCTGACCGGTAGGAATGACTATATTATTCCAAAATACAATGATTTCTGTCAAAATACTATATTCGACTGTTTTAAGCCCAAGTTTGAATATTTCCTAGCGGAGGTTTTCCCTGATGTCGGTGTGAAATTATGCCAGCCCTCGCAGATGGTAGATGTACTCATTCAATCCGCTCATTCTATCCTGAGTACCTTCGAGTACGTACTCCTTAATAGTCTCTGCATACTATATAGAAGAAAGACAGTCGTTCCTTTTGTATAATCAGTCCAAATGAATCTGTAATCGACTGCCTACTCAAGCACTGGAATAACATACGTGAACCAACAATATCCGAGCTGCAAGGTCCCTATAGAGTCTGTGTATCCTGATATAACAAGCAATAAATAAAAGTGGAATAAGTGTGGTTAATAGTCGTCTAGCACCGCTGAGGGTACTTCATGGTTGTATCCTAAAGTACCGCGAGAAAGTGACAAGTCCCGACCATTCTGCAGTTCGTTGACGGAGGGCGCTAGTCTGGCTGTGATGAACTTTCCGGGCCAGAATGGAACATAGATCACGATGGCCACAAAAAGGGGAAGCGTATCACCCAGGTAGAAGGCTGTCTCGCTTGAGCCGAGGGCGCCGTGAAAGCCCTGAGCGAGCTCTGCAACACGGTAGCATGAACGAATCTGCAAAAGCGTTTGTTAAAGGAGACAAGGTTGCTGCATGAAAGACAAACCAGAATGCCGATACAGCTGATCGCCGCGGCAGCGGCGATTGTTCGCCAGTCACTGTTCCAGTGTTGCTTTGAGTCTCGCATCCAAATGGCCGGCTCTTCAGCGTGGACTTTGTAGAGGAATAGTACGTAAACAACACAAAATGAACAGACAGAGGCCAGTTGCAAAACGAGGCCGGCCAAAAAAATCTAATAGAGATGATTAGAGCTCACTCAGGTTGGGACAAACGCGGGTACAGAAACATACATGAAGTCCTGTCATAGCAGTACTGTAAACGGTGGACGTTGTTATTGAAGCTCCTGCCGCCTTTGGCAAAACATCGTCAGAGAAGCTCATTGAAAAAAAGAAGTCGATACTCACTTGGATGACAAAGGTAGTCACGTCAGACAAGACGAAAATGAGGGTGAGCCGTCTCACTGGAATCAAGACCCGATGGACGCAGTCGATTTCCCTGGCAAGACGACCGAGGAGAACGTAATTCGTGGCAATGAAGAAACAGGGCTTTATAAAAGATTAACAAACGACCATTGTTACGGTTTGACGCTGACTCACAGACAATACGATCATCAAGTATTCGGCGATGTAAATCCCCAGTGAATCAGGATTATAATGCAAGGCGAAGCGAAACCCAAAACCTATAACATAAACTACAGCCAAACATCAGCAAGAACCAACACAAGCGTGAGATTGAGACGTGCTGTATTCCCCGAGGACCATGGGCAGCATCCACTTCCCACCCTTATAGATAATTTGGTAAGTCTGTATGAGAGCGACCAGCAGCACAAGGCCTTCGCACAGTAAGTTAGTACGTATGCTCCCTGGCTTACTGATTACTCACTAAAGGCGATGGCAGTTAGCGTATTGTTAGCGATATAGCCAAGGGCATTACATGGGTCGTTGCGCGGGTCTAGGTAAGGATCAGATGGGCATTGGGTGGAATTGCTGGCCGCCCGAGCAGAAGTAACATAAGTCAAAAGAAGAGTCAAGAGAAATAAAGTGCTGGCTAAGATAGAACGAGCCATGAAGAAGATGAAGAAGATGAAGATGAACACCTTCTATGGAAAAGGCTCATGTTTTATGTTGGAGGACGAAAGAGTATCCATCAAAAACTTCGCAGCGCAGCAGCGTCAATGTCATTGTGTGAATTGTGAGGCAGTGAGTTAGGACAGCCCGAGAACATCGGGTATGGTAGAGCTCATCAGAAGTTTACCGCAGCAAGAATACTGTAGAGATACGCACTTAGGGTCGACCTCATCTGGGTATGATATATGACCAACTGAACCTTATGTTCGAGGGTTAGAAGGAGGGTGTGACATGTGACATTTTTCACATGGGTTCGGGCTGCAGACTCGTGATTTCCTCATGTAGTGCAGATATGATGCTTGTACTCACCCACAGATGCTTATGAAACAGAGCTATGTCTTTAATTTTACTTCCATCTAGCCACATGTTGTCTCCTCTATATGTTTTTTTTTCCATGCTTTGACCATGTATCACACTTTTAGTTCGTTGACCTCAACCTTGGTGTAACTGTCACACGAATTCGCTAGACATGTGACGGTGTGACGAACCTAAGTGCGTAGTACCAGGAATGTGTATCAAATTAATACCTTCCCTATCATGAAGAATTTATGAACGATGTGTCCGTGATAAGACTGGGGTATTTCAAGGTCCAGGAGCCCAAAGGTTATACAATTCCGTGTCTGCTGGATCAAAGCAGGTGACCAAGGCTATGTCCGAGCGAATGATAATTTTACGGGTGTTCAGATTGACTGGCAGACTGCGGAGTGTGGGTCGCAGAGGTTCGTCCATGCGGTAGAAACTGCCTCCGGACTCTGATATAGTAGTTGAAGTCGGGGAGTTAGCTGCGTGGTCCTTGACATGTGTCATCAGTAGAAAATTCAGAAGCCTCCCTATGTACTAACCTCTGCGGAATGCTGTTTGCGACTTCGCAATTCTGGGGTTGCCGCTGGGGCACTGCCCATTCCGGAGCGGTAGTCTAGGCACCAAAATTCAACATAAGAAAGATAATGGATAGCATGCTTCCGACCATGAAGCTTGTTTCTTGATGCAGCCGATGGCTGTTGGGCTGACATATTGTCCTGTGCCTATACTTTTATGGTTGTGGTATGCAAGTTGGCGCGTGTGACATTTGACGCGTGACACTACAGATAACGCGACTGGTCACACCCGCGCCGTCTGGCCCTGTGGCTCCAAGCCTCCGATCTCCCTTTCGATATTAATTGCCACCATGAACATCTTCAAGAGTCGTAAGTGCAGTTGTTTTTTGATCTGCTTCCTTCTAATATCTTCTGCTATAGTCCTTGGAAAAGTATGGCGTACGTTCGATCCTGCTGGAAGATATGTCCGATGGCCTAACCTTACTACCCTCAGAGGACCCCAATGCTGCAGAAGTCGTCAAGATCGAGATGGGCCAGTTGTACCTTGTCAGGCCGGGTAACATCCGGTCATCAAGGGAATGCATGTACGAGTTGTGCCGGTTCATCATATAACTGTCCCTGATTTCATTGCAGATACAATGAGGCAATAGCGACCATACGCCGTGTCCCCGCACTCGACCACAACTTTCAGCTGGTCATTACACGAGTATATGAAGATGGCGATCAAGAGCTTCTCGAAGATGAAGATGAAAGTGTGTAAATCTATTGTATACATCATTTAATACAAGCTCTCACACGTAACGAATGATAGCTGATGAAGAGAGGGTGTTCTTAATCAGTGAAGAACTTGAATTCCGGTCTGGGGTGACGGATGATGAACCGACTTTCATTTGGCGCGACCTCGATGGGGATGTCGACGAATTGTATGAATTCGTAGCCTCAGGCACCAACGAACCGACTCGTGCGTTCTTTGAGACTTGCATGTACCGTGCAATGTACGAGCGCAAGTTCAAGGCAAGTGCGGATAACACAAAGGACTCTGACTTGGATCAGTTTATATGGCGGTTAGCGCTTTTCGTCATGTCGCCCTTAATCGCTCCCCTGATAACGTTTTCAGACCTGTCACAAAAGCTAGGGGCAAGGGCGGTAACCGGAAGTCGCCGAAGAATCAAGAAGACTCCGGGGACCTTCCATCAGACACCGTAGATGACTCTACGGTCCAACCACGAGTGATGCCGACTAAACCAACAAGTGCGGCAGCGAGGCCATCCTTTGCAAGCTCCTCACTCCCGACAGTTGCTTCTCAAGAAGGCCATATCTTCTCCTGGAACCTGGAAGTAGAAGGCTTCGTTGCCGAGCGCGAGGAAGTTGTTGTTGCCAAGATCGTTGAGCGCACCTCTGGCAATTTCAATTATTGGCTCATAGTCACTGATGAGGATGGCGACTTTGTTTCTCACAAAATCTCTTCGGATATGAATCCTCGCTGGGCTCAAAAGACGTCATCGTTGACATGGAACTACGCTAACGGCGGCAGATATGATAGTTGGGCCCTGCAACTCACGTCTACAGAAGCCTACGATGCGTTTAAGACGGCCTTCGCTCAATGTCTGTGGGAAACATTGCATGGCGTTGAATTTCGAAAGGCCAAGGTAGAAATCTCGCGATCTCAAATTTTCAAGTGGTTTACTGTGCACATAGCCTGATGAACAAGCCTATGTCATCAGTTCAACAACTGAAGACGTTGAAATGCGTGACGTGGAAGATGAAGGTGAAGACGAAGAAGAGGTTGAATCGGAACTTGACCCTGATGAAGGTACGTGGATTCTGCTATCACACGCAGGAAACCCCTGAGTGGCGTCTTAGAAGCAAGTGAGGAAGAAGAGGAAGAAGAAGAAGGGGACGTTGTTTCTTCGATGCCACAAGGGGAACGCAACTCGCAGTTAACGATCGGATATAAGGGCGACCGCTCTTATGTTGTCCGTGGAAATAATATTGGTGTCTTCAGTCACTCCAGCGACGATCAAGTGAAGTACTATGCGACTATTAGTAAAATTTCTACGCCGAAGGGCAAGGAATTCAAACCACAGGAGGTATTTTAATTTCAAATCCCTCGCATGATGACAAGTACTGAGATCATCTTCTTGTGCAGGTCATGTTGCACGATCAGGACACGAAGATGGTCCTCAAGAATCCTTTGGATCCCCATTCGTTATTCAGCATGGACATTGAACGAGGCAAAGTGGTCGAAGAGTGGAAGATCCACGAAGATATCACAGTTGATCACATTGCCCCCGACAATAAATTCGCTCAAACTACTCGCGAGCAGACTCTTGTCGGTGCTTCTCACAATGCGCTGTTCAGGGTAGATCCACGTATCTCTGGCAGCAAGATGGTTGAGAGCCAATACAAGCAATACGTCAGCAAGAATAAATTCTCTGGGGTCGCTACAACAGCCAGCGGGAAGTTGGCGGTGGCAAGCGAAAAGGGAGATATCAGACTTTTCGATACAATTGGGAAGAATGCGAAAACTGCTTTACCACCTCTTGGTGATCCTATTCTTGGTATCGACGTCACTGCCAGTGGCCGGTGGATTGTCGCCACAACAAAGACTTACCTGTTGCTCATCGACACTCTTATCGGCGAAGGGAGATACGCCGGAAATCTGGGTTTCGACCGTAGTTTCCCCGCTAACGCCAAGCCTATGCCGCGAAGACTTCAACTTCGTTCTGAGCACGTTGCATATATGAATCATGACATCAACTTTTCGGTTGCACGGTACGTGCCTTTAGGAGTGGCTGCGACCCTGACTGACTTTGGTAACCGAAATTGTAGCTTCAATCAAGGGGAGGGGCAAGAAGAGAATGCCATTGTCACAGCAACGGGGCAGTATGTCATCGCATGGGACTTTGCGAAGGTTAAGAAAGGGCACCTTGATAAGTATGAGATCAAGAAGTACGAAGACATGGTCGTTCAAGACAATTTCAAGTTCGGGGATGATAAACAAATTGTGAGTGGTCTGGGGGTCTATGAAGCCGTGGCGTACTCATGTAGATCATTGCAGATCGTGGCGCTGCAGAACAACGTCCTTGCGATTAACAAGAAGAACCTCAAACGGCCCACGAGAAATTCGCTTGCGGCTCCTATGTCCAGTCTTCAGAGTCGGTCGAGCATCGTGAATACTCCGTACTAGACGGTGTTTTCTGAGACGGAATTGTTGAGGTAGTTGTATGTATTGCGGATTGTATACCTAACGTCTTTAGTAACGTAGGATAGGGTATCGCAGAAGTTCTCTAAACATATAAGTGAAGATGTATATAATATTCCCTTCAAATTCTCTTCTCGCACTATTTCTTTTCATCTGTAGTAATGTCAACCTGTCTGTCGCGAGTATCAACATATCTCCAAATTCCAAGATGCCACATGATCCGGGGTATCATAAGAGTAAACCCAAGGACAATGGTGGTCCAAAGCATTGGACTCCACTGTGAAATATCCCATCTCTCATCTCCGAGAGCCCACAGCGTAACGAAGAGGTGCATGCAATCTCCCATGAGAAGGGGGGTCATGAGACCAAATACGATCTTCTCTTGTATAGCGGGTTGGGTCGAGAGATGCTTGCGGATGGCCGTTAATACAAAAAAGTTAACGACCCCCACGAGCGCACAGACGTGAGCTAGTTGAATTACAGTCACGATGGATGCCTTTGGAAGGCTAGCAGGTGGGGGATGATCCGCTGGCCATGGCGCTTGTGTATTGTGTGTCTGTCACACAGGTGGTTATTAGATGTTCGACTGAAGGAGAAGACTAAGATACTCACTGTTTCAGGGTCGTGCACCGTTCCTATGAACCCAAGTATCGTCAAAGCAGGTTCATAGAATGCGAAAATCGCATAGTAGAAGTCAGGTATAGCAGATGCCGACGGTTTGCATTGAAAACACAGGAGTATCGATTACGGGAACTGCTGGTATCGAGACAAGATTGTTGCGCAGTAGCCAGTGGACTCGGAATCTGCAAGGCAGTAGACGGTACTTGTGATGTGGACCTATGGAAGGCGGCCGCGAAACAGTTTGAAACTCCCCGTGGGCTCAAGAACCCACGTTTGACAATATTAAAGCCAACGGGTCGGAAAAGGAAAAGGAGATCTTCCAAGGCTCACAAGGGTTTTGTTCCCTGAGTCTTACTTATATGCCCAGCCCGGGGCCCGGGGGAAAGAACGAAAGAAGTTCGAAACGTAAAACATCGAAGACGGTTTCAACATCCATCATGTACGTAACACTGCAGCTTAATTCGATTTACCTCAGTCGACGTTGTCTAACCGGCCCTAAAGCTGATCAGTTTTCTGATCGTGTGCAATTTGTTCGTCTTTTCCATCTTACAATCTCAGGTCTATCTTAAACCCAGGTGGCCAGCTAATCATTTGATGTTGACCCACTAAATGGCGAGGACCGAGACCATTCTTCTACCAGAAGATGAGGGTTATAATGCATGACTTGCTACTGGGTGTATATCCACTTCTGCAAGCCTGTGCTTCGCGCCTTTCTAACATTACAATGCCTTACAACTGTCATTCCATAGTAGACTTCGAGATTCATTGATGTCCATGAGCACATGTTTCCATGCAAGTCGCATCCAAATACAATAACTTTATATATTCTAGAATACAGGCTAAGGACTTGTCCATTTGCCCAGAGGTATCAGTAACATCGTCTACTTCATACAAACAAACGTGAAATCAGCCGCTCAACAGACCGTTTAGCTGTTTTCGGGCTTCCTCCATTACCCTCTCCGCCTCATCGTCCTCCAGTCGATCTTGTGGTGCCTGGCACAAAATTCAGAATATAAACTACTCAAGAGGAGAGTATGACATACTGGTAGATCCGTTCCGGCTGAGCCAGCTAGCCCGAGTTTCCCGTTAGTGAGGTCGAAAAGAACCTTCTCAACTTCAGCGTCTGCCTCTTCTTCTAGCTCTTCGTCCTCGTCCATTTGTAAGGTGTCTCCAAGCATTTCCTCCATGATCCCAGCCTGGGGTACAAGTCAGATAGTCAGGGGAACGCGATGGAAAAACATAGCACACCTTCGTCATTTCCATGCTCATTTCTCGCATTGCTTGACTTATCTGGGGCAATTTGACAAGCGAGTTGGATAGTTTCATAATTTCTGTAGACTTCTGCAACGACCCTGTAACTTTGACCATGGCTGCAGAGTCGTAGCATGTAAATCAGCCATACTTCAAATTAAGAGTCTTCACTCACCCAGCTGCTGCTGTAGCTGGGTACCGATCGATCCCAAGCGTGCTTTGCTAACAGACAATCTGTCTTTCTGCTTATTACTGCGGACGACCTCCTTGGCGAGGATTCGTGCAGACTTCACATCTCCCTTGGTAGCAAGCTGCTTCACCGTCGTGCGTGCTTTAGCAGTCGCAGCTTCAAGCTGCACCGGGGATTAGCGTGGGATATGCGCACTACAGAACAGGGTGCCGACCTGCCTCATCTCCCTGTCCAGTTGTCGGCTTTCTGAACGCAATTTTCCTTGCCATACACGCACTCTCTCTTCAGGTGTCGGTCCATAGAGAAAGCGGTTAATGGTCTGCATGAGAGATTGAGTGCTGTGGTAGCTGGAAGTAGCAGAATGTTGCCTCTTTCGGTTTTCAAGGATGATTTGGGCTTGGCACCACAGTGGCACATCTTGAGACTTTCTCGCCTACATGCAGTCGCAAATCGTTTGGTGGACCTTTCTTAATATTGTGTTCAGAGGTTTTGAATAACTTGCCAGATTCGAGCAAGCTTGCTCTAGCGGCTGACATGGCGGCTGACTGCTTCGACAACATATAAACCGCCTTCTTCCAACATGGTCCTCCGGAACACCTTGGTCGCTGCTCACGAGGGTGAAACAGTGAATCCCGACGCTATATCCGTACAGGTTTACTTCGCTCATAATGTCAATCCAATGGCTCCTAAGCTTCTTCCTACTTCCGTCCTTCGCCTGTGCCACCATAAAACCTGTGTCCCCCGGCCCTGGCGACGTGTTCAGGTCAGGATCACCCTGTCTCATCTCTTGGGATACCGACAGGTCCGGCTCCACCCAACCATGGAGAAACGCCACCATCTGTATGCAGTCACATCCCTGGTCCTATTTTTACTTTGACATTGGTTGCTACAGACCTCATGTCCGGCTCCAACCTGAACATGTCAATGGTTACAACCGTTGTCGAGCACCTAGACGGGACTAACATGTCATCGTACAGTTGGCTATTGCCTGACGTGGCACCCAATGCAGACATTTACTTCTACCAGGTATGGTGCATAGCAGCTATGCGAGTTCAAGTGGTCTTTTACTGATACCGGTATACCAGTTTTCGAATAACGGGGTCCCGGCCGGATCCACTTGGACTTCTCGGTTCACAGTAAGCACAGTGGTAAACCCTCTTCGTGCAGAAGCTAATTATAGAGCTTTTGAGATTGCTTCGTATTCTGGCAACACCACTCTCCCTCAAAACAGCGAGCAGCCTGGCGGGGCTCCTATTCCGTGGGGTGTTGGACATCTTGTACCCCCCAAGAGCAAGATTTCGTCGAGCCCAGTCGTTTCACCTCGCAGCCGTCCATTACCAACCCGTCCATGCGAAACACTAAAACACCATCAATGCACGACATCCCTGGGAGATGCTTTGTCCTCCGATTATAAAAATCCCGCTGCCCCCCCCTCCTCTTCGACAACGCATGGTCTCGCACCCCACCGTAATAGATCAAATCAAGCTCACGCGACAGAGAAGACCTTCAAGCAGAGGTAACCGAGGAGGCCCTGATCTGAGCGTGCATCTCCTATGTGCTCTAGCAACGTTGTGGTTGGTGGTTCTATAGATCAGGGACCTAGATATGACTACAGATGTGTACTACTGCCTGTGTCGAAATAAAGTAATAGAGAAAAAATCTACAGCGAAAAGTAAGAGTGCACTATAAAAAATAATATGAACAGAACGTATGATATAAACACAGATTAAAGTTGTGGTCCAGGCTTGATCTGATTGACCAGTGCTTCCCAGTAACTCCAGTCCGAACCATCTACTTCCATCAAACCAGGATCACCAGCCATTGGATTGTTGTTAGGTCCTATCCAGCCTGAGAAGTCAGCACCACCAGGCCCTCCCCAAGATAAAGCAGGCATGCCTGCTGTCGCATCGACCGCAGGACTCCCACCGAAAGTACTGCACCAATGATCCAAGAGAGACTGAGCAGCGGATTCTTCTTCCCCACTCGGACTGCCGCTGCCAGCGGGTGAGCCGAGCGTAACCGTACCGTCGTTAGATCCACTGTGCTGCAGACGTTGCATAGCGGGGGAATGCGTGTAAGGGGGTGATAACGCGTATACTACAGGCGAAGACATTGTGGGAGACAAGGTTTTCGGCGACGTTGTACCCATCGTGAGAGCTTGGCGTGTAGATGGAGGCAGAGCAGAACGAGAAGTGGGTATGGAGAAGATTGTGGAGTGCTGTTCCCCAGTATGCCCGTTTGTAGGTGAGCTTGCTCCATCCACGCCATGCGACGCACTTTCTGCCATTTGTGATGCGCGGCTCTTAAGAAACTCGATAGTCTTGAGCTCCCTCCGAGTTGTTTCGTCCATCTCGCGCACGCCCTCATGGTCTGCCAGGAAGCCGTCCAAAATAGTGTGCATCATGTCTGCGTCCTTGCCTCTGGGGTGCAAGACTAGATAAATGCCACTGATCATCGCCGTTTGAAACTCTCTGTAGGCGTTGCTCAGAGAATCGCGAGTTTCTTTTGGCATTGAGTCGCGGAAGGCCTTACGAACTTGGAAATCCTTGATCGAAGACTCGAAGCACGCCTTTCGGGAACGCAGGGTAACGATCGCAACTCAATTTCCGCAATAAATATGGACGATGGAGGCCGACGCGAACGAACAACACCTCGGTAATGAGGAGGAAGCGGTGAACAGGAATGAATTTTTTTGTTTCGTCGAGGGATGTGTCGGGATCCAACGAAAAGTGAGGTGGTAAGTTGGTAACAAATTTTAAAAGGTCGTCATCCAGCGCCAAGACGTCAGAATAATGACTGGGTGACTTGACCTTCTGGAAATGATGTACCATCCGTCCAATAATGGAGGCCAGCTGATGCCTGAGAATAACAAAGGTCATCAGCGTAGGGCTGGAAAGGGGAGGTGGATTGCGAATGGCGGCAGGGGAAAAGTCGTCATCGATGTTCAAAGGCGGGAGGGTGCAGGTGTAATCGTCCTGAATAGCATGAGGTCTTCCAAGCACAAGTGCGTAGGAACGATCGGCGTGATAAAGATATGACCTTCAAAATTCCCTAAGTTTAGACCTTGAGGAGACATTGGTATCCTTACCATATGCGGCGTCGGTTTTCAACCTGAGCCGGATCAAGTCCCTGTACAAGCTAAATCAAAACAGGCATATCAATAGGATATTTACGAACTTACCGAAGGTGCAGCATCACGATGGAATCCAAGTGCTTGAGCTGTTCGTACAGCGGCACCCAATTGACTCCAACATTCCGTAATGCGACGATCAAAAGTCAAGAATCGTGCACTCTAGTGCTGATGTTAGAACTCCGCGCCGCGTACATAACCTTCAACACTCACGAGTAAGCGAGTGAGAACAATATCCAGTGAATCCGGTTGGATAGCTGCGGCGATAAGCAGAGAGCGTCGAGCTATTCAGAAAACGGGTGGGCATAAAACACATTATACTCGATCAATGACGTACAAGACCAGTAATATCTCAGAGATGTCACTCTTCTTGTTCGCGCGTCGCCAGCAAGATGTTCAGGTGCCAATCGCACAGAAATAGCAAGCACCACGAACAACAACGGAAGGAAGCGTGCATCGTTAGTATTGGCGCCAACTCCATTGGCGCAAAGAGATGCGTAGGCAGTCCGAAAGTCAGCCTCGCAAACGGGATATCTCGTCCAATTGCTACAATCAAGGGGAAAAATCATCAAGACTGGACAACAAATAGGGCATCAACTAACATTGCAGCGAAATAATGATCAATAAGTACATCGGAAAACCGTTGTGGAGGGAGTTCCTGAAGGAGCTCCGAGATTTTGTGCGGTGATACGCCGCATTCTTGGACAAGACTCTTGAGGTTGTCAGCTGCTGAAGGCTCAGAATCTTGTCGCACCGACTCGATTATCGATGGGGTCGCTAAGGCTGATTTATGCTCGCCGTGACCAGTCCCGTGCTGGCCGGAAGGTCCAGCAATGATATTAGAAGTGGAATGAGGCGAATCCCACTGTTCTTGAATCGAACTGGCAACAACGACGTTTGCCAGCTAGTGAAAAGGATGTCAGACAATAAAACTAGCATGAATCAAAACATTCACTTGCTCCAGAACGGAGGCGGGTGCTACACTTCCTGACGCGCTATTGCCAAACCATTTTCCACTGTGGAAGGTACCGCCGCTTGGATCCTGCTCATCAGTTATCGAACGATTATCGTCATCTGGGCCATCAGATGTAGAACTTTGGTGTCTGTCTGCAGCTGAATAGGAAGACTGAGACGGTGAATTGAAGTATTGAGGCAAAGCCTGCTCGATAATGTGCTCAAGCCTGGCTAAGCGGACGCTCAGATCTTGGTCTGTTTTTCCGGGAGTGTATGCTTTGCAAAGCTCTGGTACTTTTCGTGCTATACACTAGGAAGACTGTCAGAAGAACGGGTAATAAACGACATGAGAGAGCCATACATGAGAGCACGGTATCTGCCGGTCGCACTGCCATGGGGAACATTTTAACAGTGTAATTTGAATGATAAGAGTATGGACAAACCTTCTGCTTTCGACGATGACATTCACCACAGGAGAAACTACGGACAAAATGGTTCTGGGTCACTCTAAGCGCGCAAGGAAAAAATGACAAACCTGACTCTAGATCTGGGTTTCTTGACCTGTATATGATCGACATCATCATCTTCAGTTTTCCTCCTCTTGAGACTAGAGGTTTCCGAAGCTGAAGTGTTCTTGACCATGGATGATGGGAGCGGATGATGATCTTGGAAATTGAATAGAAAGATGAAGAGAGGCAGATCGGTGACTCCGTCTCCGAGTCCGATCTGCACGTGCAGGTGGCACTGCTGGCAGTCAATATTCGTGCATCATCGTGATCATGTGCAAGCGTTAGCGCTTAGCCCTGGTTACCATTGAGCGGCTCACTGTGAGACGCATGCAGGCGCGACGGAGACTATCCGGATTGTTCATCGAAGGTTATCTCATATATAATATAGTCTGTTTACCGCAATGTCCTCAACAACACCGACTCTCGACTCGGACGTAGCCGTCATGATGGAACAACCATCCTGGAAGAAAACTAAACTCTCCCTGGAAAGACCCTACAAGGATGACAAAGGAGAGCGCATACCTGTCCTTCTAGACATAACTCCAGATGGAGTGCAAGTATTTGAGCCGTATGTCACGAAACCGTCGCTATATTCTATCGCTAACCAAGCATCAGTCCACAAGATCCCATCAAACTCTTGGGTGAAAACCTGAGACGCATATTCATCGAGCGCGGCGTAGATTTTTTTGAGCGCCAAGATGCCCTGAGGGCTACAGGAGACTTGTCCATTCCTCAGGCCCTCGATACCAAAGACGACAAGCTCGAACCAGATCAGCAGGAGGAAGGCGTCTCGAAAGCCCACATGAACCCAGAGGAATTATTCAAAATGCGCATGGAAATCATGCCCCAGCTATTGTATGTGATCCTCCAGGCGGCCACGTTGGAAGTCTCATTCTCAAACTAGTACCGCACTGGGAGAGATGACGCATGCCAGAGAGCTCCTTTCGTTGCTACTGGCTTCTTCTGCACCAACTGATCCGTCTCCTGTCCTGTCCTTACCTTCTTCTACATTAACTGCAAGTATTGTCACGAAGCCTTCGCCTATACCTTCAGTGGACGCGTTCAATGCTCAGCTGACTATTGGTGGAAAGGACGAGGCTCTGAGAAAAGCTTCAAGTATATTCAAAGCCGCCGCAAACAACCTGGAGAGAAGCCGCCTTCGAGGTCAAAGGTACTGGGTCGATGCACTCAAGATCCGGCGTGCCAATTGGGGATTGGTGCCTGCACCCCTCCCATTTGGTGCACCTACAGGCAAGGGTGCTGATAAAACGTCAAAAGACTTCTTTGTCTCTTTCGGACTCGAGGAATGTAAGCATCTGATTATGTTTACTGTCTTTAATTTAACATGCGTCCAGCCCCAGCTCACTTCAGACGAAGAGCGGTAGGACACATGGCAACATATGAAACTTCATCGCATGTTCTTGTGTTTCCTCACCGTCAGCGAGTCCGCCTCCAAGTTTCTCTTGTTCTCACCGATTCCAGCGGCCTCTTTCGCACTGCTTCCAACAGTATAACAAGCTTATCAGATGCGTCATTGGAAGATTCGCTTAAAATTGCGCAAAGGGAAATGGTCGAGGAAGAGCTTTTCTCTGTCTTGATTAAAGAGGCTAGCACTCTACCGACGGCGTCAGCACGAGTGGCCGAGCGGCTCATCGTCATTGACGCTGCCCAAGGAATGGAACTTAAGTTTGAACTCGTGAGTTATCATTGCAGACCAACTCGGAGATGTGGCGCTCAACTTGTGTAGGTTGATGGTGATGCCGTCAATGCTCAAGAATCCAATAAGAGTGATGAACGTTTGCCCGCTACTTGTAATCTCATATACTTCGCGCTGCAGGGGCTCCTCCTGTCCCTGCATGCTTCGCAGAAATCTCAACGCCTATCATCAGCCAACACACAACATCCACCCTCAGTATTTCCGAATAAGGCACCTCTGTTGCAGCCCATCATCGACCTCCTTCAATATCAGGTATTCTGTGACAGAATCAAAGTAGAGCTAGATAAAATGGTCTCTGCCTTGCTTAAGGCCGGTATTCCATCCTCGTTACGATTCGACGCTGTAGGGGAGAGTGGGCACCAATTAGTGGAGCATTTTGCCGCCAATGAAACAGCAAGAAGGATTGGGGGCGAGGCTCTTCTCCGTATCGACGTCAGGCAAGTTGCGATCTGAAGTACGTTCCTGGACATATATTTATGTTGCTCACAACAGGCAAACTCTTCGCTTGACATTCCTTTCACCATCATCTCTTACAGCCCATTTGCCACAAGCAACCCTCCCGATTGCGTCCATCCCTCAGCTGGTGCAGCTTCTTTCGGATGAAGTCGAGAGGTGCCTTCTCAACCGGTTGTGTGAAGTGGGCTCACAGGTTTGTGAACGCGTCGGTGCAACGTGGTTTGTCGATTTCGTCAGTGGTAAAGCGGTCGGAAGATGGGAAGGAAATATATTGTGAGTACATTGATATTGTTCTTCCTCTTTCCAGCGTGGACTAAGGAGATTTCCAGGAACTTCCGCGTCATATTCGACAAGGATTTTGCCATCCACTCGTCGGCATACCGTCTGAACAGAGCAAGCCACCAGTTATCATTACTAGAAACATACACTCCAGAGACCTCAATTTCTCTTGTAGCATGGCTGCAAGAGCTACTTGAGAAGACTATATTAGAATCTTAAAATGTTTTGGCCAATAATCGTGTTGCATGATATCATAAGCATATGACCTACTTGACTGGGTGGATGAAAATGTGGATGCAGAAAGTAAGTGAGAAGCCGAAATTTTTTACTCGTCGTCGTCGTCCTCGGCAGCAGCAACCTCGCCTCCTGAAGCCTTGAAGGCCTCGATCTTCGCCTGGATGCGAGCTCTGCGTTCCTCCAGCGTGAGTTTGGACGTCTTGTACTTCAAGCTCTCTGCCTTCCAGTCCTTGGTCTTCTCCGTAGGCCGGAAGGCGGGGTCCTCACGAATAGCGGCATAGGCGTTAGTGTAGATTTCCTCGATATCTTCTGAACCAATATCATCTGCGAGATACGAGGAGAATTGTTTCTTGAAGCTGAGCAAAAACCATAAATGACGTGTTTCATGTTCATATGGAATGGCTTACCGCTCGTCATCTTCCTCCTCGAGCGACTCCATGTACTCAGCAACGTGGCCACCAAAGATGTACTTTTTGAGCACTTCACTGTCGAGAGTCTTGCTCTCTGGGTCGTACCCAGGGAAACGCTTATCGGAGTGGGGGATGAAAATACCACCGTCACTTGCGCCCTTCATTGCGCCGAAGACACGGTGGCCAGTAGAAGTGCGCTTAAGACCGACATCAAGGTAGCACTTGAAAGGTCGTGGAGCATCTTCATCATCTAATGCCTCAGTCAACGTCAGGGAACCGTCGGGCTCTGCGACACCCTCGTATTTATCGGCAAGACCCAGCTTGGTCAATGCACGGCGAGCGCACAGAAGACCAGTTGCGTATGCTAGGTATCCATCAGATATCGTGGAGTAAATTACGGGAAAGAATCATACCAGCAGTCCAGTTGGTGAGACCATGGTTGATTCCGTATCTTGGCAGCTCTTGTGACCGTGCAGCAGTCAAGACGAAGTCGCCCTGTAGACGTGCATACACGATCTGGACAATGATGTCCCGGTTCGTGAAGCGCACTACTAGACGGTATTTTGGTGCATTGCTTCCGAGCTGTTAGATCACGTCGCCGTTCTTCATACTGCGATAACTCACTACTTGTTTTTAGCCTGGGTGACAAGGCGTTTGCGGGCATAGTCTAAGTAGACCTTAGTACATGCGATCAAGAAATGCATAATATGCTCACAGTCGGTCTTTCCCTCTCTTCTACGGCGGTACTTCACTTGGAAGCGGGAGAAGTAGGCACCAGATTTCACCTTTTTGACGAACGGCATCTAGTGGGAGTTGTCAGTTGACCGCACATATGCATCCTGGGCAGCTATCGTCCATCCATCGGGAACTGGCCATATTGGAACAATCCGATTATTGTATGCAGTCGATAAGGACTGGAGCGTGCCCCAGGACAGTGAATAGTCATAGAGACATACCTTGGGGGATCTTGAGGACGGCGGGGACAGCGAGTACACCCTTTCAATCAAAGTTTCTGAGAGTGGTTGTTTACCTTTGTTGATTTACTTATCTAATTAGTTTTATTATTATTTTCATTAGCTATCAATCTGGTAAGTGAGGTGCCCATAACCCCGATTTCTCATTGCACCAACGTCGACGTATCATGGACTCACAGTATTCTCAATTCAGCCAACAGCAACAGGCTTATGATGTTAATCCTTACCACCAGCCTTACCAAGGCCCCATGTATCCTTTGCCCGGATCTTCGTCGAACCACAGCGCACCTGTTCCAGCGAATGCGTACGAATATGATGTCGGCATACTTGCGCAACAGAGTGTCTATGTTCCCGGGGCTATGATCGACAAGCGTGGAGGCGCTGGTGGGAAACTTGCAAAGGGCGGAAAGCGCACCACCGTGCTCCGTAAGGGTGGTGGAAAGGTCTGGGAAGATCAGACTCTTCTAGAATGGAATCCATGTAAGGGTGCCACTTCGTACGAAAGTCAGCCACTGACATCCTTTATCGTAGCTTGGTTCCGCTTGTTCGTAGGAGATCTTAGCAACGATGTCTCCGATGATGTCCTCGCAAACGCCTTTAATCGATACACATCTTTCCAGAAGGCCCGTGTCATACGTGACAGGTTGAGCCAGAAGGTGTGGATGTTCTCCTGTGCTCTACAAACTTTGCTGACGAGATATTAGGCAAAATATGGTTTTGTCGCCTTTTCAGATCCAGAAGATTTCCTCAAAGCTTGGAAAGAGATGGATGGTGAGAAATGCTCTTGTCCAATTTACCGCAATCTCGCTGACAAGTACATCCCAGGTAAATATGTAGGTAACCGTCCAGTCAAGCTCAAGAAGGCGGATGATACTGCTATCCGACCTGTAGAGATAGGACACCGAAAGGCTAGACAGCTCGAAAAGGACTTGAAGAAGAATAGAGGCAAGCCTTACTAATCGATCGCTGCCCTCACCACTGCGTTTGGACGACGTGGCTGGTCTGCGAAGACATTGCCAGTATGTTTTATTTTTTGATACTGGAGCGCAGCTCACCGTGTTATGTATTCCAACTATGAAATTATAATAATGGACACCGTGCATACTAAAGGCCACACGATCATAGTGGGTATTGTTCCTTGATTCTCCGCGCATCCACTTCGTTTGTTGCATTTCACAGTCAGGCCTATGCGTGCTTTCTCGTTGAGCAAGCATATCAAGGTACGGGTGGACGCCGTCGTCCGCCTATGATAAGCCGAATGACCATTGCTGTAGAAATTTTGTATTCGCATACGTAGATTTCTAGTCTCCCCTAGTCAGACTCTACAAGAATGAAGACAGTCACTGTAAACTCATCTAGAATTTTCTTTGAAGCTTTGGCAGAGCTCTGAGCAATGACCAAACAACCGACCAGTGCAATGTTAGATCACGTGCTCTTATGCATGATGGTATAGCCTTAATTAATGTCTTTATGCACCAGCCATCAGCCAGATACTGAATCATGGACATCGACAAGCTTTTCAAAGTAAGGGGTTGTATTGCACCCTCACGTGCATGTTGTGATGTTTACGCGTTCTAGGTGCCCAAGCTTCCTACAAGCTCAAAGCGGAAGATGCCAGACAATCCTACCCCGGAGATGCTAAAGAAGATGCGTCTCGACACTCCCTCAAATGGGGACTCGGGGGTTTCGGTCATGGACGTTGACATGCCTGAAAGCAGTTCGGCTCCTCGCCGACAGTCGCGACGCGCAACTGTAGAAGACGGGGACGACGAAATGGTTGACACCTCGTTTGCTCCAGGGGGTGACGCAGACTACTTTGTCGAAGAGGATGAAGAAGGACGGTTTTACGGAGGAGGACTGACTTCGGAACAGAAGCAAATCTTGAGTATTTTTGAGAGTGCTGAGGGAGAAGGAACAACGGAAGACGTGAGCGCATACAAAATATCGCGAAACGCATAAATATTGACACGACGTGAAGCCAGAAGGAATATCAATCACAAGCATAAGAAGAACGCTACTGAAGTTTGAGCGAGCTGCCAACAAAAACCAAGACCAACGCTCGAAGTACCCAGATGACCCGTCAAAGTAATTTACATTGAATGTCTCATGGTCCTAGAACTGATTATACTCACGCTGTTGCAGGTTCATCGACTCTGAAGCAGACCTCGATAGTGCGCTTAAATCTCTTTTGTCTTTGGCACAGTCTCCTGTGCTGGCCTACCCGGAACTCGTGCGTTCGGGTTCTGTCAGTTTACTCATTGGACTCCTCAGTCATGAGAACGCCGATATCGTCATTGATGTTGTTGATGTGATCCATGAGCTGACCGACGAAGATGTTGGGAATGAGCTAGAAGATGAGGAGGAGCAAGAAGAAGCGCAGGTGGCGCTGAAGACCCTCATTGAAGCTCTGGTTCGTCCCGAGATTTTGACATGGTTCTGTTCTAAGTGTTGTGTTGTGTTTTCCACCCCATGCAGCTAGAGAATTCAATCTTGGAGTTGCTTGTTGACAACCTTTCGCGTTTAAACGAGACTGAAGAATCAGACAGACAGGGTGTCTTCCATATTCTTGGTATTCGTTCCCCGAACCTTTCACCATTCATTACTGACCTACATTTCAGGCATATTCGAAAATATGCTTGGTTTTAACCCTGACCTTTCCCTCATACTGGTGTCGAAGACCAAGATGATGAATTGGTTACTCAGTCGCGTCCAGTCCAAGACTCATGATGAAAACCGTGGCTATTCCGCAGAATTGCTTTCTATCCTTTTACAGAATAATGCAGTGAACCGTCAAGATTTCGGCAAGAAAGACGGCGTCGAGATCGCTCTTAACGTTCTTTCTGTAAGTTGCAGTTGACTATCACAAACTTTGCTATTAATTCCTATGATGTAGCAATTCCGGAGGCGGGACCCAGTTGATGCAGACGAGACTGAATTTATGGAGAATTTGTTCGATGCTCTTTGTTCTGCGCTGGCCGAGCCGGAAGTCAAGTCTTTTTTCCTCGCAAGCGAAGGCGTCGACCTCATGCTTCTTATGATGAGGTGAGCGCATCCTTGGGATGTCGACGTAACGCTAACTTGCGCCGTTGGTAGAGAGAAACTGCAATCAAAATCAAGAGCAATAAAAACTCTCGACTATGCGATGTCCGGCACAGCAGGCACCCCCACTTGCGCAAACTTTGTAGAGGTCCTTGGACTAAAGACGCTCTTTGCTGCTTTTATGGGCAAGGTACAGATGTAGTGTTCTCTCAAGATGGTTCAAACTGATCAAGCCTTCTCTGCAGGGTTCAAAAAAATCTAAATCTAATGCACCAACAGCAGCTTCCGAAGATATTTCACATATCCTAGGCATTATCTCCTCATTATTTTCAAACACTCCATCGGACTCTCCAGGTCGAATACGTCTGCTTGCCAAGTTTGTGGAAAATAACTATGAAAAAGCCGACAAGCTGCTCGAGGTGCGGGAAAATGCCAATAATCGCCTGAAAGTTGTGGACGCAGAGATCGAGGCGGAGAAAAAGGTATGTGCCTTGTAATATTTGTTAACGAACATCCGGTCCGAACACTGAATGCGCAGGAAACCCTTGCTGACGGCGGTGAAATCGAGTCAGAAGATGAGGATTTGTTTTATCTGCGCCGACTGGAGGGCGGACTATTCACACTGCAGACAGTCGATTATATCCTCGCATGGGTAGTCATGGAGGATGATGGGGTAAGCAACATTTTTCGACAACTTGTGATAGCTAAGTCGGGTAACACTCCAGATTCGCGGCCATACTACACAAATGCTTGAGCGCAAGAACCAATCTTTGAAAGATATCATCTCGACCCTTCAAATATACCGCGACAACCTCGACGCTGACATCCAGAGTAATGGCGCAGCCACTGATCACGCTCCGGAAGGTGGAGCACTATCACAAAAAGAGATCCTTCAACATCTTATCGAGTTCCTGCATGAATGTTCATGACGGACATGAGGCATTAAAATATATAGCAATATATGCGTAGAGTACAAATCGTGTGGCCTGCTATGCGGCAGTCAGTGTAGCGGACGCGAATATCATTTCGAGTGCGCCTTTTGTTTTCACCAGTTCTTTTTGGAACCGAATCTCGGCAAGGACTTTCTTTCGTAGTCGCATGAAGAGCGAATCGATGAGCGGTGACTGTCCGAGGACCGGTGTGTACATTTCTGCGTAGATATGTTGAGTCGGCAAAAGCGCAACACGATCGATCACGTACCGATGACTAGACTTGAGACGTCGCACACCATTTCACCAAAACGGGGATCGGTGACATGCTTCACGAGAAGACGCAAGACTGGTTCCAAAAGAACATCATCTCGACCTGCCAATGCGCTCCGAAGGCCGTCACGATGGATCAGTTCTTGTATCAGAGAGAAAGTCGTTGTCGGTGGGACGTTCTATGAAGCAAATCAACATCAAATTGCCCAACCATGACGAATGAGCGTCACCTTTCTGAGCACTGAATCCAAAGCTGCTGAATATTTAAACCCTTTCAAAAGCCTGTCGTACTCTTTCAGACGCTTTGTTCTTCTGCTTTCGATTCTCAACTCGTCCACATCTCCGGTGGGTTTGGGCTTGATCTTGGACTTTGTGCGCCCTTGACCGATTGCAGGAAGGGTGCCTCCTAAGAATGTTTCGAAGGCTCCGGATTTTAAAGCAACAGCGAAAGGCTGATCCGCGCCTTCTGAAGCTTTTGGTTGTCTCCGTCTAACAGAGAGCGTGCCATCAGACATTCCCGCGGCGATATGAGTTTCATCTGGCTGTACTGTCATTAGTACAAGAGCAGAGTAAGAAAGTAGAGCTTTACATACGGAAATAGCAAGACAAAGAACAGGTGCAGGGTATCGCATAGTATGTACGACCTTGTACGAGCCGACATCATAAACCTTCACCATATGATCCAAACTCCCCGTCAAGAGACGACCCGCAGAGCCATCAAATGCAAGCGAGGTAATAGTCTTCTGATGATTTGAAAATGCACGTAAACAACGGCCACCAGCAACCAAGTCCCAGAGACGTAAGATAGGACCTGCAGTAGACAAGGCCATCGTACCAGATGGGAACATCTTGACTTGTTCAACTGGGACTGCATTCGAGGTGTCCCCGCCCATTATCATCTCGCACTGACTAGTCCGTGTGTCGAATAATCTCATGGTCGCGTCATAAGAACCAGTGAGGATGAGGTGCGGATTCGAGGTTGAGACTTCACCAGAGCGGACGTAGTCGGTGTGTGCATGGAACGTGACTACTTCGATTTGTGATGGGACGTCCCATAATTTTACCGTGGTGTCGTCTGAACAGGAGAGTACTTGGGTGGGGGCGAGGGCGGAGAATTTGGTGACGTGTACTGGCTGTTTATGCGAGTCCAGGGTACGAAGGATGGCGCGTGAATTGATGTCAAAGACCTGAGTGGATGATCAGGGATGCACTGCGATATATGATATGTGTCATACCTGCACGAGACCTGTATCATCACCTGCAACGACAAGCTTTCCGTCAGGACGGATATTACCGCTGCGCGCGACATCCTTGAAGCGCGAGATCGTCTTTGTCACTTTCTGGGTCCGGGGTGCATAAATCTGAACACGCGTCGCTGCTGTTACAGCATACCTATGAGGTTTGGAAGGAGAGAACTGTATAGATGTGACTGGCGCGTATTCCTTGATGAACACCGGGTGTTTAAATTGACGCCAATATCTTGATTCTGGACTATGCTTAGCTGCAGCTGGCCTCGCATGCCTCTGTACGACTACCGGTTGATAGTCCATGGTAGCACATAAGAAGGATTGTGATGCTATCGGGATTCGGATGATAATATTTTTGTATCCCACGAGATGATGATCTACTGATCGTACATAAAGATCAAAAGGCCTTCAAAGATCTCTCTTACCTCAACTTCTATCTCCTTCGTCGGAACCCCCTTTTTCTTTTTCTCTACAACCCTTTATTGTTTCTTTTCGAAATGCTTTTATACGAAGATATCATCACCGGCGATGAGATGTTTTCCGATGCGTTCCCCATGTACGCTATCTGGATCTTGGCGCTCGATCTGTATCATATACTGACTACTAAAAACCCAGGAAAAAAGTGGACGACATCGCCTATGAAGTCGACTGTCAGATGATCGTAGTCGGAAACGACAATGTAGATATCGGTATGCGCCCGATCGAAGGAAAAAGAACAGGACATAACTCATCTATTTGCAGGTGCTAACCCCTCTGCTGAAGAACAGGAAGAGACACTCGAGGAAGGACAGTCAAAAGTTAATAACGTCGTCCATTCATTCCGTCTTCAAGCTACCACCTACGATAAAAAACAATATCTCTCTCACCTCAAGGTATCATATCATATCATTGCTGTGTCTGTGGACATCGAGGTTGATGAGGATGGACATGTTAGGAATACATGAAGGCCGTAACGAAAAAATTGGAAGAGAAGGGAGACCCTGCTGCTGTTCCTGCATTCAAGGCCAAGGCAAATGATTTTGCCAAGAAGGTGGTCGGTAAATTCAAAGACTATGAATTTGTGCGTCGTGCTTTTCCCCCTGATACGCGTTGACAAACGACATTTCAGTATACTGGCGAGAACATGAATCCCGAGGGAATGGTAGCCCTGTTGAACTACCGGGTAAGTTCCATGTTAAAATAACCGATGTCGTTTTCTCAATGATTTCTTATCTCAGGATGATGGGGTCACCCGTACGTATTTTCTGTCAAGCAGTGTCATTGTACTTATCGGACATCAACAGCCTACTTCACCTTCTGGATGCACGGTCTCAAGGAAGTCAAACTGTAACACTTATTTCCATGTCAACTTTCCATCATTTTATAGAGCAATCACGAGTCCGCTCCACTTTGCGCTCATGAATATTGAATGCATGCAAGAAGATATAAGATATCGATAGAGGCAAGACCACTACGCAAAAATTACAGTTCATCATGAGCCTCCCGCGGTGCCTCAAACGTAGCCTGCGAGTCATTTTCAGGAGTCTTGACAGAAGGCTTTAAGCTGTTCTTGGCATGCTCCTCCACATACGCAACGAAAGATTCCAACTCCCGGTCCCCATTATATTCAAGGAACTCCCGCGATCCAGCGGCCTTGAACATAATGGTAGGGAATCCGCTGATGCGGAAGGGTACTGAAGCTGGGAGATCGTTTTCTGTGGACTCCATCTTTGCACTGCATAAACGAATGAGTTATTGTTGATAAGGTTGGAGGAGAGGAGAGGACGTACACGACCAACTGATCTTTCACTTCAGCAAAGTGATCACCGAGAGAATCCCAAATGGGCTTCAAACGCTTGCAGTGACCGCACCTAAACAAATCTCGAGTGAGACGCTTCATAAACCATGACCAAAAACAACGTACCACGTAGCATAGAATTCAACAAACACATCCTTGGAGTCATCATACACGACCTCATCGAACTGGTCACCAACGAGCGTAAACACGCTCTCATCCTGAGTCGCAGGAATCGGCTGGCTCTTGAGCTTAGGAAGAAGCTTCCCAGCGAGGGTACTCGTCAACCATAGCGGACACAGCCTCAGCCTCGATAGTCTTGCTCTGGTCATACGGATACTTGAGCTGACTGTCCAGATTCTGAATGACAAAACTCGGCCATTTGGGCTCAGCAAGGTTCAAAGCCTTTGCATGCTCCCCAAACTTGGACGCATCTATCTGGACAAAGTAGATCTGGCCGTGGTACTTGGCAGCAACAGGTTTGAGAGCAGCGAGCGCCTCGTCGCTCTTCGCATCTGTAGGGTCCAAGAACAAGTATGCGAGGGGTTTACCGCTTTCAACGTACATGGCGTACGTCTCTCCGTTCACTTCGCCAAAGATAGGGATAGCCAGCTGTTGAACCCATGCTTCGAGCTCAGCGCTGGTAACTGCAGATGGCGGATTCGGGTACTCCGTGATGTGTTCGTCAAAGTTGCGGTAGACGACGATAGCGGGGGGAGTGACGCCTGCGGCTGCGATAGCTGCAGCGTCAGAGGTGATACCGAAGAGATACTCCTCGCGGAGCTTTTCTGCCGTTGCGCTGAATTCGGGTGCGGGGGCCTTTGTGGTGGAGGAGACGTAGGCAAGGACGACGAGCTTGTCGGCGTTTTGGAATTCATTGAGGTTGGAGGCGGTAACATCAGAAACGGCAGGGAGAGATTGTCTTTGGGATGATGTTAGTAGGGACAAATGGGTGATGGGAGAGTAAGGCGTACTTGAGCATGTAGCTGATGATGCCGTCTGCCTTTCGGGGACCGGAATAGTCGGTGGATTCACCGTTGCGGAAGACTTTCAGGGTGCTGTGGAGGGATGGTTAGCGCGCGAGACAAGATTTTGAACAATGGACGTACGGGTAACCCTGGACGCCATGGGTCTGGCAAAGGTCCGCCTGGTCGACACAGTCGACTTTGGCAAGCTTGATGTCCTTGTCTTTGAGCGCCGTGGCTGCTTCCTCGTAGTGGGGAGCAAGAGCTTTGCAGTGGCCACACCTATGGGAAAATTCAGCCAGAATTCACCAGAGGACGATGAAAGGCTACCATGGAGCAAAGAACTCGACCAGAATCAAGGGTTCTGCATTGACGGCAGAACTAAAGGTGTCCTTTGTGAGGCTAAGTACATCAGAAGACTCGGCAGCGTCCTCAGCTGAGGCCAAAGACGCAAGAGCGATGGCGGAGGCCACCGACACAAAAGAGGAGAAGCGCATTGGACGATGCGTTCGTGGATTTGAGAGAGTTAGGTGTCAATGAATTGTGACGAAGTAGGTTGTTTTTATAATGCAAGTAAGTGTATACGTGTCACCCGTGCGGATTAGTATTGCCGATTTGTCAATATGTCAGTGCCAAGTGGCGGTAATATCTAGTCTGAACGGTACTTCCGAAAATCTAGCGTGGATAATCTGGTTTGGAGCCATGTACTGCAGATATCATGTGAGCAACTCGCTAATACATGTATCAACGATGTCCGATGTATCATGATCTAATGCGACTACAGCAACGCTATGCACACCTCAATTGAAAAACAAGCTATAAAGTAGTCAAGTCGAAATCGCTGCCAGTAGATCGACCACCGGCATATCGCCTGGTGCCTGGGACAAAGGGACGTGGCTGAGGGAAGTCAGTCACGGGAAACGTATGTAGACCAGAGCTTGGAGGGGGCGAAGGTACTAGTGAACAATGATGAGCTATGTGCAGTAGTAGACGACAGATACAACTTACTTTTGCGAGATGGAGGTACCCTGGGACTGCCATTGATGGTAGGTGGTCCGACAGATAAAGCGGGAGGCTGAGGTTCAACAGTGACTGGTGTTGAAACGGCAGGGGGTCTGGGAGGAGGAGCAGATACAGGGGGTCTTGGAGGAGTAGATGCAGGGGGTCTTGGAGGAGCAGATGCTGGGGGTCTTGGAGGAGCAGATGCAGGGGGCCTTGGAGGAGCAGATGCAGGGGGTCTTGGAGGAGCAGACGCAGGGGGGACAGGACGAAAAGGTGGAAGGCGATTTACAGGTGGAGCTTGTGCAGGGGGGTCAGCTTCTGACAAAACTCGTACACGAGCTGGAGGAGCAGGTGGACCATCTAATGCAGGTGGCCCACGAGAGGGTAGATGGGGGACTGCTCGAGCAGGAGATCCGACGATCGACGAGGGTCTGGCTGGAGGGGGAGGAGGGGCTTTCCTTGCATGTGGAGCTGGAAGATGTAAACTGTTGCGAGCTGGAGGAAGGGGAGGAATAGAACGTGGTGGGGTATATGGTGCTGGTTTGGGTGGAGAGACAGGACGAGGATGGGGAGGGGCGGTACGAGGAGGTGAAGAGGCGGGACGAGCAGGGGGAGAAGCGGCGCGAGAAGGTAGTGATGGTGGACGTGCGGGGAAAGAAGGAGGAGTAGGTGAAGCTGTCCTTGCAGGGGGTGGTGGTCTCCGTGGCGGGGGAGGAGGTGTGGGAGTATTTCTAGAAGGTGCAGCCGGTGAAGATCTTGAAGGTAAAGAAGGAGCAGTTCGATTCGGTAGTGATGGTGCACGTCGATTAGGTAGAGCAGGTGCAGGCGGAGTTGGTCTAGGAGGTGGTCCCCTAGCAGGAGGAGGTGGTGCATTAGTACTTGTCTTGGGAACGGACGGCGGCTTTCCAAGCGTAGGAGGTTTGGCTAATCCAACAAGTTTCAATGTAAATATTATAGGATGAATGAAACTGACATACCCAAATTATTATTACTAGGCTTCAATTTAGGAACACCTCCAGCGAACAATCCACCAAGTTGAGGAGGTCCTCCCATCGATGCCCCTCCTCGTGAAGCAGCAGCAGCAGCAATACCGCCGCCGCCACCACCACCACTTGCCTTTGCATCAACCAAAGGTGCACTCCGGTCATTTGTTTCTGCTTTCTTCAGCCTCTTCCCCGCCTGAATCTGTTTCAACAGTTCAGAGGATGCCATCGTAGATCGTGGTCAGTGTGTGTTGTCACTGCGCAGCCACCTACAGTCACGCTCCAAGTACATGTCACAACTGAGTACTGATCTCTGTTCCTATCTACTACGTAGTACGTACTAACAATGGATCCCACTCAATCGATCTCTGAACATCGCCGGCTCAATGATTTTGAAATAAAACTCATCCAATACATTGAAACCCACCAAAGCAAAGGTCGTGGACTCGTGGATTTCGACAAATCCTTCTGGATCGACGCCGCCACAGAGATGGCCAAGCAGGGTACACCAACAACTGCTGATGCCTGCCAGTCCTCATGGACGGAGGTAATATCTGATCGGCTCGCCGCGCCTTACAGCGTTGATAGGTGACACCATCAGATCCACCATGTCGTCGAAAAGTGGGCAGATGGACTCCCTGGTCTACGTTACACTCCTGGATATAGAACTGGTGTTACAACTCAGTCAGAGGCCATCCGGGCCAAGTCTATGAAGGTAGTCATAACGTGATCCTCCCCTATTTCACTAATACGCTTGCAGAACCATCCCCAAGCCAAGCCATTAGGCCATGAAACAGTGCAGAACCTCATCTCAAGTAACAACTTGAAAAATGTTTCCCCCCCATCCACACGCCGCAAGAACGTTTTCGATGACATTCTCAATCCAACTACCATCGACTGCAGTAATAGCGGTAACAAACGATACTGGGAGTCGGTGACAAAAGCGCTTGATGCTGTAGAGTTTGGGCTCCCGATGGACCCCGCCATCGATCAACCAACACCCCTCGCGTCTATTGGGACCCAACCACCCTGCGCGTCGACCCTGCTTTGATCCTTCCGATTTCTCTTCATCGGAATCAGAATCAGACGATGAAGACATATACGTGCCATCAGTGTCAGTTTCCGCATCTCAACGCGCAGCCTCTCTCCACGCTTTTGAGCAGTTAGGCGAGAGTCTCAAACAACTTATCTCCGCCCTCGAGTACACTCCAGAAACGAGCTCTTTTGATTTAATCCCACTCCGTAAACAAAGAGCCATCGTACAGGTACAAAAGGAGGATCTACAGGATGATGAGATCCTCTCCTTGATCCATCTGTTCCAAGGTGATGTTAAGATTGCTGATTCTTACCTTGCAATCGAAAGAGATGGTGTTCGGAAGTTGTTTTTAGCGTCTTACTTGAAGAAGTAGCGCCTTACGACTTGCTATATGAACCCCAAATGAATGACGTCTGTATGTGTACTACCTCACGAATATCATAGACTTCGAATTATCACAAGGCTACGCGACCAGGTAAAAAATATTCATCTCATCAAAAGTAATTACAAGGATGCGCAGAGTAGACGGATCATTTCAGGGAAATATATAACTGTTTCCACCGGCGAGATCACCCGGTTTTCTCAAGTAGGCCGAACGTGAAATGCTAGCATCGTGGCGGCATGAAACGGTCGCGCCGTGACGTCCTGTCTCGAGCAAGTCTTGAAAGTCGTGGACGATTATCGCATTCCCCTTGGCCGTTAGTGTTGTCTGTCGCGAGTATTGCAAAAAAATTGCAGCGTCTTTCGTGGTCTTTCTTGAGTATCGTGAAGTAATAGCGTTGTGGAGACTGTCATTTATTGATGTATCGTATTTTTCTCGTCGGCTTCTGGCTCGTGACTATGGTGGGATATCGTAACAGCCGTAGTTTATGGCGCTGTAGTGAGTGGTAAAGCGCAAGATGTTTGAGGTGTCAGGACGTGCGCCGCTGGGGTAGGCGGTGGTAGCAGCTGGAATCGCGGACACAATGCGAGCCTTCATGCGTGAACCAGGCTTTGTCACTGAAACAGTACCGTGTCGCTGGAGGCGAGAACGTGTGATGCTGTTGCATGTAGTGTGTAACCGCAAAGCTCTAACAAACCGCGATGAGCAACATACTTGGTCCAGCGATGAATCGCTTCATACCTTCTGCTGCTTGAGTTTATGTGGACGGGACTTCTGAAGCTGATATTAAGGTGCTATAGGAGGGGAGAAGTACGAGCTAACCGGCGGCGTGTTTCGTGACCAGTATCAGGGGCTTTAGGAAGTGGCCTTGGTGTTTTGAGCTAAGATCTCAGTGAGGTGGGTGGCTTCAAGTTAGCATTTATAGTGGCGTCCGGAATCTGTCGTTCAAAACGAGCGGGCCCAAAAGGGAGCCTTGTCAACAATGAAAGCTTTGTCGATACTGAGGGTTGGAGTACTTGGGGGTACGGCATCAATGTGATATTTGTGTCTGTCCTTTCGTCGCCAGATAACTCGACAAGGTCCAAAGCCTCCTCAGTAAAGACATCCTCCAAGCGGACAAAGCGGACTAATGATGTCGATAGTTGTTATGCTTTTGGGTAGGGCGTTGACATGCGGTGATGATTTGTAGGTATAGCATAGTTTTGTCCTGCGGCGATGGAAATGTTGGGCGATAGCAAATTTAGATATGCCTCGTGGAAAGTCTGTTCGTCACGGTGAGGACGTCTTTGGTGTCTGAGGCTTCGCCGATGAAGATGTCATCGTCATCGTCAGTCTACCAGGGTAATGTCAGATATGATTGAAAGGCGGTTACAGTTGGCGCAAATCAAGGGTAGTGATGTCGCAAGGCGTTGGGTCCAGTACAGGTGACGATGAATAAGGCTGAAATGTTAGTGCCTGATGTGGTTGATACGCGGTTACAATTGGAATAAATTGAGGATAGTGATGTCGCAAGGCATTGTTGACCTGGCTGTTAGACTGGAACTGGTGATGCTAAAGTTGCGGGCGGGTGGCGACCTGCAGTACCTTGATGCAGTTTACATACAGTGATCCCACGGTCCTTTGTACACTACTACTCCACTGTACAATTTGATTTTCTCATTGCATTCTTTGTCGACTCCCTGCAAATCATATATCATCATGTTCAGAATACATCCTGCTATGCGATGGTACCAAAATTACAGTGCTCAAATTTATAAATCCATCCGAAGCTGCAAATTATACCTCTAGGGCAATATATTTGAATTTCTCGAGCATCAAAACCTCACCACTGCACTAAGTTTCACCCGTTCTACTTTATGTATGAACATTACAGATGGATTAGAAGCAGTGGAGATGATTTTAGTCAAAGTTTCATTGGTGAAACACGTTGTGATCCACGAGTAACTTCATTATACAGACTAAGCTTGGACACGAGGTGCCTTTTTGACTCAGTCTCGCTCAACATCTCCCTTTTGCTGCCAGTATTCAACATATATCTTCAAAACACGCATATATTCTCTTAATATGGTTGGGAGGCCAAAATCATTGACGAAGAAGGCACAGGTCTTGCGTGAGGAGAAAGAAAAAGTCATGGCTCGTGCTGTGGCTATGTACCAAGCTGAACTCGCAAAACCAAGCTCAGAGAAGAAGCAGGGCCTTCGAAAGGTGTGCAGGGATGTTCAGAAGGCATACCTCAAGGAAACGGGCCAAGTTGTCAGTTTAAATCATAATACTCTGGCAAATCTCGCCAAGGGAGGGGTTCGGCTTAGCGAATTCAATAGCTCCACGAAAAGCTGGCTCACACCCACAGAAACAGACAAAGTTATTGAATATGTTGTGGAAATGGCTCGACGTGGCTTTCCACTTAGCCACAAGCGTCTCAAGGAGCATGTTGATGAAATCTGTCGAGCCCGACTTGGAGATGCCTTCCCGCAGTCTGGAGTGGGAAAAAACTGGACTCAGCGCTTCGTCGAGAAGCACTCTGACCACCTACGAGCTTACCGAGCACATTCACTTGATACTGCTTGTGGCTGTGCCGTGAACCCGACAACTAACAAGGCATGGTTCGAAATGTTGAAGGATGTCATATACCATATATCCGGTTACAGATCCGATGATCTGGATCTCAGATCCGATCCAGATCCGATGAACATATCCATCGTCTGGTCCACAGATCCGCTTTGATTCTTATTTCATTTCCTGTTCATATAACTCTAACTATCGTTCATCTCCTTTCGGTATTCCTGTACACCGGTATACCGGTTATCCTTTACTTCCGCTTTGCTTACTGATCCGCTATGCTTACTGATCCGCTACACTTACGAATCCGCTTTTACTTGTACTTCATTCCCGGTTCATGATTCGTGATCCATCCAACTTACCAATACGCTCCACTTAGACTTTGCTTATACTTTCGTACATAGCCTCGCACCTTTGCTTATTGATCATTCCGTTAGCTATCCGTAGTATATAAACCTTTGTATATGCGCTGTAGTAGATCAGTTCGAATATCATCTTAGATTGCACTCATTCCGTCCGGACTCTAAGTCCCTCCGTTATCCATCCGGACTTGAGTACGCTACTCTTGTCTACTCCGAGACTTAGGATAGATTCCTATAGTCTACATATCCGCCTCTGTCTTCGGACAGTCCTCACCCGTTAGTTTCTAATCCGGATCCGATCCGGATTAGCCGTTACTCTATACGTTCGATATCCGGAAGTCTTAACGGATCCATTGCAATACTTATCCGTTGCAATACAAGACTTATCCGTTACGATACTTATCCGTCTCACTAGACGCGATACTTTAGCTCTCTGAAATAAGGGGCAAGACTCGGGAAAGGGGCACAGCGCACGAGCTGAGGCCGAAGCCCTTCGGATCCGATACTACTTGAGTACGATCTTAACAAAGGATGTCCTGGAGAGTGGTGACGACAACAAACCAATGGCACCAGAGTGTATTTGGGGTGTTGATGAGACTGGAATTCAACCAGGAGGAGGAAGCACCCAAGAACGAGCACTTGGTAGTGCTGGAACGCAGGTTCAGTATCAGCAGCGAAACGGCAATCGTGAAAACATTACTGTGTTAGTCACAATTTGCGCAGATGGAAGTACAATTGCACCTGCGGTGATTTTCAAGGGAAAGGCATATCAGTCCAAGTGGAACGAAAATAATCCACTCAAAGCATCGTGAGTTGGCATGCATTATGTTGTGCTCTTAATCACTCATATAACACTGTTCTTTATAGTATTGGTTATTCAAAGAAGGGTTGGACTGACGGCGAGATTGGTGCACTCTGGATCAAACAATTCGATGAGCAGACATGTGACAAAGCTAATGGTCGTACTCGCCTACTTCTTGTTGATGGGCACAATTCTCACTACACTCGCGCATTCCTGGAGTATGCTCGGCAGCACCGAATTCACGTCCTCTGCTATCCTGCACACAGTACCCACATCTACCAGGGCCTAGATGTGGCAGTATTTGGTGTCCTTAAGCAGTGTTGGTCAGAAGAACGAGACAAATGGGAGCGCGAGAAAGGAGAGAAAGTGACGAAAAGCAACTTCCTTGCAATCTATGGTGCTGCCCACATTCGTGCACTCACATCAGAAACCATTAAATCTGCATTCCGAAAAACCGGTGTATGGCCTTTCAATCCTAAAGTCGTCACAGATGAGATGTTAGCTCCTGCTCGCGAATCATCTAACCAGGGCCACCTTCCAATCACTCCTGAATCTCCTGTTCGAGCCATAATACAGCTGCTCAGAGACCTGCAACCAAGGGCGGAAACTCGTAATTGTGATATTCAACTTGGTACAATTGCTGAAGAAGATGGTAGTATTAACGACGAGACAACTCCAGGTAATCCTCACTGTTTGCATTTCAAAGATCAGATCAATAATTTATCAAACAGCAGACGAGAATACTTACGAGAACGATAGTCCTTTTCAGACTGGTGATAGAACCATTCCAAATGTCTTCACACAACTCGAGGAAACATCTGCACGATTCCTTATATCATCATCTCCCATCAAATCAAGTTCAAGGTTGCCTACCATGCCACTAGCAATAGTCTCACCCATTAAATGTGCGAGATTTCACTGTAACATATCTTCAAAGTCAACACGGGAGAAAAAACTCGAGGAGACAGTCAAAAAACTCACCAAGCAGGTCACAATGCTCAAAGAGCATGTAAGTGCCCTTCAAGCGACTGTAATTCTCCAGGGACGCTACTGTGATCGAGTTCGCCGTCATCTCGAGACACAAGAGAAGAAAGGCTGCCGAGAGGGTGACAATGTCAAGTTGAATGGAGATGGTATGCCAAGGCTACTTACCAGTGACGAGGTCTTCGAGCAAGTCCTGGTATACCAGGAGCGTCAACAGGCAAAAGTGGCCGAGAAGGAAACAAGGAAAGCAGCACGGATGGTATGAACTCGAGAGATGGAGTTGTGGATGCAAGAGGATGAGGCAAGAAAAAAACCGAAACAAAGCCAAAACAGAGCAGTGGAAGGTAGCTGTTAAAGAGTGGGAGGTAGAACAACGGCTAGCAAAGCAAGAGAAACGAAAACCACAGTGGAAGAAGCCTGTCCGAGGACCACTCGAGAAGCCTTGTCCTAAGCCAAAGAATCCAAGGAGAAATGGTGGAAATATTGATGAGGAGGATGGGCAAGATCAAGGAGAGTTCATTGACATTCATGAAGGGTCGATTTGCGATGACAGCGAGTATGAGGATGACGACAAGTACAACGAGCGGTGAAATGTGACATTTGTCACACGCTGTAACATGGTTGTCACACCAACTGTACAAACGAATCAGGAAGGCGAGAAAATGACTCGTTCAACCAAGTGAGGTGCTGCCAACTAAGCAGGGCCCCAGATGTTTTAAAAACTTGGTATATAGTAGATCAAACCCTGCTCTGTCAGATGTACCAGATCAATTTTTGTATATTAAAGATTTCATTTTTTTACACTCGTTTTTTTCATTTCACGGTCCAAAGGAGCGGTTGATCACTGTAGTATCAAAAATGTTCTTGCCAGTAGAAGGTCATGGTGCACTGGTATCGTTGCTGAGGCGACTTTGTCGGGGGCTAGGACAAGAATGATGGTCTACTTAAAAGCCAATATGATGAGGCCGGTGGGAACCTTCCTTAGTCCAGACTAAATTGGATGGAGAATAGTTCATCAAAGTACGATACCGAGACTAAGCCCATAACAAGACTAGGAGTGAAGCGACATATATAGCAAGTTGTAGGAATCATAATGGCGAATGTCGATGTATGATGCGCAGTTGATTAATTGGCGGTGTACTGGCAAGAAGGACGATTTCAGGATATCCCAAGGATGTCCGACCAATATTTATTTATAAGTACACCACATGATGATGTTTGTGTGTGCTTGCCAACGCAATCACGACGCGTCAGTCACGTACCCGCAATAAATATTGTCAATGCTGTCCTCCCCCGGAACTCCGCAGGAGAGATTTGTTGGGAAGAAAATGTACGCGTCTCCGTGAAAAGGGGTTCACTCTTCATCAAGGCATAAGCAGCCTAAATATCTTCATGCACTCTTCACACCACCATTTCATACGATTGTGATAAATGATACAAAAATATTATGTTAGTAGTTGAAGGTTTATAGAGAGCCTGGGACTGGCGCGACCGAGCGAATATTATTGGTGACATGCTATGGTATTTGGGCGACAATATCAAACAATTGCTGCTAGTAATCAAACCATTGCCGTGCCGCCAAAAACATGAAGAGAATAAGAAGCTCAATAGTGGTTCATAAAGGGTGCATGTTGGTGTCATTAAGATTCTACCTGGCTGTCACTAGCTAGTGCTGAGACCCTACGGCACAATTGCGGTCAGCTTCGCTGATCCTGAAAAGAGCCCAAACACTTACTTCAGTTATACCAACAGAATTTCTTGTCGATGTAGTGTTTGAGAGAATACCTTCGAAGGGGGACGGGGTCCATGAATGCGCATTCCACCAGCTGGAGGGGCACGACGGTACATTGCAAATGCCGGGATGAAAGGATCAACAGGGCTGTTGTCTTCTTCCACTTCCTCTTGCATAGGGAACTGCACAGGTATACCCCTGGGTATCAGAGGCCTTACCTGCACCCGCACCCAGCGAAAACCCGTACCCGCTCTGACGGGTGCGGGTTTTTGGCAGGTACGACGAGCTCATACCCTTCCTCGCACCCGTGCAGGGTTTACCCACAGGTAATACATATAAATATTAAGTTAGCAATTATAAAAATATGAAAAAACGATCGTGAAAAAGGACAAACTCGCCGACACCCTGCAGACGGCGGGCAACGACTTCGATCAGCATGGCTCGAGCTCGAAGGAGGATCGACACACTGCGAACAGCAGACAACGACTTCGATCAGCATGACTCGAGCTCGAAGGAGGATTGACACACTCACCTCCTGCGAACAGCGGGAAACGACTTCAATCAGCATGGCTCGAGCTCGAAGGAGAATCAACACACTCACCTCCTGCAAACAGCGGGAAACGACTTCGATCAACATGGCTCGAGCTCGAAGGAGGATTGACACACCCACGCTACGAACAGCAGGAAATGACTTCGATCAGCATGGCTTGAGCTCGAAGGAGGATCAACGCATCACTTCCCACGAATGGCGGACTTCAATCAGCGTGGCTTGAGCTCGAAGGAGGATCAACACATTCACCTCCTGCAAACAGCGGACTTCGATCAGCGTGGCTCGAGCTCAAAGGAGGACTGACACACTCACAGGTGTTGTGTTGAAGAAGATGGAGGGGCATAGCAGCAGGGTGTGGATGAGTGCAGAGGATGGAGAATGAGGTTGAGGTTGGATAGCGGCACTGTGCGCAGACAAGTGCCTGATATTGAAAAAAGGGTGTAAATACTTGTAAGTAATGTACTGTACATACATACATAGATTTTAAAAACATACCTTTAAGTTTTGAGAGCAGCATTACCTAGAGTCAGCAACAATAAGATCTAATAGTACGAGTATAAAGAGGAAGCGTTAGTGGTACTTTGAACACCCTTGGCACCACTTTTGTGGTCTTAGAGACCTGGTTTCTTTGTAGAGCGCAACTAGTCTGTGAGACGTACCCTCCCGTGTGAGTATGAGACCTCTCACCTCCTGTGGAGCTCTTGGTGCTCCTGTTACTCCTCTTGTCTCTGTGGTGCTCTTTTGCGCTCTACAAAGAAATGAGGTCTCTAAGACTGTGGGAATGGGAGAAAAGTGGTGCCTGCCTATGTACCTAGGACCTCTCCAGTGAAGGCACGGGTATCAAACATTCCGTCATTGATATTTGGATCAGGAAGCCTTCCTGATACAAACTATCATATAACACGTGGCGTACTACACTGTATCATACTAAAATGCATTGCAATGAAAAACATACACAGAAAAGACATGCAAGAAGAGGGTTGTCTCATTTGGATGTGGGAAGAACAAGGAGGGTTTGTGGGCTATGACACTCTCTGTTGGATGCGCATAGAACGACGAGCACCCGCGGATGATCGGACGTCGTCGTGTGGAGGATGTCCCAATCTTGATGATGATGCCATGGGCACCATAATTTCTGTGGGAGCATCCACGGGGAGCTTGTCATATACCATATATCCGGTTACAGATCCGATGATCTGGATCTCAGATCCGATCCAGATCCGATGAACATATCCATCGTCCGGTCCACAGATCCGCTTTGATTCTTATTTCATTTCCTGTTCATATAACTCTAACTATCGTTCATCTCCTTTCGGTATTCCTGTACACCGGTATACCGGTTATCCTTTACTTCCGCTTTGCTTACTGATCCGCTATGCTTACTGATCCGCTACACTTACGAATCCGCTTTTACTTGTACTTCATTCCCGGTGCATGATTCGTGATCCATCCAACTTACCAATACGCTCCACTTAGACTTTGCTTATACTTTCGTACATAGCCTCGCACCTTTGCTTATTGATCATTCCGTTAGCTATCCGTAGTATATAAACCTTTGTATATGCGCTGTAGTAGATCAGTTCGAATATCATCTTAGATTGCACTCATTCCGTCCGGACTCTAAGTCCCTCCGTTATCCATCCGGACTTGAGTACGCTACTCTTGTCTACTCCGAGACTTAGGATAGATTCCTATAGTCTACATATCCGCCTCTGTCTTCGGACAGTCCTCACCCGTTAGTTTCTAATCCGGATCCGATCCGGATTAGCCGTTACTCTATACGTTCGATATCCGGAAGTCTTAACGGATCCATTGCAATACTTATCCGTTGCAATACAAGACTTATCCGTTACAATACTTATCCGTCTCACTAGACGCGATACTTTAGCTCTCTGAAATAAGGGGCAAGACTCGGGAAAGGGGCACAGCGCACGAGCTGAGGCCGAAGCCCTTCGGATCCGATACTACTTGAGTACGGTCTTAACAGAGCTGAGAGATCCATTTGTTGAGGAGCGCCGTGAGCGCTGCATGAGTTACGCCAACGGGGGGGGTCGCTTGGGTTGCTGGCTGCTCCTAGAATTAGATGACGCCACTCCTGTATGATTTGACTGAATGGTGCAAAGAATGAAGTAGTTTTTTCCATCAATGACGAGTCATTGGGAGGTGCAAGCACATATGCCTGCTTTGCCAACCAGGGATCAGCGCCTGAGGTCTCAAATTTATCAACCCACAAGGGCCTCCTGCCCTCATCTTTCATGAAGCCGCGTGGCCCGTCGAAGGTGGTCGCAAACTCGACGAAGATAAAAAACAATGACTCCAGGTCATCACTTGCTGTGTGTTGGATCGTTGCACCCTTTGCAATACCCTCCCGGAGAAGACGAATTGACATATAGGGCCTAGTACCCTTCAGATAACACGCTCAGCCATGTGCCATGCCGTGAAAATTGTAAGTATCACTCACCGTGCCCTCTGAAGGAGCACTAACAGCGCCTTCCACAATAATGCGAGCATGATCAAAGTCAATAAAATAACCTTGTCCGTCATGGATGATAAAATTATTCGGACTCAAGTCTCCGTGGAGGACGTGACTTGCGAGCATTAAACTATGAGCTAAACACTGATGGGTCAGTCTCAGGATTCAATTTCAACACACTCGAGACTCACCTGAGACAAAGTCATGGAAGGCTCTCAACAGCTCAAGCTTCGAGGAGTACAACACAAGTGGTTCTCCGCAGGGGGTCAACAGAAGGCGCCGGTGGAATCTGCGAATAAACCCAGAGGTACAAACACCATGGGAAGCTCGAATACGATACGTGCAGTCCGGCTCCCCATCGTAGAGGACATCCCAATGGGCCACGAGCTTGACTACATTCGGGATTCCTTCAACCATCTTGAGAACGGTCACCTCGTGGTTTTTCTTATCCTCAGCGACCCAACAGTCTTTGAGTGCGAACTCCGTCCCATCCGAGGTCTGAACACGATAACGAATCGTGCCACGAGAAAAGAAACCTTGGCTTCACCAAAGCACGCTCATGATCGATAGATGGGATTTATCATGGTTTTCTATCCAGCCTATGGCGTTCTCCCGCAGATCGGCATGTGAGCCCTTGCAGGCAGGATCGCACATATGCATCGTGGGATCATACCCGAGGTTGTTGGTGTGCGCGAGCGTTAAGGTGTTTAAAACCTCGAGAAGACGCACAGGATTTTTGAGGATATCAACGGGGCGTGAAATGATCAGACCTGAGCGGTCAAAGTAGTGAAGGCGAAGCAGGTTATTGGCGATAGTAAAGATCAAGACGAATCGGCGCCAAGGTTGTTCTCGCATCAACAGGTACCCTTTAGTGCCGCTACCATAATACAAAGGTATGGAAGAGTTGAAGTCGCTCTCTGTGTGCTCCACGCATGTGATAATATTGGACCATCGCAATGAGAGATTGCGTAGATTGCAATCCACCAGAATAACATCTGGCTTCTGCGCGTTGGTGTCGTCCGGGACGGGAGTATTACAGAATTGGGAGGACCAAATATGCTTCGGCAGGCCACCGATAACGTTCATGGCACCAAAGGGGAATGCAGCGGAGGGATTGGGGAAAATTTTCTCGTACATCGCGTGCATGGCAGCTTGCACGACGTTGAAGAGGAGGGTCCACTTGCCCTCTGTCGTCGCTGATGCCCGAGGCTGCTTCTTGCTGGGGTGCTTGTCGTCGTATCCTTTGGCACCGAAGCTCTTGTCGGTTTCAGGCGTTGTGAAAGACGAATCCGATATCTCCACTTCTGTATCAGTCAACGCGGCCGACGCCATGCTCATCTGTGCGCGTGGTTGTGTCTTTTGTGCCCTCCCCGCCTTTCGTCCCTGTCCCTTCTGTACCTGCGCCTTCTTCTGTTTTCTTGAGTCTACTAACAACTTCGGCTGGACATTCCTGTTATCGAACAGCCATTCTGCATTCCCACCACAGTGCGCAGCAGGTTGAAAGATAGACCCACTCTTAACCTTCTTCCCTCCTGGCCCAGACTTGAAATAGTAAATTTTGTTGAGAGATGCTGGAGTGAAATTAGTCTGTAAGACAAGGATATCCATAACAGACTTGGCATCTTTGGGGAGTGATTTTTCTTCCCATAAGACGGTGCCGATGGATTCTTCCTCCAAGAGCTTATCCATAGCAATCTTGTTCCGAGGTTCAGGGAGTGCATTGCAGGTACTGACCGATCCATAGAGGCGTTTACGATAAGAAGTTGTGCTCACTGGTTGTGGCGGCGGCATCATGGGAATGGTTGGTAGTCAAGCGGAGTAGTTGAACGGTTGAGAACATCTCGCTAATTTTGGAAACACTTCTGTGTGCCATGTATGAAGAGCGTCATGTCATGAGCGACCTGGTTGAACACGTCAACTAACCATACGTCATCTTGTATTCATATGCCAAAATGTAATTTTGCACGATTTTTTTTGATGATTATCCCACACACCAAATTGGACATGAATCATGGTGTATTTTCTACACGCAGCAAGCGATCGGAACATGGTACAAAAGCATAGTATTGAGACAACAGACACCTTGAATTTACCGGAATGGCCCCTCCTTCAGATGATCCTGGCACTGCATTGGCAATGGGACTCCTGCTCCCACGATGCCCATCTGTCCAAGCCTCGCGCTGATATGCATGCTGGTAGCCAACTTGACCTTCGCGACCGGCTGGATGCATGTGTTCTCCACGGATGTCTGATGGGGGAGGTCCACGCGAACGGTCGTCCAGAAGTTCACGGTCTGTGTACCGTTGTGGGTAACACAACTAAGGTGAACGCAAGTCAGATGACAAGCAAACACTCTCTATGTTGGGTCTTGATATGCCGTGCGATATGTTTGACCCTTAAGGGAAGCAAAGAAAGCAAGGATCCACGAAATGATGCTGATCAACCCTGATCAAAGGCGACAAAAGGGCGATGTAAGCGCGAGAAACGCGCTCAAGGCGCGCGCGGGAAAGTGAAACGCGAAAAAATGCGTGAAGCGCGGGAAGGTGAAAGTGCGAAAGGCGAAAATGCGCAGAGAACTGGGATGGTAGTGCAAGCAGTGCACAAGTGTAGAGAGACAATAATATGGTGAAAAGCGCGGATATAGATGGATACTGATACTGCCACTAGCTTTAGACTGATGCTAGGGCCTTAAGACGACGACGGATGCATGCATTGCATGGAACTAACTGCCAAGTACATGGTGGTAGAAAGATGTGGTAGGAAGCTGTGGTAGGAAGCTGTAGTAGGAAGCTGTGGTGTAAAACGAACATGAAAGTATGTAAGTTCTACCTAAGCGCTCTCCCAGGGCTTGGAGCCGAATAGGGAGCGCTCTAAGTATGTAAGTGAGGTAAAGTGATGTAAAGTAAGGGTGCATAACGAAATACAAAGTGTAATAGGCTAAATATGGTCTGATAACGAAAAGGGACACACCTAGGAACTGGTTGGATGATGGATGGATGCTCCTGGATGATGCGCGATGGAGTGCGCTTAAGTGCGAGAAACGCGCTAAGCGCGCGCACGGGAACACGAAACGCGAAAGCGTGAGAAAGTGTTGCACCTATGGTGCGCTTTGCAGGAGAGCTGTGCATTGTATGCGCAAATGACTGGAGACATAGCAGAAGTTGCGTATGGAGTAGGGCGACAAGTGCGAGAGAAACGCGCTGAGCGCGCGCGGGAATGCTGCGCGTTGTGTGGGAAAGTAGCGCGCCTATGGCGCATTTCGCGGGAAAGCTGCGCGTTGTGTGTGGAATGACCAGAAACAAGATAGAAGTCGCATACGGATGATGGTGCGAGTCGTGCAGTAAAGGCCAGTTGCCAGAATTCATAAAATGAGCCCATATGAGCCCACAGAAACGCGAGTCTCTACACCGTGTGTCACGATAATATGACTGCCTATTCCCACTGGCATCACGATGTAGAGACTTGCGTTTCTGCAGGCACATATGGGCTCATTTTACGAATTCTGACAACTGGCCTTCATGGCACAACTCGCACCATCATCCACTATGACTTCCCTATAGAGCGCACCACTTTCCCGTGGAACGCGCCATAGGCGCGACACTTTCCCGCACAACGCGCAGTATTCCTGCATGCGCGCCTTGCGCGCTTTCTCGTGCTTAAGCGCACTATGTCGCACAGCATCCAGGAGCATCCATCCATCATCCAACCAGTCCCTCGGTATGTCCCTTTTCGTTATCTGACCATATTTAGCATATTACACTTCCCATTTCGTTATGCACCCTTACTTTACATCACCTTACCTCATTTACATACTTAGAGCGCTCCCTATTCGGCTCCGAGCCCTGGGAGAGCGCTTAGGTAGAACTTACATACTCTGATGTTCGTTTTACACCCAACAATTCCACCTTACCTTCCTACCACTCAGTATCTATCATCAGTTAGTTCCATGCAATGCATGTGTCCATCATCATCTTGAGGCCCTAGCATCAGTCTATAGCTAGTGGCACTGTCAGTATCCGTCTAGATCCGCGCTTTTCCTCTTATCAGTCTCAGTATCCATCTTCTACACTTGTGCACCGCTTGCACTACCTTCCCACGCTCCGCGCACCTTCGCACTTCGCTTTCCCGCGCGCGCCTTCAGTGCATTTCACCGCCATTCACCAGGGTTGTTCAGCATCATTCCGTGGATCCTTGCTTTCCTTGCTTCCCCTTTAGGGTCGAACGTTCTTGCATCCTGCGAGTATAGCAGCTAGGCAGAGCTGAGACTCACTTATACTGGCTGAGCACTTTTCTTATATGTGCCTGCCAGGTTGTGATACCCACAACGATAACCTGAGTTCTCATGGTGAGGAGCATAAGCATATCCTGGGTAAGTTTCACCACGGTCACCATGATACAAATATTCCCTCTGATAAGGGTACTCTCCTCCAGGTCATGGTCGCCTGGCATATGCATGCCGGCCCAAGTCTTCATGGTACATGTATGCACCATGTGGTGCATCACTGGAGTGATAATCATCATCGGGGAGTGCGGGAGAGCTGTCTCAATGAGTGCGCAGGTCACCATGAAGGTATCGAGTGTCGTGAGGCTCACGGGAGTGATTGTTGTGTGCCCCACGAGGATCAACACGGCGAGGTTCTGGTGCATCAAGGTTAGAAATGATGGGGCTAGGACGAATATCCTCAGATGGGGCACGTGGTAGATTTTGCGGTAGTGGGGGAGGCACATCTTGGACATGGCCAGACTGTCCGTTACCACCTGTGTGCTCGGCAGGAAGTTCGTAATACGTGGGGAAGACGGCACTGCTGGAAGAATGGGTGCTTTGGTGACTTGCACAGAGGTCGAACGATCAACTGATGTCTCAGGCTGCACAGCTCTGCTATTACTCTGCGAGTCTTCATCTTCTTGCAAGAGACGCATGGTCTTGGTGAGAGCAGATTGGCCTCCTTTAGTCACCGGGCGTGCATGTCGCACTGGGCTTATCTTAGTAAATCTTCGGACATTTATGTAGAGCAAATACCTTTCGCAATGTCAGGACGTCCATCACGCAGGCACATTGCTGCATTGTCTGTTTAATTATCAGTCAGGATCACTACTGAACTGAGATAACCGTCAAGACTTAGCTATAGCAGGTTGTGGTTGCTGTTCTTTGTCTCCTGAGAACCCTACTGTGAGAGGAGACGAGCGCCCTCCTTTGGCACGAGCCTTGCCTGCGGCTTTTGCACCTGGCTTGTTCTCAATGGCCGTCTCCTCCTCTAACCCAATTGGTCGTACACGCTTCTTCATAGCTCGTACAACTCCGGTATCAAGCTTCCGTTTCCGTGAACGTGAAAAATCACCATAGTCAGCATTATCCTCACTATGGATTTCACCATTGGACGAGTCGAGAGGCTCCTCATCAGGCTTCTCGACACCATCTGTACTGGACAGAATTTCTATGGGAGCTGGCACTGGTTTAGTAGGGAGTCGCTTTGCAAGCTTAAATGGACGTGATGGAGGAGGTATGAGTACCTCGGGACGCAAGTTGGTTTTCCGAATGGTTGTCATGGTGTCTTTGGCCGCAATACCCATAACATCATCCTGAGTGTGCGCTGACACGGGGGCCTTTGGCTTCTTCTTCCTGGTAATGGCAGAGCTGGCTTGAAGGCGTGGAGGGCCACCATAATCAAATGTTCCGTTAACAAACATCTGCCTCGCATTTGGGAAAATAGAGTCTGCTGGAGGGGCCTCGCCAATGATGACAGGCTCCTTGGAGGCTATCACTGCGCCTGTCAAATTATTATGAGCTAAAGCGGTGTAGAGACTCGCGTTTCTGCAGGCACATATGGGCACATTTCGCACCTTTTCACAACTCATGACAATTGGCCTGCAATGCACGACTTGCACCATCAGCTATATTCGACTTCTATCATGTCCCTAGTCGTTTTACACATAACGCGCAGCTTTCCCACGAAACGCGCCATAGGCGCGGTACTTTCCCACACAACGCGCAGCATTCCCACACGCGCACCTTGCGCGCTTTCTCGCGCTTAAGCGCCCTGCATCGCCTATCATCCAGGAACGTCCCTCTATGTCCACCCACCTCATTGGTACGTCATATGCCTTGCCTCGTGGTTTGTAACAAGCATTGCAGCGTTATTACATGTCATTACGTATTCATAGTGCTTATTGCTCCTATCCCTTCCGCTTCCGATGCAATTTCCATAGTATAAAGTTGCTGACTTACTACACCATCATTATTACTCCCCTTTGCTGTACTTCCCTCACTATTGGGTTTTACTTTAAAGTAGTAGTCACCACTTGGGCGCACTTTGTGTTTCCAATGGTTATCGTTATCCGCCTATACTAGACCTTTATCCGCGCTCGTTATAACACTCGCTCTGCGTTTGCACTCGCTTTGCACATCCGCTTCCTTATCCGTTTCCTTATCCGGTATTCTCCGCACAACGCGCGCCTTAGCGCTCACGTTCCCACGCTCGCGCTTACCTTAGTGCGCTCTCTCGCACTTCGCGCTCACTTCGCTTTTCTTCTTGCGCTTTCGCGCATCCATCGCACTTCAAGGGTCTTTCTTTCATCTGGTTCTGTGTTCAGTAGCAGTCCCCTTTAGGGTCGAACGTTCTTGCATTCTGCGAGTATAGCAGCTAGGCAGAGCCAAGACTCACTTATACTGGTTGAGCATTTTTAGATATTTCATATCAGCCCAGCCAGGTTGAGATCGCCTCAGCGGTCTAATAAGTGTATCGGCACATACCTCCTATGGTTTTGGTTACCTTAACAACACGCATCGTCTTTGCCTTCAACAAATGAGCAAGCACATTGACTTCACGTTGTGTCAGTCCCACGACACCTTTACTCCGTGAATTGATGTTATGAGATTCTCCTGGCATCAAACTCAAGTGCACAGGATACCCCTCGATGCATAGATGGTCGTTAGCGAGGGAACTAGGCATCAGGATCCACGGGAAAGGTCTGTCGGCAAACTTCCCACCAAGGTCCGCTGAGGAAAAAATGTCAGGACCTCATAAAACCACGGGACATGATGTGCTACGTACCAACTTGCTTGATGAGACCAGCCTTCAGCGATTTCAACGCATCCTTCTCCTTCTCTGACTCAGATGAGCTCACATCCAGGATCTCTATCGGCACCTGCTCTTGATCTCCTTCCGTGCCCTTGAAAGACTGCTCCACAGCAGACAGCGAGATGGTGTTGTACACATGCGCTTTGATATGCCCAATGATGGCGTCATCACTAGCTCGGCAGCACTTTTCGAAAAACTACAGAGGTGTTAATACATAAAATACTTTCAAAAGGAGGGTAACACTTACACCGCCAGCGCCGGGCGTCGTGTGAACATGGCCTAGTGATGCATCTTCATTGACAATGTTACCACACATGACGATGGTGGCCTCGAACCCTTGCCTAGTAGCAGCTCCATCAAGCTACAGGTAAGGTACTCAACTTATCAGAAAATATTACAGAATCGGAATGAGATCACTCACAATACTTCCTACCCTCTTATAAAGTTTCTGGAATGATTGAGTGCATTGCGCAATGGTTTGATTATCTGTCAGCATGTCGAGTTCTCCGTAGGTATCGAGGATGTCCTGATAAGTGTCTGGGTAGCTTTTCTTGAAGAGCTCATAGCACTGACGGTGAACACCAGTGCCTGTAAGATCAATATGTGGCACTGAGCAAAAAGCACACAGTATAAACGAATCACTTACTTGGTGTCATCGAACCATCCTGAGGAGGAGCGCCATCACCAAGCCTTACAAGTTCCTGGCGCATACGGTCCTTGAAGTACCCTGCATAAAGATTCCAGTAGTTGGTGCTATTGATTACTTGACCTCGGCTCTTCATCCACAGGTTGATTACCTGGTAGGACAGCATATTCGTATTCTTTGCGGTATCATTGACAACGGCATCCAAAGCAGCGCACCCTTCTTCGAGTGCAGAGTTCATCTCTGATGAACGTCGACCAGCAATGGGAGCATTATTGTCATCCATCATAACATCAGACCCGACTTGAGATATTCCAGTGGCTGATGGACTGAATGTGACTGCACGGTGACGTGGCACACCAGCAGAAGGCGGAGCCAAAAGCTCGAAAGGCTTGAGGGGAGTTGGTGGGATGATATGCATTGTCGGAACAGCTCCTTGAGGTGGCAAAGAGTTTGCCGACACTACGGATGAAAAATTCCAGGGCCCGTCTGACCCATGCATATGGGGCTGCGAACCTCCCTGAGAGCTTGGGCCTGCAACTGTAGGCATGAGAAGTGGTGAGGTCGGTAACTGCGAATATGAAGCAAGTGGGCTAGGGGAGAGTCTGGGAGCCTCGTGTTCCATCAGAGGTGATGGCATGGGCCACAATGGCCGAACTCCAGACGGTATGGTGAGAAGGTTATAAGGAACCATGGAGTTTTGATCGAGAGCGCTGTACTGGGGCTGCTGGGTGAATACGTCCAAATCTTGAGGCATGACCGGCTGCGGCTGCTGGCTAGTGGGTGCCAATGTGCTGGAAAATAGATCTTGAGTCTGCACAGGGCGTTGAGCAGGTACGGCCTCAACGAAAGGAGAGTTGTGACGGCTGGGGTGCATCGACTCTAGCAGCAAGGACAAAGTCAGAAATCTGGAGAAAAGATCTTTGATAGAATTACCAGATGCGAAGGTATTAGTGGTATAGTCGCTGGGAGCGCAGGCTGCTTGATGTCGGATAGCAGCATCCCTTGCGATACCAATGTCGCGTGATGTGGGCTTGATTTTGCTCCGTAGTCTTGATGGAGTGAGTTCTGTTGGCGGATCCTTGTATCGACCACCTCCGAACTGTTCCTGCGCATATCCTCCCTGCGTGTATTCGGAATCCATAGCAGCAGGTGATAACGCAGGAAGGTATGCAGGAGGCGAGGACGCCTGGTCATCGGTAGGGTCAGAATAGTAGTCCGATAGATTGAGCTTCATGCCCTTTGCGCAAAATCAGAAAAAATGGCACGTAGCAATGAAAATACTCACTGGAATTGCAGATCCAAAAGGTGGGTAAAAAAAGGAGGGCACAACACCTCATACTTATATCAAAATTTAAGTGTGTGTGAAGGAAGTCCTTAATTTCGAGACTAAACAAGTTAGAAAAACGGAGGTCTAGAAGCAAACAATGTACCAGACATCATGGAGGTCCACTGAGGAGGGTGTAGACGGTGAATTGGTGAACCTCTGGAGGCTCCAGAGGCTCCAAAGGGGGCTCGGTATCAAATGGCTTCATGACTAAAGATTTCATTAATCCATGGCTGAAAATCTCCTTCGTGCCCAAGACAACGCAATGTCAGAATTAGGTTAGTCCCAAAGTATGACCTACGTACATCTGCTATCTACGTTTGATGATAGGACGGACTTTGATCAACGTCTAAGGCGCTTCGCAGGGCGACTTTCACTGTCACTAAATTGCAACTCTGACTCATCCTCATCATTTGCACTGCCAGTCGTGTCATTGTCCTCGGAATTGGATGGTCTCCCCTTGACAGAAGCGATGTGTGGGATAAGATTGCTGATATGCACAGCAGATGGTTTTGGAACTGCTCGAGAAGCTGGACGAGGAGGTGGTCATGTGATTTCCACAATAACTTGGGTGTGACGATGAGAAGTAGGTGAAGAAGAAGGTAAACTGAGATGAGGAAGACCCTTTCTGTCGATTCGACCATCAGCAAATGCACGCCGCCCATGGGAGTGCGAAGAGCAAGCTAAGGGGGCTTCTCCGATTATAACGGGGTCCTTTGAGGTAGTGAGACGTGTACGAGCAGCATTGCTCTTCACTGCTCGGATGGTGAGGGTGCCTGCCTTGAGGTGGTTGATGAGATTGACGCGATGGTGGTGGCTCAGATCGTGGATGCCTTTGGTGCGAGAGAGAGAGGGGCGCAGCTCGCCTGGTATCAAGGTATCGTCGGGGTAATTGGTGAGGACATACCCGAGGCAAGCTAGTTCCTTTGGAAGAGTTTTCCAAGGGAAGTCAGCACTTGTGCGCCCACGGAGCATCCCACCAAGTGATGCTGAAATGATTTTTAGATAGGATGAATGTGTCATGATTAATCTTACCAGTAAGTGCCCTCATCCCACCCATAATACAAGGTATCCCATCGAGGTTCTTCCATTCTTCACTGAGGCAGGAGCCTCCAGAGACTTCAGTGGGTAGGGTGTCCTCTGTTGACACGGCTACATCGACAAGCTAGAAGCAGGTCAGTAATGTTTGAACATCCAATTAGACAACTACTCACAATCCGAGAAATAGAAAAAGATTGTGAATCCGTGAGCGTGGCAGAATCAATGAGGCCGCGGGGTGAATTTGATGTGCTGTTGGTCATGGCCATCTTGCAGGAGGTAGTGCTTAGACAGGATTTGAAAGTAGCACCAGCTCTAGATAACAATCAATTGATAATGTGCAGACCATGTGCGAGAGAAACCTTTGGAATGAGGAAAATTCTAGTGAGTTCAAGGAAGCTCGAAAATTTGAACTTCGAAGTTCGAAGGTGTGCCACCGCACTGGCAGCGGAGCTTTCCAGAAATGGTAACATGTAGCGCCTCCCGACTTAATGAAAAGGTGGGCGCCCTCTACATTCAGACATTTTCACTTCAGTTTGATGTGCATCAAGTCTCCGGGACACGTGCCTACAGTAGTAACGAGTCAACATTTCTGTTTAAAACGTGCAGTTTTTTTGAGAGGCTCATTTTCTCGGTTATCAGAGCCTCCAGAGGCTGTCAGACTACAAGGGTGACATTAATATAAAAATTACCCAGAACAAAGTCATTGCTTAACTACTACATTCATTAAATAATTCCCATCTCCAGTGTGTCGAGATTAAGAATGAGGCGATATAATGAATGTCGGAAGCTCTCCATATCATCCTCTTGCAATCCTGTAAGATGAAAACCTCGTAAGACTGCCATAATCTCAGCTAGCACCCAAACTCCACAGTCATAACCGTTTGTCTGCCGAGGTTCAAGCTGGAAAAATGTAATTAGTAAGGACTGAGACTTCACAACAAATAAATTTACAATAAGTGGATGAGCTACCCATTCTCCAAGATCAAGTGATACCGCAGGGTGGTGTCGACGAGCAATAGATAGTAGACGAGACACAAGTGTCATAATAGCCTATGTGGATAACGTCAGTATTCCTGCATATACTATAATAATGCACTCGCCTTGATGTCATGTTGCCAAGGGCTCTCCTCAGCTAAACTGTCAAAAAGATAGAATTTCCTGGAGGAACGATGGATAACACAGAGTACCCAATGACCGACAGGAACTGGCCGATGAATGGGCAATATCCATACTTCCTTCTCCCAATAACGCGTCCACGAAGTTTGACGCCAGAGGATCTCATCAGGTGCGTTGTATCGAATACGTGGGAGGTCGTGAGTAGAGAGAATGGCAGTGCGCTGCGCAGCATGTGTGGACATGTAGGCGTCATGCAGCAGGATTGTACATCCGTTGAGACATACATCATTGAGGCGTGCAGTAGGGGAACCGAGGAAGGAGATATCCCTTGGATCGAATACTTGTTCCGGGAAGCCATGCCGAGAGGGCCATATCTTAGCTGTACCTGACCCTTGCGCAGCAAAACTCAGATCCTTGTAGGGCACAGGTGATTCATCAACTTGAAGTATCTATCCATGGTTTCAAAAGAGCAAAGAAGATGGAAGATGGCGGCGTACCTCCGGAATTGCCCAACAAATGGTAATGCTGGCTTTTCCCACATCGCTGATATCTTCTGTATCTTCGTTAGCAGTGGCGTCCTCTTCAAGGAAATCAGCAAATGCAATTTGATGTGTGTTGACATCTGATGGCCCTGCTTCGAAGTCTGGGATGTCATCGTCTTGGTGATCAATTTCCAGTGTTAATGCATCATTAATCAAACTGAGGTTGGCTTCGCTGGTTGCACCTCCCGTAAGTGTCTTCACGACATCTGAAGCTTCTCTAGCACGACTAGAAAAGCGAGCTACAGAAGCAAATGGATTTACCCAGTGTGATTGTAGCTGAAGAAAGTGGTTTTGGCGGGTTTGGAGCAAGAATATCAATGGTTGGTCTATTGAGATTGTCAGAAAATGGCAGAATGAAGAACTGGAATCACTTACTTGCATCAGAAGAAAGCGCGAGCTCTAAAGCAGAGAGCTCATCTCCAAAATAAGAGCACAGGTTGTCAGCTTCAATACTGAGACGCTGCTGTTCCTCTTGATATCGATCGTGTTTGAGGAGGGCGCGGATTCCATCTCTCACGTCCGAATCATTCAACCAGCGTGGTATGTCTCCTGCAGAGGGCATAATCCAGACGTCCTCCATTAGGGTCTGGTCATTGCGCAAATCCACAAGTTTGGTCAGAAGTGCCGTTGGAAGTGGTATCCCCCACGAAGGGTCGTAGAGGCTGTCTAGGCGCTCACAATAAGAGTTGAACTTACGAATAGCAGTCATCAGTGCTGGTTGTCTCTTTGCTATTGCTTTACGAGTTTGCTGGTGAAGTTTCGTGCCTTGTATGTTGGAATTAGTTTGAAAGTAAAATGATTGATTTGATTAGGTCTTACCCAAAGCTTGCTGAGCCCCACCAACCGCCCTGTCCAGTTTATCCCACTCGAAAAAACTACCAATTGCACATTTGCATATATTGATCTTGAGGTTGCGTGCCATCAGAAGGGTACGGACGAAATCCAGATTGACACCTTGAAGCTCTGGGAACCTGTCCTGAATGTTGAGTGAAGCATAGAGCGCTTCGACCTTCTCCATTAAACGTTGGTGGCCCCTCTCTAAACCATCAAGAGCGACCATGGTGTTATCTGATGCTGCCTCCCTTTCGAGCATGGTGCGGGTGGTCTGCAAGGCCTGATCTGAAGTGGCCATATCAGCCTGTAAAGCAAGAACTGTATCCAGTTCTTTTTTGAGACGTGCAGGAGCATCTGATAAGAAGCCAGTCAGCAAATAACGAAAGCGCAAATATGTATGACTTACGAGCACGAATAGATAATTGCAAACATCGTTGGTCAGCCCACAACGACCGTAGATCTTTGATAGAGACACCACAGGTAGCAAGGACGTCCTGTGTGGCATTTGTTTGAGTCTTAATACCACGAATTCGTCGCTTGACCCAATCACTGAGGTCTGCGCGCATTTCAGCTCCAATGGCGGCTGCCTGGCGGTCTATAAGCCATAGACGTCGCTGACGCTAAAGCATGCCAGAATGAATACGTGAAGTTGTCTGAAAAGGAGATGTACTGACTGATGATGAACGCTGAATACCAATCAGACGCACAAGTCGTGACCAAAGTCGCTCGGTGCCTTCTCCATCCGATAAACCAAGTCCACTGCACATACGGGGATTGTAGATAAGCTGGCATCCCCACTCGTGTCCATAGGCATGCATAGCTGTTGTTGCGAAGCAGAGGCGTGAAGTAATAGAAGTGTCTAGAATGTCATACTGCAAGTTGTTACTAGGCGAATACACAATGAATGATTGAAAAGCATACCTGTGAAAGCGAACGAGATAGTACACAGCCAACATCATACAAAGTAACGACTGTTGCATTGGTAGGAAGAAGCGAGAACAGATGTTCTAATAAGGCGACAGCATATTTCTGCTGCTCACCGGGTGTATCAATGTTTGCAAAGAATAGGGGGATATCATGGCGGCAAATGAGCGCCATCAAACCAGTGTCGTCGAAACTATCCATAGCAGCCTTCTGCTTTTTGCCATCGGCAGCTTCATATGAGTTCTCGCACTGGTCGATGACCTCATTAGGTATGAGATTTGGTGCCCGTGTCATAGCAGGGCGCTTCCGTTTCTTGACTATTCGAGAGCCAACTAAATCGACATACATCTTTGGTAAGAAGTATGATGGTTCGTAGAAGCGAGGGCAGTCACCAGCTGAGCGCCGATGACGATGATGAAAGTTTCCGTCTGTAGCGACGTGAATATCGCCTCCTCGATCAAGTGCTCGGCCATACATCACTCCTGCAAAACAAGCAGGACAGCGCTCAACAAGAATCGACACACAACACTCCCTGTGTAAGAGAGATGCTTGAGGGTTGTGAGAGGTCATTGGAGGGTTGTGAGAGGTCGTTGGAGGGACACGAGAGGTCGTTGGAGGGACACGAGAGGTCATCGGAGGGTCGTGAGAGGTCGTTGGAGGGTCGTGAGAGGTCGTTGGAGGGACACGAGAGGTCGTTGGAGGGACACGAGAGGTCGTTGGAGGACTATGAGAGGTCGTTGACAGATAGGGAGGTGAGGGCTCATAAGCAGCATGGATCTTGTCACGAGCTTGCTGAATTGCGCCTTCGATCTTTCGCTCCACCTCGATCTGGAGGATATCATACCACTGAACTGCACTTCCAAGACTCTTTCTGAAGGGTTCCTGGATGGCGTATCCCTGTAACTCACGGTGAGCATTATCACAAGCATCAGAAGCATATGCTTACATGCGAGTCTGTTAATTGGAACCCTCGGCGAGCGTAATGAGTTTTCAACGCAGCTGCGAGTGCATTTACTGCATCACATGAACGTTCAAACAGTGCTCGATAAAAGGAAAGCAATTCTATAGACACTGCCATCCTTGGCTGCATGGGTGCAGTGGGGAATAAACCATGGTGAATAAGGACTTGTGGGAGTGTGGAGCAATTGCAGCTCAGGACGTCGGTCGAGACAAATCCTAAAGTTAAGTCAAGCTAGGCCCTCAATGACAAGAAGCTTGGATACACTTACGGTCAAAGAAGAGGCAAACGATGGTTGTGCGCTTTTGAGCGCATGAACTAGTAACGCATGCGGATATGATAGGATGCGACTTCTCAAGTGGTTGTCCGAAAGTTCTTGCAAGATAAGTTAAGAGAGGATCAATTAAGGTGGGGATAACTCCTGTCCAATTTCCATAGAGCTTGTGTGATGTCTTGTCAGGAAGCATACGGCGTTGGGACTCAATTGGTCGTGTCTTGTCGCACTGATTCGGAAAGGGTAGATGTTGAAGTTCTGGTTTAGCATGATCCGATTCATACACCCATTCGTCACCATCGTTTTATTGGTCTATAGTCATGTCAATGTTAGAACTAGTCGAATTGAGTGCAGGGGTAGTGGTTGGCTCTGTTGAACTTGCATTGACGAGTGCTTCCATGCGTAGGGCAAGTTCACGACGTTTGATATCTGCGCCAGGGATAATGACGAAGGTTTGAGTTTTTCTCTTGTCTCGAGACTTGTGGGGACTGACAGAATGCCTCCCAAGCCCCCGGCTGGAGGCTAGCGCTGACACTTGGCCTGCACGATGCATTATTGCTGGGGAGTGGTGAATGGGCGAATGTCAGAATGCTGGTACATAGACTCAAACTGTATTTAAATGATTATGCGCATACTGAGACCACGTGGAATCGTCGTGGATGCAGCATGGTGCCTCATGGTACTTAGCCTATCACAACACGAAGTGGGTGGGTAGGGAGGTGCCCAGAAATGTGAGAGCATTAAATGGTGGATTGAGTAGTACTAGGATATTGAGAGGGCTACGGTAGAGGGGCGCAGGGAGGTGCTGGAGGCCCGCGAAGGAATACAAGAGCATGAACTCTAATTAGATGGCGGGAGGGTGGGTCTCGGAGACTAGTTTCCCACAACATAGAAACCAGGTCTCTTAGACCCTTTATAGGTCCCGAAAAGTACTGCCTGAGGTGACTTTGAACAACTGAACGCCAAACAATTACCACATTAGGAAGGCACGGGTATGCCAGGGGTACGGGTTAGCCTGCGGGTTTTTGAATCCCGACCCCCACCCGTACCCCAGTGGTACCCGTACCCATGCATATGCCTACTCTTGCACCTTCAGTGATGGAAGTCTACGAATAGATCGCTGGGATGCAGCAAGACTACGAATGTTGAAAGACTGCTCTCCAAAGGGGCTCGGAGTGAGCAGCTTTGAAGAACGTGGGATATTGGTGACCGATTGTTCAGTAGGGGATGTCTGCGGAATAAATGATTGAATAGATTGATCATCAAAGGTCCTTCGCCTGGTAGGTGACAAACTGCTCTGCCCAAACGCCAACCACCGATCATGTTGATCCTCTGAGCCCCAAGACTTTTCATCAGATGGCACAGAAGCATCTATACTGTTACAATGGAAGTGGACAACTGAAGCTGTTGCACTCTCCAAAGGCAACAAGAGGCTGAGGTTAGATGGCAGTGTGCTGCGACGGGAATGTCGAGACCGTCTCTTGGTGACATCCACCTTGTCACGAGAGCCGGACGCTCCGATGGCATCGGACCTGTAAGCCCCAGATTCGGTTGATATTGGTGGAGACATCAGTGCCACAGGGGGCTGCCTCGGTTGTGAAGTGATGATCTTCATGAGAGGTCTGATTGGGAGACCCCCACGGGTAGGTGGATCTTGATGGTGCTCTAAGCTATTTGCGTAATCATCCTGATCAGGTAGAATCTGACCAGCACTAGCAGCATCAGAGGGTGGTCTGGAACGGGTCTTGGTATACTCTTCCGCAGCTCTGTCGCGACCATGACTTGAAATGTAGGTCTCAGCCGGATCGAGTAAATGGGGCCGAGATTGGGTATACTTTAATCTCGAGGCAACCCTGACCACACTAGCACCAGTACCAGTCTGGCAACTACGAGCGGCAGTATTGTAACTGTAAAGACTGGACGATATCGACGACGCAATAGAAGTACGGTAGTTCTGAGTAGTTGCAAAGTCCGTTGAGGCAGTGAACAGATGGCCAGGAACATAATTTTGTCCACTGTGCATGGGAGGCATAGAAACATGAATGGTACGGGTTGTCGAACCTCGAAGGCTCATAGGTACTGGTATCGGTTCACCAAGGATCAGCCTCCTTCGATGTTTTTGGAACATCGCTAGAGTTATTCATAGTTAACATTTCAAACGGTGTCTTGCTACTTAAGGGTCTTATATGGGACGCGTATATAGTGACAACACAACTATACAGGGATAAGACTACTTGCCAGTCCTTAAGTACACGGTCTACGACTTTTCTAGTTTTCGTGGTAGATAACATGTGAGTTCTTGGGAGGATTTACTGATGTGTCCTCTTCTTGTCTTTCTCGTGATTTCAGTGATACGAAGTTTCTCAGTGTTATATAGTCAACCTCTAGTTTAGGTAGTATATAACTAGTAGTAGAAATGTCTTATATATTACTTCAAGGCAACCTATTTGGCCTGCACTTTCAGAATCTTACTGGGTCTCACACGGTTTGAGAGAAGAGTGGAAAGTGGGAAGTTATATTTAGTAGGTGCAAGATGGGCTCCTTTTATACCTTTTTGGGGCCCCCCTTACTAAGCATGACTCATCACAGCATTAGTAAGTCACTGGCTTACTAACCATGCCATTTGGCAGTGCTGAATCAGCTGCTTATCAATCTAATATACATAAATAGTAAATACTATTACAAAGCATGATAAATCATGACAAAGCATGACAAAGCCTGACAAATCATGACAAATCCTTACAAATCAGCCTATTGCCAGTCACATGACATGCTTACAAACATGTCTGATGGCTCACTGAAGGATCTGTGTCTGAAAGAAATGGAAACAGACAGAAACAAATGGAACCTGCATGACAAATCATGAAGGATCCTTACAAATTAGCATATTGCCAGTCACATGACACACTAAGTAACATATTTGTGGCTCACTGAGTAAATTGATGGCTGAATAAGCCTTAGAAAAAGAAAGAGAAGGAAACTAACAATCTGAAAATATAAGTACAAGTAAATCTGTCATAAATGAAACCAAGCCTGTAATACAATGAAGTATACCTTAGTATACTCTTCCTGTGATTACTTCTTGTCTACGTATGTCATGGTATGGTACCCATACCATGCATGACAACGGGCAACAGCTCATCTCGGAAACACATACCTAGCACAATGAGAGCCCCTATACTGAATGGAACGAATTCACCAATGATACCTATCGCCTTCACTCCGGGTACCAGATTCAAAATGTCAAAGAGCAAGAGCGATAGTGCATGAAGCACCCTTGTATCCGTCACCGCTCCAATCCTATGCTTGAACTCGAGGAATGGCGGAGCAATAAAGGACAATAGTCTCCCAATGATATAGAGTTCTAGGGTCACGAACATCACGGACATGGTCAAAGCTGTAGGAAGGTAGCTTCATCATAACATTAGACAGAGATGTCATGAGCAGCACCTATCACTGACCTTGTCCTGTAGCACAAGTACATGTCGAGCTGTGGTACATATCTGCAGCTATGATGAGTCCAAAGAAATCTTTGCAAACAAGAGCGAGACCATGCACGCGACTGTTCCTGCACTCATAACGCATGTTGCAACCACGAAACCTTACATGTGCCAGTCAGGCCTACGTGTTGGACCGGGATGCACTCACCTCCAGCAATGAAAAGCCAAGACCAAGCCAGATATATTTCCCACCGCCATAGCTCCAATTTTCGTAGATCAAAATGTAAGATGATCAAACCCATAAAACGAGCACAAGCGGTAGAAATGCCTCCCAATGCAACAAGAAATGCTGCAGAATGAGATATGTGTTACTATGATGATGGCCCTGTGACTCACTGCAAGCAGAAGCTCCACTATTGGAATTGAATGACAGCAAGGACGAAAAGTGGGCCGCACTCGCAAAAGCGAAACAGAAAGAAAGCAGCAAGACAAGAGCAGAGTTTTCTTCTTCCAATGATTTTATGCTGGAATTTCAATCACCCCAGAAAAGCGCACCCATGGGAGGCTTTTCCGAATTGCTCCAAAGAGTGCCATATTCATTGCAAAAGTTGATGTCTAGCCACAGACCCCTTCGCTCATCAAAGGCATTGTAACACATTTGATACAGGTGACACATCACTGGTGAGGTGACGATGCATAGTAGACTGCAAATAAAAACCCAACCTAGAAAGAAAGACGCGATCTGATGACTGAGATGCATTATGTAGTTGATACACATTGAAGACATGAATTGACTTACTAGTCAGGGTGTTCCAAAAATTCGCTGATGGATAGTGTTTTTGTGTCACGTACCACGAAGGTGCTCCGAAATATGTCGTAGGCCAGCATCCTGGATGGTGGTGGCGCTTGCTAAAAGAAATGGACGAGACCAGCTCAGAAGACAGGGAGAAGAACATTTTGAGGGCCAGCCTCTAGTACAAGTATACACTGCACAGTGAGGGAAAGCTACAGAGTGACGAACAAGCTTATCACATTTCTAAAAACTGTTCGAATGATTTCGATTTATATTTAACTTACAACCTGCACAGCCCAGTTGAGATATATGAGACCATCGGATCATGATGTATGCTGGTGAGTGCCTACATCAGTAAAATCATGAAGTCCTTATTTGGCTTTCAGCTGATTAATCAGCTTTGGACTTCGAACCAAAGTTGCATTTTGCCGCAAAGGTGGGATAAGGTGCACAAAGTCAAAGTTCTTTCAAGGTGCGAAAAGAGCAAAAACACGATACATAGATTTAAGGAGAATAATCAGATTCAAGCTGTTACAACTGCTACCAAGGTAAAATTACTAGTTGTATAATGAGAGTTCAAACATGAAAATTAAAAGATTATGATGCAATTTCAAATGTGTGATGATCAACATACTTGTTAACATAATAAGCTCGAAAAGCATCATAGGACACGTGCAACGTGATGTCGAGAGGAAGGAATTGGTTGCTGTAGATAGGGATGAGGTGAGCGGCACAGTAGATGGTGTCTGCTGAGGCGATCTCAACCTGGCTGGGCTGATATGAAATATCTAAAATGCTCAACCAGTATAAGTGAGTCTTGGCTCTGCCTAGCTGCTATACTCGCAGAATGCAAGAACGTTCGACCCTAAAGGGGACTGCTACTGAACACAGAACCAGATGAAAGAAAGACCCTTGAAGTGCGATAGATGCGCAAAAGCGCAAGAAGAAAAGCGAAGTGAGCGCGAAGCGCGAGAGAGCGCACTAAGGTAAGCGCGAGCGTGGGAACGTGAGCGCTAAGGCGCGCATTGTGCGGAAAATACCAGATAAGGAAACGGATAAGGAAGCGGATGTGCAAAGCGAGTGCAAACGCAGAGTGAGTGTTATAACGAGCGCGGATAAAGGTCTAGTATAGGCGGATAACGATAACCATTGGAAACACAAAGTGCGCCCAAGTGGTGACTACTACTTTAAAGTAAAACCCAATAGCGAGGGAAGTACAGCAAAGAGGAGTAATAATGATGGAGTAGTAAGTCAGCAACTTTATACTATGGAAATCACATCGGAAGCGGAAGGGATAGGAGCAATAAGCGCTATGAATATGTAATGACATGTAATAACGCTGCAATGCTTGTTACAAACCACGAGGCAAGGCATATGACGTACCAATGAGGTGGGTGGACATAGAGGGACGTTCCTGGATGATAGGTGATGCAGGGCGCTTAAGCGCGAGAAAGCGCGCAAGGTGCATGTGTGGGAATGCTGCGCGTTGTGCAGGAAAGTGCCGCGCCTATGGCGCATTTTGCGGGAAAGCTGCGCGTTATGTGTAAAACGACTAGGGACATGATAGAAGTCAAATATAGCTGATGGTGCGAGTCGTGCATTGAAGGCCAATTGTCATGAGTTGTGAAAAGGCGCAAAATGTGCCCATATGTATGTGCCTGCAGAAATGCGAGTCTCTACACCGCATGTATGATAGTGTGTGTAGGCGCATGGTTGGCATAGTAGGCTGGGCGAACCACCCACATTCCCGTCTCTGGGTCAGGCGAGCCCCCAATGACATCGAACCAGCACACAATGGCACATGGGTACACTGTTCCTGCATAATTGAATGAAAAAAATGCCCGAACCCTTGCAACATCGAGCCCTCGGATTCCTTCAGTGTCTGATCCTGTATTAACAAAAACGCAATCATGACAAGAAAACTCGTTCCGCCACATAGGGCAGGAACGGATATGTTCTACTCGCATGCCACCGATCCCGGAAAGGTCACTTGGTGCGTGGAATCTTGAGCACGCGGAGTTGAAGACTGATACCTTTCCTTCATACCTGGGGCAGGCAGCAAGAGGGACGTCATACGCTGTCATGCATGGTATGCAACTCATACCATGACAGATACACAAGAGGTGTGATAAGGAAGGTATAATAGACCCTACTGTATCCTATCACCAAGTTACCCCATCATTTTCCCCTTAGTTATTAGCTAGTATTTTCACTTTCAATCTTCACTTCCATTTTTCCATGTATTTCTATTTTGTTCTATGACATTCCATCTCTTTCTATTTTCCTCAGGCATATTCAGCCAACAGACTTTCTTTTCAGCCACCAAGCATGTTTGTAAGCATGTCATGTGACTGGTAGATATCATGATTTGTAAAGATTGAGCTTGACTCAGCATGTTTTGTCATGATTTGTCATGCTTTGTAAGATTTCTAACTGTATTTATAAGCTACTTAGTAAGAAGGCTGATTCAGCACACCAAATGGCATTGTTAGTAAGCACATCCTTACCAATCCATGCGATGACTCATGCCATGATTCGTCATGCTTTGTAAACTACACTGTATTTATAATGTAAATTAGTAAACAAGCTGACTCAACACACCAAATGGCATTGTTAGTAAGCACATTCTTACCAATCCATGTGATGATTCATGCTTTGTAATCAGGGCCTCCAAAAGGTATATAAGGAGCCCAATTTTGCCATGTAATAAATGGAGCACTTCCCACCTTCACTCATCTCAAACAGTGTGAGATTAAGTAAGAACCTAAGTACAGGCAATTCATTAGCCTCAAGGTAAGACTAAGAAACATTTATTCAATTATATACTACCTTACAGGGGTTGATTATATAATCTATCAGCTATTCTAACTAAGTTTAACCCATACTATTTTCCTCTCTCTTTTACAGGAAGGGAGACACGATTCACACTACACATTTCACGCTACACGCTACACAAGCACGCTAACTCTCAGACACAAATCATACCGTAGACTCAGTATACAGAATCAAATTGTTTTAAACTAACCAGGAACAAGGAAAGAAGGTATATTGAAATAAATCCTCCCAAGAACTCACACGTTATCTACCACAAAAACTAGAAAAGTCGTAGACCGTGTACTTAAGGACTGGCAATAAGTCTTATCCTATATAGTTGTGTTGTCACTATATAAGCGGCGTACATAAGACCCTTAAGTAAGAGGACAATGCGTCGAGTGTGTTGTCTGGGCGTGTTTGCTCATAAAGAAAGCGGCGGATTAAGGCAGGGAGAGATGGAAGGTGCAATTCATCAGCGAGAGCCAATACACTGCGGGCACGCTTCGTTTCTGTGCATGATGCTGCATTAAACTTGTAGTCCATAAATATAGCTACAAATGACACTTACGAACTGTTCGAGCAAGTCGAGTGTGTGCTTGTAGAACAGTTGGGCCATGGTCAATCATTAAGTCATCGCCGTCCTCAAGATTACTTGCTTGGTTTGGTGGGGGGTCATTGGGGTCTTCATCATTAGGGACATCAGGATTGTCTAACATACCTAAGCATGCATTAGTACTAGATAAATTTGAGAGAAAATAGTAACTACGCACCGAGAGCCTCGAGTTCGGCTGAAAGGCAGGTACCCTTCAACATTCCATGGCTTTCAAAATCAACACGCGCAGCGGCAAGTTGACTAAGATACTGGTTTGTGACCAGCATCTGACCAAGTGCTTTGTATTTACTTGACCGCCTCCATGGTTCCTTCACAGCCTTGATGTGTTTGCTCTCAGTGATTGATGAGCAAAGTCCATTGGGGGCGCCAAAGAGCCGGATAACATGTGCGTAGTGCATAAGAGAGTGTTGTCGTGGCAGTGAAAACATTGGAATGACACCGGAAGTCTTGAAAACCTCACGATATTGATGGAAACGAGAGACGGCATCTTGAATTTCATCCAGGGTGCGCTCTGTGATGGTGTTTTGACGTACAAGGTAGCAGAACTCTAGCAATGCACGGAATGTGCGAACAACCTCTGTCGGTACGTGACCCTCGATTGCGGGAATGTACACCTAAGTTTATCAGTAAAAGTCGTTGGTAAGAGGAACGAATTCACCTTCATGAGGGCTTTGGAGTCATCCCCCATCCATTGCTTGAAGCCGCGTCCTTGCAGAAAGCGGCGCAGACCAGAAAATGAGGCAACGGCCACAATCCTGAGTGAGAATTTAGTCAATAAGTTAGTAAAAGGATGTTAGATTCATACCTGTGATCAATATCATCTAAGATACGGTCCGCTTCAGTCCTCCCATGAGTAAGCACAAGGTATTTCTCCACCCAATCCACGAGATGGTCCTTAAACGCGCCTTTGATAACTTGATGTAGGATGTCTGGGGCCATTGTTTCGTGAATGTCGGCGCGTGGGAAGTTGTTTGTGAAAGGCTGAATGATGGAAATATCAACCTGACTCTAGGTCTCAGGGCGAACATGTAGACTTACAATTAAATCAGCGACTATCCCAAACTCTGTCCACAGTTCTCCATAAGTACCCACTTCAAACAAGGCTTCATGGTATTCACGGCACCGAAGGACTGAGGTAGCATCGAGATTATCACGATGAGAGCAGCATCTAAAAGAGAATTAGTCTTAATGCTAATGAGATAATACAAATATTTTGTCACCTTGGACACCAGAAGCGGACTATGCATGCAAGGAGAACTTGCTCCTCATAATCGGCAATGTATGGCCCCAGTCCATAAATTACGCGCCAAAAATGACCATCTCTAAACTTCGCGATATCAGGTTTTGACATCCCAGGCTGAAGTGATGCGAGTATCCTAGACAGCGATGAATGGAATAATTGGCGACAGAATTTGCGAAACTTTGGGTCATCTGCGTGTTTCTTTGTAGCTATACAGTTGAAATTAATACTCAAGTGTCGGATTGCTCAAAAGATATGGACGTACTTTTGGGCATTGCAAGGAAGCCGATTACCACAAGCGCATCTCGATGTGCGCGGCGGACGTTGTTATGAACATTTCCGATCAAAAGATAAAGTGGGTAGTACTCATTGTTCCCCGTTGCAACAGAAACCGTCGTCTTGTCACTTCTGAGGATGATGGGCACGAAGGTGGAGCCAATTGTTTCTGGGTCTCCAGCAATGATATCCTGTAATGAGTATAGTTAGTTATGTTTAAGAATGCCGAATTTAAATAACTTAGAGTGAAGGAGATGAAGAACGGTGAGTCTCGCGCTAAGAAAAGGGAGGAGAAGAAAAATGGGGAATTTTGGTAATCCAGGGCTGAGAAAAGGGAGGGTAAGAAATGGTGAATTTTGGTAATCCAGGGCCGAGAAAAGGGAGGGTATGAAGAACAGTGAGTCTCGCGCTAAGAAAAGGGAGGAGATGAAAAATGGGGAGTTTTGGTAATCCAGGGCCGAGAGAAGGGAGGGTATGAAACAGGGAGTTTTGGTAATCCAGGACTGAGAAAAGGGAGGGTAAGAAATGGTGAATTTGGTAATCCAGGGCCAAGAAAAGGGAGGGTGTGAAGAATGGCGAGTTCTGGTGATCCAGGGCCGAGAAAAGGGAGGGTATGAAATGGGGAGTTTTGGTAATCCAGGGCCGAGAAGGGAGGGTATGAAAAATGGGGAGTCTTGCACTAAGAAAAGGGAGAGGATGAAAAATGGGGAGTTCTGGTAATCCAGGGCCGAGAGAAGGGTGAACCCACAGGTCGAGAAGATGGTAAATTTGTCCTGCTGGCATCTGATTTTTTATGTAGAAAAACTCCGCGGTTTTGAATTCTGCGCGGTTTTGAAACAGTGTCCAATCATTTAGTGATTTGGGCTCAGGAGGTAGAGGTGGTGTACCCTCGGGGAGAAAAATGGCCATGTTTATCACAAGGCCGACCTTAAAACTCGTAATTAGAGTCTGAACAGAAGGACAAATGCAAAAACGAACCATCCAACGATGTATGGTAGTTGCGATAGAGTGAGGTTCCAGGTCCAAAGAATTCTGTGTGTACGTTAGGAGGAGGAGAAGCTCGTGATGCCTCATCACCATCACCATTTGGCTGACCTAGAAGCTCGCTGTCCTGAAAAGGATTGTCGGCGATGTCGTTGGGGTGGCTTATGTGTGGTTCTGGAGAGGCTGGAGGAGATACAATAGGGTGGGCAGAAAGAATATGCTTCATGCAACCGGCAGTAGTCTTAAAGAAACGTTTGCAGCCCACATTGCCGCAAGGGACTTGGAATGCGCTGAAGTCTCGCTGAGTAACCTGAGTGCGAGGGACAATTTCTGGCATGCTGAGGAAGATAAAGGCAAGCAGAAGTGCCAAGGGCCAAAGCAAGGCCCTCTGCATTGTGGATACTAGTAAGTGTAGTGCAAGCCTAAATTCAATAGTGTTTGTTTGGCATGTTGGGAGAGGACATACAAATTCATTTCGGATCATTTGAAAAACCTTGCTCTCAACCAACTCAAATTTCCATCCCTCCGAGTCTTGGATTTGCTGGTACTAATGTCTCAAATGATTGAGCCAATCCGCCGCACCCGCGCCAAAAATGCAACTGCTCACCCTGGTCAAATTGTGCTAGATGCCCAACAGAAGCGCCAGATGCCCAAAGCAAAGGCAGCTGATGAGAAGCGCCTCAAAGCCGCTCAAGAAGCCAAGGAAGCACTGGCTGTGGCGGGGCTTAACCGGCTTGCAGAACTGCAGGCCAGCATGGAAGAAGCCCAGGCAACAACGACAAAGCCCAAGGCTGTCAGGCCACGTCCTTTACCTAAGAAGCAGCGAGGGTACTGCCAGTGCAAGCAATGACGACGAACCTACCATTGTTGGCGGCATCACTACGAGGGCACAACCGGCAAGGGAGGATGCTGACAAAGATTTCCTGGCAGGGGACAATGATTCAGGTGACGATGGGAGGAAAAAGAAAGGAGGGAAGAACGCACAGTCGCTAAGCACTGCCATAGTCAAAGCTCGCAAGAACTTATCCGCTGCAAAGGCTGATAGTCGTGATCAGCCACGTGTGAATGAGAAAGGCAACTCCTTACCGTGAGTTGCGCATTCCTCAACCACCATGTTCATTCTCTCTGAATCTACACTATTCTTTGGCAATCTGACTTTGAAATCAAGGGCCAAGTCAACTTTGGGTGGCCGCGTTCAGAACTGGAGAAAGGATGTCTACTATGAGCCAAAAACCACAAGCAATTCACTCACTAGCGCAAGTCAAGTTCCTCCATCTACCATATTTTCAAAGTCTCAGATATTGCATGACTCAACTGGTGTCATGCATGGTATGTGACTCATACCATGACATATAAATAGCAGGAGTAATAAGGGAGGTATAATACACCAGAATGTATCCTATCACCAAGTTACCCCATCATTTTTCCCTTAGTTATTAGCTAGTATTTTCACTTTCAAAACTTCACTTCCATTTTTTCCATGTATTTCTATTTTGTTCCATGAGATTCTATCTGTTTCCATTTTTCTAGGCATATTTATCCATCAAACTTCCTCTCCAGCCACAAAGCATGTTTGTAAGCTTGTCATGTGACTGGTTAATAATCTGATTTGTAAGGATTCAACTTGACTCATCATGTTTTTGTCATGATTTGTCATGCTTTGTAAGACTTGCAAGTGTATTTATAAGCTACTTAGTAAGAAGGCTGATTCAGCTCACTCAAAAGATTGGTTTGTAAGCATGTTCTTACCAATCCTTGGGATGACTCATGTCTTTTATTCATCTTTCTTTGTAATATTACATTGTATTAATAAGCTAGTTAGTAAACAAGCTGACTCAACACACTAAAAGGATTGATTTGTAAGAATGTTCTTACCAATCCATGTGCTGAATCATGCTTAGTAAGATGGCCTCCAAAAAGGTATAAAAGGAGCCCATTTTGCCACTGTCAATCTAAGCTTCCCACTTTAAAACCCTGTTCTCAAATCAAGTGAGATTACCTAAGAAATAAAGTGCAGGCAAATCTAGTGCCTTGAAGTAAGACTAAGAAACATCTATCTGAGTTATATACTACCTTACAGGGGTTGACTATATAACAAACTAACCTACTAAACTTAGACTAAACTTCACACATACAAATAACCTCTCTCTTTCATAGGAAGGGAGAATCAAACTAAGAGAACTACTTCACATTGAGGCAAACTTTCATAGGGTGAAATAAACCTATTTTATTGACAAAAGACCTCAAAGCAAACCTACAGAGAGAAAGCAAGAAGGGGACATTTTTAAGTAAACCCTCCCAAGAACTCACACGTTATCTACCATGAAAACTAGAAAAGTCGTAGACCATGTACTTAAGGACTGGCAAGAAGTCTTATCCTATATAGTTGTGCTGTCACTATATACGTGTTGTATATAAGACCCTTAAGTAAGAGGACACCGGTACTTCTCTAAGCTCACATTCTTGTGAGCCTCAACTGCCTAGCTCCAAAGATTTGCCCAAGATGCCTGAAGTCACACTTGGATGAGCTTGTTGGAGGATTTGGAGACGAGGATCTTGATGATTCATTTGAGCGTGCTGTTGCATTGCATAATTGTGGCAAAGTAGCAAGCGCTGGCAGAACGGTGACCATCAGTTGATTTTATTCATTTGTTTGTACTGATTTTTTGCCCAAGTCCACCGTTGAAATTACTTCCCATGACACTGATCCAGACCTCATGCCGCCACCTCTTGCTCAATGACAATCTCAAGTTAATTCTGCAAGGAAGAGAAAACAATTCGTGGACATAACTCAAGGCATTTCCGAAGAGGACGATCTCTTGAGTCCGCAAGAGGAGATTGATGATATCGTGTATGAACCAGCTTCTGATGATGAGGAAGCCATGCAGGTTGATGAAATAGAGGATGTGGTGAAGAAGCCTATTGCAGTCAAGATGCAGCAAGCTAACACCGTGAAAGTTTCACGTACTACAGCTGCGGTATTTTTTTCCCTGTCTTGCACCTTCACTACTAATTTCACTCCAGACATCCGTTGGTACTGTGTCTCGCTGTGACAACAAAGTTCCCCCCTCAAAGAAAGCAAAGACAATACACATGAAGTCTGAACACCCAGCATCCACCGCCAGTGCTGGGCCTAAGGGGGATGGCAATTGGGTGGAACTAGTGTCAAAGGTGTGTTCAACATACCTGAACACCGATCTTCCTCCAGGTTGCCACGAAGATGGAAAATGGGCCAGGCAGTTTTTACCAACGGTCTTTCTCTGGCTCGGTGCTCAGGATGAACTTTGGACAATTACTGATGTGAAACTTCTTCATGCATGTCAGGAAATTTTCAAGGTTGTCTTCCCAAACATTCAATACAAGGTTGTAACATCTGGTTCAGTTTTCGGTGTAGTAAGTTCATCTTCCATTTAATTGATGGTGTTCTAATCATTTTATTTTCAGGTCACTCAGCGTGTTAGTGAATGGCGCAGCAACTTTGGATCGACTGCGCTTGCTATGGTGGTTGATTTTCTAAACTCAAACAGAGACACCTCTCCACAAACACTCGCAAAACTCTTCCTCGCTGAATTTGCGTTTCTGTACCCTGATCCTGAGAATATCGACAAGGCTGAAACCTTCCGCTCTGCTTTTGTGCAAGAGCTGCTCACTACTGCACATCTTGCCCGGATTATTGGGCATGCTGATGTTCCCGCACTTGATACCAATACTCTAGCAGACAGTGGCATCACCGGCGCCCTTGGATTGTGTGCAGTCTGTCATATCCCGTATTCCAGACCTTCGTCCGATGATGTTCCCACGCCTTCCGGATGCACATCCGGACCTCCATACCCTTATCCATGCCTTCAGTCCTCCAGTCCACTATCGGTTTGGATCCGTACACCTTCGTACATCCATATATTAATACCTTCAGACCTCCGCAGTTAAGCCTGCTTCATCCACCCTTAGTCCTATCGGATCCGAGCTCATTCCATCTCGGACTCTACCTTCCCTAGACTATTGGTCTATATCCATGATCCATATCCTAGTCTCGTATTCACCTAGATCTCCGGATCCGCTCATCCGATATCCAGACGCTTCATCCGATATCTCTAGACCTCCGGATCCAACCTGTACTCATATCCGAGGCCCAAACCTTAAATCAGCGTCTATCTCCTTATGGTAATCCCCTTGACTCCGGACTTCAGTTATCTCTGTTTCCGTCTTGCTTATTGATCCTTGTACTCTGTTCATATCCGGGTTCATTTACTTATGTTCCATTCATACTTACTAATATGTTTCCACATGCTTGTACATAGCATTTGTGTTCAGCTTACCGATCCTCTCGGATCCCGTCCAGTATATAAACCTCTGTACAACTCCTGTAAAGTTTCCTTAGTTGGAATATCATCTTAGACTTTGCTCTGTCTTGACATAGACTTGCTCTCTCGCATCTTAGATGTCACTCATTCTTGTCTCAGACTTCAGTCCATCTGAGTTCTGCCTTTCCATCAAGGCCTAGGGATGGATTCCCTAGGCCGGAAATCTGGACCTTCGGATTTGTCCCCTATGTCTCTGTTCTGAAGTCTAGGGATTGATTCCCTAGACCGAAGTTTTGCCTTTCCAGCACTTCCTGTCTTTCTGAGACTTCTGTCTAAATCCCGTCTATCCGACTCTACCATAGTGTAGTCTACCTCTGTTTGTTTCTACTCCGGACCTTGTCCGTAGTAGCCTTTCCCCTCCTGTCCTAATCCTGTCCGCTCCTCTGGTCCTCATAAACCTTCAGACCTTCGGATGTCGTAACCTTCGGACGTCGTAACCTTCGGATGTCGTAACCTTCGGACAACGTACCCTTCAGACGCCGTTACCTTTGGACCTCTGGACGTCCTGTCCTTCGGACCACTCCTCCTATCCTATCCTGCTTTGGACTCTGTCCCTTGCAGCCTATCCTCTATGTGTTTCTATCTAGGGAACTTACTTTGGAAGTCTTACCTTCGGATCTGATACAGTGGATGAAACTCCTCCAGAGTTTCCTATACTCCTCCAGAAGTTTCTCGCACTCATCCAGAAGTCCTCTAGCACTCTACTAGAGTAGCCAGCCTCCGGAAGTCCTTCGGACTTTGTCGGGTTCCATCTGGACTTCATTCTGAAATTAAGGGCACGTACTCGGGTAAGGGGCACAGCGCACGAGCTGAGGCCAAGCCCTTCGGATCCGTCTACCCTTGAGCTACAGTCTTAACACAGTCTCAGTGTGTTAATTTATTGGTGTGGTTTGTTGCACTGATTTATCTAATTCTAGCTCGAACGCGCCTTCACCCTTGTCGCCGACAACACCATTGTTGTTGATGATCCCAAGGCACCTGTTACCAGACGAAAGGCTCGTTTAAAGACACCAAAGTTTTTCAACAAGGTAACCGGAAAGGAAATGGCCACTGAGCATGCATTCTCGATTGCCAAGTGGGGCCCGAAAACTGCTTCATTCATTCAAGGGGCGAATAAGAAGGGTGTGGAATCAAACCGGCTGACAATGTCCATGGCCTACAAGTACTTGAAGAAACCTGGCTTCAACAATCACAACAGCCTTGACTCAGCGGATAAGATGGATGACCGTGCGGACATCTGGTGAGCAGCGCTCCACTTGTGCCAGTTATCCTTTTAATTGCCTTTTTTCAGATTGAATCACCTTAATATCCATTTTTCACGCGCCGTTTGCAGCCATTCTTGGCTCTCTTTAGATCTTGTTTTAATCATTTTCTCCCGAGTTTATACAGTCTTTTTCCCGCTTAATGCGTCTTGGTACACCTTGCAACGCTTTAGAGTTACTATTTGGTTGAAAATTGGGATAATTTGAATCCGATGGTATTTGCCTTTTAGCGAGTTTTTTTTTGTCTTGAGCAATGCGAGTTAAGGCGAAGTCAGACGATTTTAAGAATACGCGTGGCCTTTTGGTGTCTTGTGCACTCAAGATCTTTTCGCGACTTTTATGACCCTGCAAGTCAAAAAAAGATGCCTCAAGTCATCTTGGATTTTCCTGATGTACCTGTCCAGTTTCCCTTTTAACGTTGCCATATCGAAGCTACCTGCCCTCAACATGACAGAAAGGGCCCTGACAACCACAAACTAAAAAAGACTGCATTTAGTGGTAAGTACTACTACTAGTAGCAGTAGTGGTAGTGGCCACTGTCATTGCCAAAACAGTTGGCAGGCAGTTCTTGGGTACTGATGCGGTGACTTGGCTTTGAGCGATGATTTCATTTCAGTGCCGCAATCAAGATCAAGCTGTGTTTGAAGTATATTGGTCATTTAAGTGGCAATTGATTGATATGAGTGGTCTCCAATCGCCAATCATTGCAGAATGTGGAGTAGGGTATGGACGATAAGTCAACCCGCTGTTATTAACCTGTGTTAAAAAGCAAGCAGCTGCATAGGGTTATTTACAAGCATGTTATTAACATGTTATTAACAGTCACATGACCAAAAAATGACGATTTTCACTGTAGCTACTACCAAAATTTTCCGCCCCACTCAGTGTCCTAGTCCTCTAGGTCAGCATCATCCTCAGTAGCATCACCACCCAGGCCGTTGATAGGACTTTCCTTGCATTCATCAGACAATGCTTTGGTGACAATTGGTGCACAAATGTTTGCATCTACTTCGATGTCGAAGGCTGAATCCTGCGCTGGTTCGGCTGCTAGCTTCTCATCGAGCCATGTGTCCTTTTTGTCTTTGAGAATTTCTTCCTCCTCATCTATGCCCACAGATAGATAGCTGCCAGTGGGCTCGTGGCTTTGATGAGCAGCTGGTTCTTTGGGCCCTGTTGAAATGATGGAGTCGAGATTGCTGAATGAAATGTCTGGGTGCCGTCTTTTGACCATTTTCTAAGAGACGTGAGTTGTCAATACAGGCCACTGAATAAGACACTGACCTTTGGATCATACATATGCCATTGTCGAATCTGAGTCATGTCCACCAGTGTCCGGACATGTTGACGGTTCCTGGCCGCTGTATTCATCCTCGTGAATACTGACATTGTTTGTTCCTCGGGTATAGATGAGGGCTTGATTGAATAAAGTTTTTCTGCGATACACTGGAGATAAAGCCTGAGTTACGAGTAGTCAGGATGGGCTGAAACTCACCACGAGTATGTAACCTTCAGGTATCTTCATTAAGTGAGTCCAGTATGAGAGGATGCCCTGACCAGCATCCACCATCACATCGAAAGGGTACTGTCCTTTTACATAGCGCTCAAACTGGCGCACAAAAGCTTCACGAACATCAGCAGCCATTTTTCCTTTGAGAGTGGGGTTGTGCTGGGATTTGAACTCGGCTTCAACGACAATTTTGAGGGTACTTGAAAACTCAGATGTAAGTTGGTGATGTGAGGATATCTGGCACAACTGTTGAAGGAATGCGAGGGACCTTGATTTTGAGAGAGAGCGGGTTATATAGGATTGCACTGCGAACATAACCTGTCTCATGTGAGATAAGGATCAAAGGTGAAGAATGAGTGAAACATATGTGGATCTAAGCACAAAGCCGCAAGATAGCAGTCAGCTGGTCCATCTTTGAGCTGCTCACGAAAGCGGGAATTGACGATAGCATAAATTTGACCCATCTCTTCAACATTAAAACCACTCGACAAATCCTCAAATATCTGTTTGATGCATCCGCAAATGGCCAACCAATATTTGTACACATCGGCCAGATTTGTCTGCGTCAACTCAAGACACACAATAGCCTTTGAAATTGGGCCCTGAACATCAATGAAATGGGCAAGGCCTAGTTCGAAGTTCAATCCACGATGGCTTCCAGACTTGATTATGCTTGCTAAGTCTGCTTTCTGTAGTAACCAATGAGTTGATAATAGATGGGGTGCGAAAACCACGTACCTTGCCTGGAAATTTGATTGATCCAGTGTCAACAAGTTCTCACAATGCTGGGAGGCAGCGCTGAACAGAGATAGCGGCAGCGCAGATAGTGGCAAAGCATGTTTTGCCAATTCCTTTGATTCCTTGAGTTATCCCCTTTTGTAGCCTTACACATTCGAGTGCATCATATGCTCGGGTCGACTTGCGGAAGTATGTCACGAGGGAACGAAGTTGAGAGATCATCTAAAAAGACACAGTTAAAACAGTTATCGGACTAAATATAAAAGATCACAAACATCTTTGAACATTGGAAGCTTCGCGATGTCCTTGCAAACAAGGTTGAGGTGATGACATGCATCCGACATAGGAATCAGTGTCTTGACAGCTTGACAAACAATCTGTCAAGCAACATGAGTATTACCAGTGTTGTCAGAAGCTATCCTGGAAAAGCGGAAGCGGCCGACCAGGTCCATTGCATTGAGCAGCATGTGTGCAATGTGCTCACCCATGTGTGAGGTGTCCAATGATTCTTCGCCCTCGATGAGAAAGCTACGGCCGTCTGGAGCAGTAAAATGGACCGTGTATGCAGATTGTGGTCGCTTTGTTGTACTGCCATCATATGAAATGGTGAGGTTGAATCGTGTCTTGAGGAACTTGATGCTCAGTATCCGAACACGAGCAGCTTCGCCAGGGATATGTTTGTCAGCAATTAGGGTGCCACTGGATGGATGGTATGCTTTGTTTGCAATCAGGAAGATCTCTTTCCATTCAACATAGTTGACAAGTGTTGGGGGAATTGCAGCTGCGCATATGAGCTTGACAATCGCAAGGTCTAGCTGTGCTTTGAGGTATTCACGTCCCATCTTGCTACACTCCACTTCGAGCCTTGACTTCAAGTGTTCAACAACACCAACAACACTGGCCGTAGTCATCTCTGCATCCTGATAAGCCTCCAGCAATGGATTCGTGCTTTGCAAGTCCTCCCCTCTAGCCACTTCCAGCTTCTCTATTTGTGCTCCTAAGCTCTTGCTGGCTAGGAGCTCAGTGACTTCACGACGGAGGGTAACAGGTAGCCGGTGGCATGAAGCTGCGTGTTTCAACAGACATTTCCGGTTGGCAGGGGCAGCTAAACTGTATCTGCAGTTCTCCCCGAGACATCGATACCGTTGCTTTTTTGGCTTGCCGAGCTTGTGACACTGCCTTGTCACCTTTTCAAGCACATTAGTACGTGGTCGGCCAACTGTTTTACCATTGGTATTTTTCCACTTCTTCAGCTCAATATCTACTAATTGCCCCCTGAACTGAGGTTCTGCGGTGTCGGAATCATCATCAAGCATGTCCACCTTTATTTTTGGGTAAGTAAACTCGACCGAAGATCAAGTTGATTGGCAACTCACATGACTTCGCTTCTTCTTGAGCTTGAATATCAGTGCAATGGACTCGTGGGGTAGTATAGTAGGCAGAACAGACACCACAGATGCAGACACTGGTGGTGATGGTATAGTAGATGAAAGTGGTGTAATGGATGTGGACGCAGATGTTGGTGGTAGTGATGGCAATTGTGATGACATGACATGATGCTCGATGATGGCATTTCCGTAATGCAAACGCGCAATATCTGTGTCAGAAGATGATAATAGAGGGAACTTCGTTGGTTGGACGAAATGAGCGAGGGCATTGACAGCTAAGACACCACAGGAGTGCGTATCCTCCTGGCAGGAAATCTGTAGATCATCCCATGTCAAGGGAGTTGGTGAATGGTGCGAGAGCCACCAATCAATGGCTGCCTTCAGGTTATTTGGAATAGCTGCGCCAAATGAGTCTCCATAGAGGACTTTCTGGTCCTCCGCATTGATCAGAACTGCAGTCCAATGGTTCTCGTGGATATGGCAAGGGATACCAAGGCTTTTGTAGTGTCCCTTGAACAACTGCTCGGTGGCACTGCGAAAAGGTTTTGCCTCCTGCAAGGTCAAATAATCTTTCTCGGCACGCTCATCATGTGCGAGTAATAGTAACGGCACAAAATATGCAGTTTTGAAGGTATGCTTCGATGCTACATCCTTATCTCCATATACAATGTCCAACATCATATTCAGATTTGTATCGGTCAGCCATTTCTGCGATGCGAAATCTGCAAGGTCATGAATGGGTGACCAGTCACAGAAACCTTTCGTGGAGCCTGACCAAGATAACCTGCTCAAGGCAAGATGGAAGATAGAGGCCACTGGATTGGATTGGCGTTTGGTAAGGAAGGCTTCTGCCTGTCGCCATTTGTTTTGGATGTCAAGGAGAGTATACGCTTGGCGCCAAAACGTCAGAATCCAGAATGGAAAAGATTGATTGATGTCGGCATGAGCATATACAATAGACCGGCTACCATCTAATCTTGCACGTTGCACCCCTTCTAGGAGCTGGTGCAGAACTGCAAGCCGGGGAAGCGGCTGCGTGCAGAGATAATCGAGATATGAGGTGTCCTCAGGCGGGGGGGTCAGTGTCAAAGTATTCACACAATGTTGGAGCAGTCGTAATCGAAGCTGACGGGAGTGGGAATTCAAGGAATGATGAGACAGACAGATTCTGATCTGGGAGAATAATTTATTGCACTGATACAGGAATAATAAGAATAGCATCATCTAAGGCTTTCATGTCAACCATTTTGAGTGCTCAACTGGTGCAAGACTCGGAGGGAGGGGAAACCAGTTGAAAGTTTCGTTGCAAGACACTCGAGTCCCATGCCAGACCATAGCTTGCTTCTCTGCAAGATTTGCATTGTAAACGTCGAAGTCAATGATCTGCAAGGAACGACAGAAGGTCAGAGGGCGACTCACCAAGACTACGGGGGTCAATAGACTTATTAACACTGTGTCAACCCCCCATGGTCGTGTGCCTGTTATTAATATGTTAGTAACATGTTATTAACACGCCTTTATTAGCAGTGTTATTAACAACTGACTTTTCGTCCGTACCCTAATGCGGAGGCTTCACTGCAGAAGGTTGCAACAGTTCAACTTAGTGCCTCGATATTAATCCAGGAACCAAGTATTACTAAGACCACCCCCCGAATGACGGGTTGCTTAAGTAAGCGAGGCTACATCACGTGAAACTCACGTGAGTTTTGACCAAACATCGAGCCAAACACATTTTCCGGGTCAAGATTACCAGTTAGCTTGATGTAAGGCAAGGCCTCTTTCTGCTGTTCCACCATGGACAACACACCACAGCTAGGTACAGCTGCAGACCTTGAGATGCGGGCTGCTCGAATTGCAGACCCTGGCATAGGTACGTGTCCTGCAATAAAACTCAGCTTGTTGTTGAACATACTGGTCATAGATCTCAAAACGAAGCACAATGTTGCATGCGAGCTACGAGAAATGATAGACACTGTCCGAGATGCTGAATCTGCGCGAGTATTCCCTCAAATGATTCCGGTTCTCTTGGAAATTTTGAACACTGGGGAAGCTGCATATCATAAGGACACCATGGAGTACCAATTCAGGCGCGTGCTGCTTGAAATTATACATCGCATACCCTACGGGGAAACTATACGACCTCTGGCTCTACCATTGCTTAGTGGTATGCTTCATGCCTTGCGCCATGATAACGAGGAAAATGGCGTCACTGCATGCAAGATCATTATTGACCTTCTACGGTCATTTCGATCGCTGACAGAAGAACTGGTCGCCGAATACATGGGAATTCTCCAAGACGTTTTTCGCAACATGAGGGGACTTGTACTTGAAACACTCTGCGAGGACTCTCCTGTTCTTGATCCCAATATCGTCCTTCCCAGCATTCGCAGTTTCAAAGTCCTCGCCGAGATGGGAATGGTAGTTGTCACCTTTTCTCAGAGCCACCGCCCCCTTGTGCTTCACGTCATCCAAGCGACACTCTGCCTCAACTTCGAGGTTCTGGGTCTCGAATCTCCCGCCCAGAAAAAAGCTAGAGAAGATTATGAAGCCATGGGATCTTACTGGTCCGGCATGGCACCCACCATGAAGAATCCTCAAGCCTATATGGATTTCATCACTGGGCAAATCAAGGTATGCATCCCTGGAACAATTTCGACATTCGAGGGTCCTCATTGCGCAGATGGTGTCTTATGTTGCATATGTCATGCGAGGCTTTGGAGAACAGTTTGATTCCTTCGGAGAAAGGCTTATTCTTGCTGCTCTTCGACTAATGCAAGACTTGCCTTCTAACGGTATTCAGGCACGAAAGGTGAGTTGTCTGTATCAAAAACGTAACTAGACCTAATACATCCTCTAGGATCTGATAGTGGTGCTACGGCATCTGATTGGAACGCAGCATCGGAAGGCTCTTTTACCCCAAATCGACAAACTATTTGATGAACGTATTCTTCTTGGAGATGGAGTGGGTAGTAAAGAGACTTTGCGGTGAGTTCAGTCGATCGGCCAATGAGGAGCTATAGTTGATCATCACAAATCAGTCCGTCGGTTTACGCCTCTGTCGCAGACCTTGTGCACCACGTCCGGGGCGACCTCTCGGCGAATCAGCTCGCGCGTGTGTCGAAGCTATATTCCGCGTTGATTCATAATCCGTACCTCAATCATAACTTGCATACGCTGTTCTCCAAGATGATGTTCGGTCTAATCGAGAATATTACAACGAAGGACACCGCTCAAGGTGCCACACGGGTACTGACTGCCATGTTCGAGACTTGTGTCGACAAGGTTGAGGCGATGACACTGGTCTTGGACAACGCACTTGAGAGGTTAGAGAAAGCTAAAAATGGCGAAGAGGAAGGCGTCGACTTTCTGCTGATAGAGAAGACCCGACCTGTTGCAGGTGCCGCCTATGCAACTGAGAAGCCAGAAGAGGTTATTCATGGTAAGAAGACTTTCGATGTGCACGAATTACCCTTTGATGCCCCTGGTCTTAGAATGTCGTTTTCTCTTCCGAACCCTCCTTCATGGGTTTCGTGTCTGCCTCGTGGGATTGAAGAAATGTGATGCCCCGGTTCCCGAAGGCACACTAATCCTCCGTCTCTTCGAAAGTTGCATGAAATGTATGGCCCTGTTTGATACCGAGCCACGCGACGCTACCGAAGCCATGGACTGGTTCAGTGCAGTTCTGCTGGAGGTCAATCTGCATGTGTTCCAGGAGGTTTGGACCCACAAGATTGAGTTCTTTTTCGAAGCAGCTCGCAAGAGACCTGCACTCTTACAAATTTGCCAAATTTTGTTCAGTCGTGAAAACGTCTCGCCTACTTTGGTAGCGATCGTCCTTCGTTTCCTCATTGACCGTCTGTCACTTCTTGGGGAATACGATGATCAAACAGCGGTTATCACCATTCGGCTGTTCAAAATGGCATTTGGTGCAGTCACGTCTTTTCCTGTGCCCAATGAGCCCATCCTGGCTGCGCACTTAGCTAAACTCATTATGGATTGTTTCCCTCTCGCTGCCAAAGCCTCCAAGTCAACCAACTACTACCATCTTTTGAGAGGCTTGTTTCGCGCAATTGGCGGAGGAGGGGGTCGCTACGAGCTTCTCTACAAAGAGGTTCTACCACTCCTTCCCGATATGTTAGAAAGCTTAAACCGCCAGTTGCATGCCTCCGAAGGGTATGCGAGGGACATGATCGTTGAGCTTTGCCTTACGGTACCGCTGCGTCTCACACATCTCCTACCCCATCTCACATATCTTATGCGTCCCCTCGCACTTGCGTTGCGTGGGACTCCTGAGCTCGTGTCTCAAGGTCTTCGTACCCTCGAGCTTTGTATCGACAACCTGACACCGGATTTCCTTGATCCGACTCTTAACACCGTTCTTCGAGAACTCATGGAAGCGCTTCATAGTCACCTAAAGCCACTACCTGCCAGTCATCATCATGCCCACACGACCATCCGTATTCTTGGCAAGCTTGGTGGACGCAATCGCCGTTTGTTGTATAAAGAGCCTGCCCTCGAATACAACCCATTCTCGAAGGCCGCAAGCATTCCTCTTTCTTTCGGCGGCTCGATGGAAAACGTGAAGCTGGCTCCGATGATCAACTTAGCAGTCCGAACCCTGCGCAAGGCTGCACCTGCCTATCGTACCCAAACATACTCGTTATTGGAGACGTGTACTATCACTCTTCTGCATGATGTAAGTAAGCTTGGATAGCGTCGTACTTGACTAACTTTCAATGATGTACCACAGAACAACCATGGACCAGACGAATCTGCGGTGTTCGTAAAATCGCTGGAAGCGATATTTGACGCGATACATATGCCCGAAGTGAAAGACGACGCAGACAAGTTCATTCGTGAGCTATCTCGAACTGTATTTTCAATGGAGCTTCGCAAGAACGCTACCAAGGAAGCTGGCCTCAAGCGATATCCTAGTCCTCTACTTTCGTCGTATTTGGAAGCCTTACCTTCCGCTCTTTCACGTGATAACATCGAAGAACTACACAAGGGTGAAGAACTTGTCACGTCAATCTTGAATGACCTGGTGGTCATGTGCGCGCAGAATGGTGCTACTGCACAGGACGTTGTTCCTACACTGGTCCAAATCTCTGCGCGCTTTTGTGCGGTCTGCCTTGACGATTCATGGGTACGGAAGAGCGCAGGTTGCATTGGAATCAGGATTTTAACGTTCCTGCCTAATATCGGTATCAAATGGATGAGTGAAGTTGAACTTGTGCGAACCTTGCTCCACATTCTGAAGGATCTCCCTTTTGATCTTCCCCGTGATGTCACCGACGTGATCGAGGTCCTTAAACGTGTATTGCGCGTCACCTACACGAATTTGGATGCCACGGCAGACGTCCCCATCATCGCTCGTGCCAAGCTAGTCCACATCATCGGTATCTTTTTCTCGGAGCTCTCAAATTCCAACCCAGTGGTTCGCCAAGCAGCGCAAATCTGCGTCGACGTCTTCGTCGAGCTCACTGGCAAGTCGGCTCACGAGCTCCTCTTACCGCATCGGGATCGCATGTTGACAGCAATATACACCAAACCATTGAGGGCGTTATCGTTTCCCATTCAGGTGGGCATGATTGATGCAGTACGCTATTGTGTCAGTCTCGATCCACCTCTTCCGGAGCTGAATGACGAATTGCTCCGATTGTTGCATGAAACTCTCGGACTCGCCGATGCCGACGACGTCCAGCTCGCTCGTGGGAATCTTCGCCAAGGATCTCTCGAGATTATCAAGCTTAGGGTAGCTTGCATCAAGCTCCTTACTGCATCTATGCCTATGACGGATTTCTTTTCAAAGCAGCATCAAACTAGACAGAGGTCAATCATAGTTCCCAATTTCTCTGGCGTCATTGACATCGTATGATGCAGGGTCACTGGCGTCTATTTCAAGTCTTTGTATTCCCCTTCACAGGAGGTAAAAGAAGTTGCGCACGAAGGACTTCGTATGGTTCTAACACATCAAAGCCGACTCCCCAAAGAGCTTTTGCAGACGGGCCTGCGCCCTATCTTGATGAACCTTGCGGATCCCAAGCGTCTGTCGGTCTCTGGCCTGGAGGGGCTTGCGAGATTACTAGAGCTCTTGATCAACTACTTCAAAGTTGAGATCGGGCATAAGCTCTTGGATCATTTCCGCATCGTCGCAGATCCCCAAATGTTACAGGCATCTTCAAAGCTTCCCTTAGCTGAGAATGAAGGCGTTACGAAGCTCGTCCGATTGGCCAACATCTTCCA